GTTCGGAGTGTCGGGTGCCTTTGCTGTGCCAGAACTGCTTTCGCCTTGTTTCTCAACGGTATTAGTTTGCTGGGCCCAAAGTTTCTCACGCTCTTGGATTCTCTGTTGCTCCTCTTGCAAAGCTTTGCGGCGCTCCTCCTCGGCGATCCTTGCCTCTGCGGCCTTCGCGCGCAGAATTCGGTCAACGTTGTAACCTCGAGCTCGGAGTCCATACAAGTCAAGAGTTAGGAATGGCTCGAAAAAGAGATAGGCTTGCTGATTAGGTCGGTCGAGAAGCATCTGGCAGATAGCCTGCCCAACCTGATACATATCCGGTTTTCCATCATCAGCCACATAAAGAACCCAGGAGCCGGTATGCTTGGTTCCAGCGGCAGACCTCTTCTCTGTATGGGTTTTCCGTTGGCCTTGCAGGGTTCGCCTGAGCGCAACTGAGGTAACCATTTCTACCTGTAGGTTCTTCTCAAGCCACTTTGTGTCATGTTTGATTGCATCCCGACGATAGTTGGCATACTCATACAGAAAGATCTTGGATCTTTCCAGCACGTGTTTTCGAAGAGAATCGGCGGCCTTGCCTCTACCAGACTGAGGACCGATCCGGACATCTTCTTGAACAATGCTACTGAGCTTTTGAGCACCAAGAGCGAGGTAAAACTTCTCAAGAGCATCCTCCTCAGGGGCACAGACGAGTTGATCCTTAAAAAGACGATAGCTGATGATATCGTCCAGTACAACAATCTGGTTTGCTGATGCTAGTTGATAATGCTTGATCGGCACTTCGTCTTCTTCCAACTCAATCAAATTCTCTTTGGGAGCTGTCAGCTCCTTGTACGCAAGGAGGAAGCTAGCAGATTTCATCTTCCGCCACAGTTCCTTATCCCGATGGAGAGTGGATGAGGCTTCTGCTAGAGACTTGAGCAGATCGAGGTACTTCTCAGGACTTTGGAGCACACTCAAAAGCCTGGCAGGCTCATTGCACGCCATATTTGCAACCTCAAGTTTGGTCGGCTCACTCTTTGCTCCGCAAGTGAACAAAAATGCATTGGCGTCCTGACCAAAGTCCACAAAGTCGAAAATATCGCCATATGTTGCGGATGTGCCCAAATATACCCGTGAGGGACTGATATACGACGTAGTTGTGGTTGATTTACTGTCCCCCTTGGGTGAAGAAGTTCGAAGAACTGGTACGATATGAGCATTGCGGAGCTTCGCCTTGTTGTTCTCGCCTAGCTCGCGGATTCGAGACCCAAAGTACCCAAAGAGAGGGATCGCCGCCTGATGAGACTGGGGAGGGTTGGCAAGAAGTCGATTAACACACTCTACCATGGGCGGGTCTCCAGCTACTCCGAATTTCTAAGCAATGATTAATTAGTATCCGCCTGAAGTAGAAAGCGCAATGAAACTCACATTGGCATGGTCGTGTAAGTCTTTCCGGAGAATTTGAAACCCTAAAATGGACGCACGCTCATTGGTGAAGCAAGCAGACGGAACAACCAGCTGGGAGCTTCCTTGCAAAGGCATTATGGCTTTGCGGCAGCTTGAAACGTCGAAGGCGAAGTACTTATTAGTATGATGGTTGGCAATGAAGTATGTCATGGCTGATACGCGAAGAGATTCATCTTTGCTTGCCATCATCTCGATCAATTCAGGAGCAGAGGGAGAGGGTCGAAGTCCCAAGACGGCCAAGAAGCGCGCCTCTGGGGTTCCCTGACGGAAACTACCAGGAGGGCCTGGCCATTGAAGAATTGGCAACCTCAATGCTCTGAGGGAATCTTTTGGTTCAAACAGTTCAGAGACTTTATAAAGAGTCTTACTCCCTTTGGTGGGCTCGAGTCCCTTGGGACCAGCCTCAGCAGGGCAAATCCTGGAGTTTTGAAGCTTTCGAAGATCCTCCGCAGGAATGTCACCCTGAACAGAGGCGAGGTATTTGATCAGCTCCATATGACTCCATTTCTGTCGGCCGTCTTCGCCAGAAGAACTTAGAAGCCTTGTAAAGATCGTCTCCAAGTCAACCGTTTTTCTGACCCCAATGGCTGTAAGGAATTTTTCTTTGAGCTTGTCACAACCTTCAATAACCGGTAAATCATCGAAAAGCTTCACAGTCGGAAAGAAGGATTCGGCTGGCTTCCTCATACCCATCTTGGTAGGCATGACCGTTTGTGGCTGGAGAAGGCTAAGAACAGACTGTCTTTGAGTAGCACTGAGGTTATCCCAGTTCTTGGATATCACCGTTAAAATCTGGACCGCAAATTTAGGTGCTTTGGTCAAGTTCTCGCTCTCTGCCTTGAGAGACTTTGTCTCCAAGAGAAATCGTAACCAAGGGACGACTCCCAGTGGCTCCCACCCTAGCGCTTCAAGTTCTGCCTTTTGGCAATGGGAGGTAAACACGAAGGGGATAGTGGTTGGTGGGATTGGAAGGTTTGCTGGAATACTGGCAGGGACCAAATAGTTTTGGATGCTTCCAAGGGCGATGATCTCGCCTTTTTCTTCCTCTTCGCCGACAGATGCAACGGCTACTTCTAAGAGTGCCGATCTGCTGCCGGCATCCAACTCGCCAGTAAGGCTCTTCTTACCTGCCCAGCTGATGAAATTGATCAGTTGGGTTTTATTCAGAGACTTGACCTCAAGTTCTTTCTTGACATCAGTAACTGTGATTTCGGATACAAGGCCAAAATCGATCAATTTTCTCACAAAAGGCACGTCCAACATCTCCTGAGGAATGACGGGGATTCTATCCACAAATTTACTCAGCTCTTTAGATCCAAGTCGGACTCGGGAAGTCTGGAGAACACCCAGACTTGAGTAGATCTCGATGGAAGCCGATCTAGGAAAACAAGTCCAAAATGATTCCTCAATGACTTGCCCTACCTGCCCGCTGGGAGTAGAATCTGTAAATGTGAATGTTTTTAGATTATGCAAGGCTTCAGGCATGAATTTGACGATGTTGTCATTGCTGATGATGCCGCGGCTATCAGCTGTGCTTTGAAGCCGACTCTGGAGGTCGTTCATCTCGTTTGCAAAAGCTAACCGAGTGATGATTCCGGCAGCTCGGAGAAGCTCAACATTCCACGTTCTAACCCATCTTGCGTTCAGATCAATAGCCTCTCGCTCGACGGTTGGGATGATCGAAGGTGCAGAGATGTGCAGTCCAGCACCTGTGGTCTGCATGGTGGGGAATCCGATGAAGATTCGACCTCCAGGCTTCTTATTTGGGAGAACCGAAGCAAACACATCGGTGGCTTTACCAACGGCGCCTTCAGCTTTTGCTTCTTCCGAAGCATGAGCCTCATCATATGATGCCGTGAGAATGGAAATCTTGGTTGATTTGGGCGGAGGCTTCTTCGTCGCACGTTCAAGTTCAGATGCAAACGACGCCGTCACATGGGTCTTGATATTTGCAGTCGTCGCTCTAAGGAAGATTGTTGATGAACCAAGTTTTGTTACATCTTCTGATATCGCCCTTTGAGCTGATCTCTCCTCGTTCTGTGCCTTTGTCTTTAGAAGGGACTGTGAGGACCCGGCAGTCAACCGCGCGAAGAAGGAGCGTATAGAAGGGGCTTCGCCTGTAACAGTAGCGGTGTCAGGAGATTTGTGAGATGAAGTATTGGCCTGGGGCTTCCACCCAACAACATTCATGAATGTAGCATCGATCTGCGTGCTGGTTCTCCCAACTTCCACAATCTTCATCAGGCCGTCCTTGGTCCTCGCCTCTAAGCCTTTCGGCAGCTGCAACTCGGCAGTTGGTGAGGTTTTCTTCTTTAGGGAGAGAATCTGATAATCATCTATCCAGAATTCTATACTTTCGAGGGCAACAAAAGTCAAGCTGGTGGCGAGAAACTGGCTAACAGAAAGCAAGTTTGGCAGAGGCGTAGTTGTGTTTCTATTATCCAAGACAAATGTCGTATGCGGACCAGCCTGGTCTTCGGGGAGCTGTGACTTTTTGGTGAAGAGCGCATTTCCCTTCCAGTAAAATGCCATGGCTTCGCTTCCGGAGCTGACAAAAGGCTCCTCGCAATCAGCGAAGACACTATAGAAACCAACGCCGAATGCTCCGATCTTCGTTTCATCGGGGTTTCCCTCAGCAATCCTCTTCAACCGGCCCCAGTCCGTCTTTGTAAATGGCTGTCCATCGTTCTGAACAACTAATCGGCGCACGGTGTGGTTGGATATTACATGCTTGAGAAGCTCAGATCGGTCTGATGTACTGGGCAGTGGCACTGAAGTAGAGGGCAGGGTTTCGAACTTGACCATGACGGTCTTCGCTTGGGCATCGGCGGCATTTTGAATAAGTTCTCTCAGAGTTGTCCACTCTCCCGAATATCGAGCCAGAACCTTGTCTATTAACGCGCGGGTATCGACAGTAACGGCCTCCTCATCCTCTCCATCCCGTAGCGCCGTCGCGCGCAACTTCGAGTAGTCCATCTTGTGTCTATTTCGGCTCGGTTACAGCCCGTCTATCGTGAATAATCCAGAATCAACAGTATGTATCGGACATTTTGGCTCCCCAGATGCTTTTGGCAGATGGAATGATGGACCAGGCAGAGGGGACCGTGGCAATTACGAAAGCTGACCAAGTTCGCCTCGTGGCCAGGCAACACTCAGTTTTGCGTAAGAAATCGTGGGTCGCGTGGAAAACAGACAAGAAGATCGAAACAGGGGGAACACCACAGACGATTTCCACTACCCAGGTTGGTCACCAGACAGAGATGCAGCCAAAAACAGAAAGGAACCAAGCACGACGACTCGGCTCAGTAGGCGTGGAAGGGATTAACTATGTACGTACTGACACACTTCGCAGATCGGTCCCCAGCTTGGTTGTGGGGCAGTTGTTTATTTAGGGGTTCTAGCGGCATATCCAGAGGCTACAGGGGCCAATGTAAGGTCTCCACCGAGCCTCGCCAGCGGGGTTATAGTGATGGACTCGCTTAACTCGAACCTTCGCAACGAACAACTCCACTGAGTCATCACAAGATAGGCCTTGACCTACCTGCGTGAGCTTCAAGATGAGGGTCACGCGAGCTTGCTACTCGGCCACACTGGGCAGTAGCCCCATCCCCCAGGCAAAGCTGAAGTTTGTTCCCAATTCAGGAACCTATCCCAAAGGCTTCAATGTGTCCGGCGTCTTTGTCGGGGTGAAGCCGGGAAATACTAGCAAGCCTGATCTCGCCCTCCTCACCTCGGACCGGTCCTGCGCAGGTGCAGCCGTGTTTACCAAGAACAAGTTCCAGGCTGCTCCCGTCACATTCAGTCGAAAGTTGCTGCAGACCAAGGCCAATGCTGGAATCCGCAGTGTCATTATCAATTCTGGAAATGCCAACGCCGTTACCGGCGCCGGAGGTCTGGAGGATGCGGCAAACATGGCTAAGACGACGGACCAGCGAGTGGGCAGTGAGGATTCGACCATCGTAATGAGTACTGGTGTCATTGGACAGAGGTGAGAGAGCCAATTGACTTATTTGAAGTCTTCCATGCGTCTTCAATGGATGCGCAAGCTGACATGTCGTGTGTTGTAGGTTGCCCATCCAAAAAATCGTGGATCACATCCCCATGGCATACCACCATGCTGGAGACTCACACAAACATTGGATGAACTTTGCCAAAGCCATCTGCACCACCGACACATTCCCTAAGCTGATTTCCCGAAAATTTACTCTGCCCTCCTCTCCCAGCATTGAGTATAGTATCGCTGGAATCACGAAGGGTGCGGGTATGATTGCGCCCAACATGGCCACCCTCTTGACTGTTCTCGCAACAGACGCCCCGATCGCGCCCAGTGTCATGCCGGCCGTCCTCAAGCATGCCGTGGATCGCTCTTTCAACTCTATCACTATTGACGGAGATGCATCCACCAACGACACCGCCGCTTTACTGGCAAACGGTGCTGCAGGTGGTGTCGAGGTCTCTTCCCAGGACTCGGCCGACTACGAGACTTTCAAGGAGCTCCTAACCGAATTCTCCGCTGATTTAGCCAAGTACATTGTCCGTGATGGCGAGGGCGCCACCAAGTTCGTTACTATCCGTGTTGTCGACGCCGCCACTGAGGAGGCAGCTCGTGAGATCGCCCGATCCATCGCCCGCTCACCGCTGGTCAAGACTGCGCTGTACGGCAAAGATGCCAACTGGGGACGTATTCTCTGCGCTGCGGGGTATGCCCTCATCTCTCCCCCCGGACAGCCCATCAATGATGTGCCCGAGATTGTTCCCGAGAAGACCAATGTCTCCTTTATCCCCGCTGATGGCTCGGCTGAGCTGAAGCTTCTTGTAGACGGCGAGCCAGAGCAGGTGGACGAGGAGCGGGCGAGTGAGATCTTGGAGATGGAGGACCTGGAGATCGTGGTCAGGCTGGGCACAGGAGACAAGAGCACTGTTCACTGGACCTGCGATTTCAGCCACGACTATGTGACCATCAACGGCGACTACAGGACATAGAGGTCTATATATATAACGGCGCTCTGGTTCATAATGAATACTGAAAAAATATATTCCGCTAGACAGATTTTTATTGCCATAATTTCTGTCATTGATATACCAAGATTGTAAAATTGAGCCTCCGTGACTACGCAAATTCTTTTTTTCTATCGCTTCCAAATCAATACAGTCATACCCCATCCCACCTTCACGCTTTTATACGCTCAACGTGCCCTTGGTGCTAGGAATCTCACCCTCCTTACCCGCGACCCTGCTCGTGGCCATCTTGATAGCCACAGCCGTTGCCTTGAAGGCACTCTCGGCTCTGTGGTGGTCATTGAAACCCCGGATGCAGTCGACGTGCAGAGTGACCCTGGCGGCCTGGGCGAAACTCTCAAAGCAGTGAGGGACCATCTCGCAGCTGAGTTTGCCGAGGAACTCGCGCTTGAGGCCCAGCTCGACGACAGCGTAGGGGCGGTTGGAGAGGTCAATCACAGCGCGGGAGAGGGCTTCGTCGAGAGGAGCATAGGCATATCCGTAGCGAGCGAGGCCGACCGGGGTGCCGAGGGCCTTGGCGAAGGTGTATCCGAGAGCGAGGCAAACATCTTCAGCTGTGTGGTGATCATCGACTATCGAGAGTGAAATCGGATCTGTTAGCTGGTGGCATCATAGCAGAGAATGGCATGGTAAACGTACTGTGCAGGTCGCCTTGGCAGTTGACGGCCAAACTCCAACCAGCATGCTTAGCGAGGGCATGCAGCATATGGTCTAGGAATCCAATGCCGGTGTTAACGGCGATCTTCTGTGACTTGCTGGTCTGGGAGGCATGGCTCCCATCATCACTGAGCAGGCGGGCATCGGTCTCGGGGGGGAAGTCGCCACCATCGAGGTTCAGGGCAAGCTGGATCTTGGTTTCGTTGGTGTCGCGGGCCATAGCCGCCCAGCGAGGGGGGTGTGATGTGCTGGCCATTTGATCTGTCCCTTTCCTCAGCAGTCGGAGCTCGGTTGTCTGTTCAATTGACAAGGCCGTTCAGACTCCAAAGTTGGAGGGGCGTATTTCTTTCGATGCCCGCTCCTAGATCGGAGGCCAGCCATTAACTTTTTGCCCCCCACCTTGCCCAATCGCGGGGCGCAGGATAGTCAGCTCCATCACTTCTCTAGCCTTGATCTTCAAGGGCTACATCGGACAATTAATGCTAGATTTATATAGGATACGATGAAAGTAAAAAATGGTTTGAAGAAGGGCATATTATATGGGGCAAGAGGGACAGCTGAACAGAGGTTTGGCCACATGGCCATTAATTCGTATGTTTGGTGCTCCTCTTTCACGTTGGTTTTTTCTCTTCACGGATGTCCTGGATATCTAAGAGCTTTGAATACTCCCTAAGTGATGGGGTTTTTCTACTCAAAGGGCGATTTTCACTGCCCTCTAAATGTTGACTAATAAGTATCAGATCTGGCGTTGTGCTGTTGTATTTCAGTGTGTTTAACAAAACATGGCTATAGGAAGTGCTTCAAACGTAGACTGTCTTTGTCCTATATACAAGTCCCAATGACTGATTGGCGACCACTACTATTGGTCTTGTCGCTCATTCGTGGGACTTAAACTCCTATCTCGCCCTGATGGTGAAGGCTGACGGCGTCGGTCTCTGCTCCTGCTTCTGTGCCTCCTTTCTCCTTCGCCATGTCGAGACCGGAGCTCGCCACGGTGTTGCCTCCCTTCGTCGCGATACCTCCTCTCCCCGCTTATATCTCTATGCCGCCTCTCGCCATCACGATCTCTGTGCCGCCTCTCTCCGTCGTGATCTCTGTACCGCCTCTCTCCGCCTCGGTCCCCGTGCTGTCTCTCCCCGCTCCTATCTCTATGCCGTCTTTCCCCATCATGGTCTCTGTGCCGCTTCTCTCTGCTCCTATCTCTATGTCGGCGTCCGTCTCTGCTCCGATGGCGCCTCCTTTCAGGATCCTCATGCCTTCGTGAACGATCTTTACGTCGCGAAGATTCCTTTGGTTCCTCTGTAGGTGTGGGATTCGAGCCGAGCTGCCTCTGTGTCCCAACCTCGACCGAGTTGGCTCCCGTCGTATCTCTTTTAGGTGGAGGCAACCCAAGTGCCTGCGCCATTGCATCCTCTTCCGCCTCTTTCACCTTGCGGAGCTCCTCCTTTCGTTCTCTCTCGGCACGCTCCGCATCTGTCTCGTCTGTCTTGGGTGCTGTGGATTCCGAGTTGGCGTACCAGTTCAGGTCACGACCCTGCTGCCATCGCCCGACGGGGGCCTTGAGACTGTGGCCGAGGTAGTTCTCGCGATGGGTCGAGTTGGCGACTTCATCCCAGCTGAAGTTGACACCACCGCGGGAGCCTGACTTTCGTACTGTCGAGAGCAGATCCATGTTGATGAAAAGGCGCCGCTGGCAAGGCGGGTTGTATTTGGTCAGAAGAGCTCGTGGGACTGTCTAACGCTGAATAGTCGTCGCAATTCCGAATCTGATATGCTTGGGGTGTTATTAAGTGGATGGTATTGTGAGCATGCAGCCTAAAGATGAATGGTGAAGTTTTGGTGATGATGCGACGTGATGGCTTGGGGCGGAATTGGTCCGCAGGGACGAACCGCGAAAATACAGGGCGTCAGCTTTATCAACGAATGCATCCACTAATCTGGGGAATGTCTCAAATGGGCTTTTGAACTCTGTAGATCAAACAAAAGAACGCCTTTTCTCATTTGAGATGTAATATAGTCTTGCTTTAGTTTTCAGAAACAAGTAATTAGTTGTTACTTTTATCCTTTTTTTTTATTTCTTTTCTTTTAGGCGCTCTATCTCAGGACGTAGGAAGAGCTTCACAGAACCCGTGCTTCAGGACCCACTGTAACCGTGCAGCCGCTACTCAGAGCTTCGTCCCAGCGCGTACCAAATCCCAGCTCTCCCTCCCGCCCATCATATCCACCACCAGTCAACCAAGATGTCAAAGTTAAAGTCGAAAGAGGCTCGCCTCAGGGAGATCCAGTGGCACTCAGCAGAAGACGCCGAGTCGCTCGGTGGCCTCCACTCCAACACCATCCTCTTCTACTTCTCCTACTCGCCCTTCTTCGAACGCACCTCCAACAATGCCGTCATCTTCTCCCAGGCCCAGGCCAACCAGACCATGTTCCACCTCATCCAGACCCGCGAGGCGTTCGAAGGCCACCTGAAGACCATGAAGGGTCTGCAGTTCGTCGTGGCGGAGGAGCCTGCCGAGTCGGCGCCCGGTACCGGGACGGGCGTGTGGGTGATCAGGAAGCAGACCAGGCAGGTCAAGTTCCAGGAGGAGGAGATCATAGTCCACGCATACTACTTCATCGTCGGGCTGAACATCTACATGGCGCCGACGATGGCGGATCTCCTGGCTACAAAGATTGTAAGGGCCCCAGCTTTCCCTTCGGACCAGGGACGATTTTCTCGTGGCTAACTGCTCAAATCCAGATGATGATCTCCTCCGCCATCTCGCAAGCCCTCACCACAGCAGAGAGCATTAAGAAGTGGCAGGCCTCTACGGGCCATGTATACCAACTCCCCGGCACTGCTACGGCACCCAAGGCCACCAAGACAGTCGAAGCCAAAGCAGAGACACCTTTGCCTGATGCGACGGGCAAACCCGCGCCTGCGACTGCCTCCAAGAATGACGAGACGTCGCTGGAAAAGCTCATTGAGGAATCCTACTGGATTCATATGAAGTACGGAGGGGACTATATTGACGAGAACCCAATCACGGGAAGACCAGGGGAATTCCACCTGTCGTCCACTGGCCGAAAGCCAGTCCCTCCTCCAAAGGCGGTGGAGCAGACCGGGATTGGCGCCATCAGCGGGCCAAAGCTGAACACCAAGATAGTCGACAAGAAGGACGGGAAAGAAAAGTCTCCAAAGTCGGCAACGATGCCTAAGCTCAAGAGGAAGAAGAGCAGGGGCCCCAAGGGTACTCCCTCAGCGGCGGCAACCCCCGTTGCCACCACACCCGCCGCATCGTTTTAAGCTTCTTCGTTTTGGCTAAGGTGAAATTGGAGTTATGGCGCATGGAATATACCCATATCGGTGGAACGATAAAAATGAAAGGTCAATTATGTTCAAAAAGATCATTCCAATTTCCAAGTCGGGCTCTGGCCTCGACATGATTATCATGAGTATTCTATAATCTATTAACTGATGCTGATTTGTTTATTCAACTACCCATCCCTTCCCAGGTAACTTCTTCTGCTTGACCTTTTTGGCGGGCAGCGGCCAGCCTTGCCCACCGGAGTTTTCAGCTCTTAAATATGGCACAACCCAAACCTCTCTTGTCATTATCCCATCGGCGCCAGTCGAGGCTTTGATTTCCTTTATGGGCTTTCCGTAGCTTAACAGTGGTGTCCCCTTGGCTAGTCCAGCTATCTGGGCACCAGATATATCCGTGAGAGAATACATCCTAGTCTTTGGTGTCTTGGTCGAGTCTAGGCCTGAGGGTGTTGATCGTTGCAGGTATGAGTACACGATATAATCTGGGCATTCTTGCGTGCTCAGATGTGCCAAGGGAGATGTTGGGTGTATGTATACCGTGCCGCCCGATTCCTGATCTTGCACGGAAAGAAGAGGCAAATATGGCACATCGATGGCCCGTCTTGGTTTTCGATATTGCTCAGGTGGAGTCGGTGCAAGGTCGGCTCGGATGGCTATGTGGTCGACAAAGCCAGCTGCGGCCATTTGCTTGAGGGCAGCCACTTGCTTGGGGGATGGGGGATCAAGCTTATCCTGGTACTTCAAGTTCGCAAAGGCAGGCACGTTAACCCGTAAAAGCTCGGTGATTTGCTTGCGTAGTTGCTGGATTTCCTTGAGTATCTTGAAGCGAACAAAATGGCTTTCGCACCATTGCTCCGTTGGCTCGTGCGCGAATTCAGCAACGACTTGAAGAAGCTTGATTGCATCAGACTTGTCATCGAGGAAACAGAAGTTCCTGTGGACCTCGTTGTAGACTCGCCTGATCTGTGCTTGTTGATCCTCTGCAATAACCTCAGATTGCGTCCGAATCTCCACATTTTCCTTGGCTGCAAGTGCTGGCACTGCCGTGTTCTCTGGAAGAAAGACATCGGCCGCGGACAAGCCCGCGACTAAAGCGATTGTGTAAGGCAGACAGTCATGCAGGTGCCCAACAAGGAGAATTCTGGCAAACCGAGGCGAGAGTGGGAACACAGACATTGTTTGACCAACCTGAGTCACTTGCCCACTATCCGATATGGCTGATAGATATGTGAGAAGCTTTTCGGCTCGTGCCAAGTGTCGTCGATCCGGCGGAGTTGGGAAAGGAAAGTTCACTACATGCTGAAGATTCATCGCTTTGAGCTGCAAAACTATGCCTTCAATAGGCATACGCAGCAGCTCCGGATCCGAGAATTGCACAAAATCTCTCTCGTAGACAGCTGAAGAATAAAGACGATAGCAATGGCCAGGTCCAGTACGACCAGCTCGACCAGAGCGTTGGTTGGCGCTGGCTTTGCTAATCCACCCGATTTCATAGCTTTGAACACCCGTAAGTCGATCATAATGCCTTTCCTTGGATCTTCCACAATCAAAGACATATCTCGTACCGGGGATGGTCAAACTAGTCTCTGCAACGTTGGTTGCAAGAATGATTTGACGGGTTCCTTCAGGAGGCTCTTCGAATACGCGGAGCTGCTCACGGGTTGGGAGCAAGGAGTACAGCGGAAGGACTTGCATCTTCAGAGGCGCTGCCTCCTGGTCGTCTTCAATCTGAAATTCATCTTCCTCCTCATCTTCCTCTCCCTCGGAGAGGATGTCATCGAACTCATCCCCAGCATTCTCATCGGCATCCCCAAACTCGATGTCCTCTACTTCAACTGGAGCTTCGTTGGCTGTTATTTGAACTTTGGGGGGTTCTGCAGACCGCATTCCTCCAAATGCTGCCTTTAATTGCTTGCTAAGTTGAAGAATTTCGTTGCGGCCAGTTAAGAAAACCAAAAAGCCGCCTGGTGGAAGCTTGCGATGTCCACGGCTGATCTTCTTGAACGCTTCCTCGACATAATCGGAAGAGGTCCGTCGCGAGAAATGCATTGTGACTGGATGCTGACGTCCCTCAACTTCGAGGACCGGGGGTGGTGTTGAAAACAATGTTGGGTTCATTGTAAGATCTTCTATCCGGAGGGTAGCAGACATGATGATCAGTTTTAGGGGCTTGACTGAGGAATCTTCCTTGGAAAGCTCAGCCCGTAGCTTGATCACTCGGCTGAGCATGCCGATAAGGATATCTGTGTTGACGCTTCTCTCGTGGGCCTCATCAATTACAATTGCAGAGTACTTTCGCAGTGTAATATCCTGAGCGATTTCTCGCAACAAAACACCATCAGTCATGAACTTGATGGCGGTCTTGGAGCTGACGGTACCCTCGAATCGGATCTGGTAAGCCACTCGGTCTGAATGGTCACCAAGTTCCTCGGCAACTCTCCGCGACATACTGACTGCCGCCACCCTCCTTGGTTGGGTAATTCCAATTAGCCCTGGAGTGGGCGAATCTGGTGATCCGTAGCCGGATTCATAAAGAAATTGAGGGATCTGAGTCGTCTTTCCTGAACCAGTTGCACCACAGACCACGACAATATCGTGGTTATGTATGGCTTCCATCAGTCTCTGCTCCTCGGAAACGACAGGTAGCTTGAGCCGAGCTTCTTGAATTTCCGGCGTCCTTGTGACTGACACGCTGAATACCTTCCTGTCTATTCTCTCGGTCGGCTTGAGCTCCATTGGCAATGGGTCTTGCTCGGGGGCTCGAGGAACAAAATTATCAGGCTTGGGTATCACTAAATTCGAAGTGGAAGTCTCGTCCGTTGGGTTGAATCCAAGAGCTTCGTTCCGCTGTTGAGTGGCCCAGGCCTTGAACGCTGATGACCTGGCAACTTTGGATTCGCCACCATCCTCTTCTGGCTCGGAGTCGTCAGAGTCCTCATCTGAATTCTCACTATCCTCATCCGAGGGGCCATTTCCTTGACTCTCGCCATCCTCTACTTCTTCTGAATGCTGGTCGTTGGAATCCTCGTCGGATGTGTCGTCTTCTTGGCTGTCATCATCGCCCTCGTCACTTTGAAAACCACCCCACTCTGATTCCTCTGATTCCTCTGATTCTTCCTCGGTCGGTACCTGAATCGGCAGACCTGTGACCTTCGACTTTACTCCGCCACGCTTTTGCCTCTTTGGAATGATCGGTCGGCCATCATCACCCACGTCTAAAGGCCTCTTGAGGCCTGCACCGATGATCGGGGCGCTGACAGCCTGAGAGATTGGCTTCTCACTTGATGGTGCTGGTGCAGACTGTGCTGGCGGAGTATCGTCGTCGCCCATCACTTCATCATCTTTTTCTCCGTCCTCGCTGGAATCGTCCAGTTCTTGGGCATCCGCATCCTCACGCTCCTCATAGAGTAGATTCTCGCGTGAGGCATCACCAGCCAGTCCCGCCCGCTGCTCCTTCAGGGCCCGTCCAAGCTCCTGCTTCTTGGTCTCCTTTCCAGAACCAAGCGACTTGCTGCTGCTGAACAGCGTAGTGTCGACCTTCTTCCCGGCCAACTTAGCCAGCAAGTCCCTGGTCTCATCCTTGCGAAGCTTGCTGTCGATGTACTTTTCCAGACGCTTCGCCTTCTTCCCGCTGACTTTCACACCCTCTTGTCGCAACTCATCTTTCATCTGTTTCTTCTTCTCCTCCAGATACTTTTCGCGGGCCGGAAGCACCTCCGTGTTGCTATCCTGCACTTCATGGCGGGCGCTCTCCTGGGCTCTCTCACGAGCCAGCACCTTGTGCTTCCTCTGACGAGGTACGAACTTTTTTGCCATTTTCTTTTCTTTTTTTCCTGCGCTTTTTGTCCAATGGCTTCGCTTGAGGAACAATTATATAGCGAGAAGCATTTTTCCAAGGCGAGCAAGACAGGAAACCTCCAATTTCTTGCCTGGTGCAGAATCTCGACTCTGGCTCGGAGGCTCTCAGGAAGGACTTGAAATTTTAGTGGATCCCTGTTTTTGCCAGAAGCCACCGCCAAAATCTTCATCTGAAGCGGGCATAGTGCGGGACCGGACAATTCCACAGCGGGGCACTCCCAGCACAGCTCCCAGCTGCCTGTGCTGTAGCATCATTACTTGCTTGGTCTGTAGATAGATTCCATATTATCCCATCTACGGTAAACGCTCAAACTATCAGCCATCATGGCCCAGGAAACAACGTTGGATGTGCGAGAGGATGCATTCCCCGCCCCCAGCCGCGCGATCTCTGGTCTCGTCGACAATATATCAACTGAGATTGCCAGAGTCGACTTCTCAGACAAGATCCTCCTCACCATCTCACAAGAGGGCCGGCTTGCGCAATGGGTAACTTCCCCCCATCACATATAAGCAACAATATCATTCACAATTACTAATATATCTCTGTTCGTTAGGTTCAAGTTCCTCTGACAGGATCTGCTTCAGGCGTTGTTGAAATGTCATTACCAGGGACAACCCGCGGCCTGCTGCCCTCTACCCACCTCACGCCCACTACCCTGCTCGGGGGCGGAGGGGAGGGCCGGGAAACAGTCGGCCAGCTCTATGCGGCACAGATTGCTAGCCAGATATCCTTGAGATCGCCAGACGACAGAAGGGTGCTTGTCCTTGGTCTGGGTCTAGGGAAGCTCAGTCCTGAGCGGGAGGCGTTTTTTGACTTGCTAGAATTGGTGCAACAAGTTCTATGACATGCATTCCACAAGAGCATACCTCATTGTCAAGATTGGAGCAGTTTCACGCTACGTAAAACTTCCTTGCTGAGCCGAAGGAATTTCATCTCTACTTGATCGGGGCAGGCTTGGGGATAATTGGTGGAGGATTCCAGGTTCCACGATTGCTACCCATGGACCACACAGCATCGTCATGATCTCATGAAGGATTTGGTCAAACGAGATTTGGTACGCAATGAGCCGCGCGTCAGGTTTCAGTAACACTAGTTCGTTTCATTGAAATACATGAGACTATGGCCTACGAGGCCTTGCCTCGCGTCAGCAGCGTGATGCCTGCTATCATCAAAACGCTTCATCTCGTACCACCAGTGGGAAATGCAGCCTCCTAAGGGTGAACAAAAACAAATAAAAACGCAAACGATAAAAATATCCTCTTTTTCAATTCATCACATCCGTGGATTCATTATCTGCATTCAAGAATGCATGCCTTGAAGCTGGCACCATCTAGACCGGATTTCCAACCTTTTAAAAATGTTCATGAAGCGCGCTCGATTTCCACATATCGCCGACGAGTAACAGACAGCATGGCCCGCAGAACCCGGATCTGAATGGACATCACAAACCGAGGGTGAGCCTACAATGTCATGGGGCAGCCTGCAGAGATAAAAAATCAAGTAGACTGTTGGATGCTAGATATATCGGCGGTAACACCGTGCAGCTCAATTAGGCCGACTGGCAGCCAAAATGCTATCATTGCATGAATACGTCACCTATGAGGCAGAAGGTTGCCGGCTCTTACGATCCCTACTGTCGTTGTTAAAGGACTGTTTAGTATTGATCAGACAAGGTCGGAAAGAAAAGATGAAACTTACGTGCTCAGTCTTCGGGAAAGCTGCTGCAAATTCTTATCGTTCTCTGCCTCATGAGCAGCCTTTTGGAGCGCCTGCGCTCTTTCTTCCTCCTGAACCTTGGCTACCTCTTCGTGAGATGGAGGTAGGCGTTCGTTCTGCAGATCCACCTTCCTGGCATCCTCGAAACTCTTAATAGCTTCCTTGATACCTTCACCCCCAAGCATCAGAGTGCCAGCAGGAAGGCGCCCACCAGAGACGGTCTTAAGCTCGGTGACCTTCTCAGATTCTTCGCGCAAAACTTGGAAGACCCTTGACATGCGGCCAATGGCGAGAACTTTGTTCTTGATTGCTCGTCGCTTATATTCGATGGATTGAGGGTCATCAATATCACCCGTGCCAGTGGGAGAAGCAAGAGATCCAGGTGAGACGGATGATGGAGTTTCTTCTTTGAGCTCCTCCTCTGAGCAAGTGCCCAAAATCGCAAGAAGCATGTCAGTGATCTTCTCTCCCACGAATGGCAGGGACCAGGTGAATACATCCATGAAGTTCGGCAGCCAGTAAGGATGGGGTGTGCAATTGAACTGGCGAATGTTCATGACGTTATTCTCGTATTTGAGAACAGCAGCCTTGTTGTTGTAAACGTCCAAGTAATTGGGAGCAGAGAAGATGGTCATAACACTAGGGAAACCGGTTGTGCGTGTTTTGCGATACATTCTGTAACCAGCATCCTGGGCTTCATGAGCTCGAATGACAGAGAGGAGGTTATTCTTCTCCAGAAAGGCGCAGGCTGCGGGGTAGGAAAAGAAGTACGAGCATCCTCGGACATGGTTGTGCAGGAAGTATTCACTTGTCTTCTCTTGACCAAAGTCTTCAAGAGGATCAGCCCAAAGGATATCGCACATGAGACCTGAAGTTGGGGGCTCTCGGAAACGATCAATCTAGATATTTTTGTTAGACCAAGCTGGCAGCAAGCTAAGGAGGGCTGGAGCTTACGTTGCGAATGTCATCAAGGGTATGAAGCTCAGGGCTGAGACCGCCATGAATACAGAGGAATTGCTTGTTCATAACAGCGGCAAGGGGAAGGGAGCAGAAGGACTCAATGCACGCGTCGTATATGTTTTCCGAGTACTTGTGCTTGCATTCGAGTTTGAAGGTGAAGTAGTCGGTCAAATGGCGGCACTCGTGGTTTCCTCGTAGAAGCCACAGCGTCTTAGGGTAGTGAATTTTGAGAGACCAAAGGTAGAGAACACATTCAAGACTGAAGTAGCCTCTGTCCACATAGTCGCCGAGGAAAAGGTATCGAGTCTCGGCAGGGTCGCCGCCAACTTCAAACAGCTTCATCAAATCGTAGTACTGGCCGTGGACATCACCACAAACAGTAATGGGAGCATCCATTTCTAAAAGGTTGGGCTCGCTTCGTAGAACCTCGGTACCCTTTTGAATGATCCATAGGGCTTGTTCCTCCGTCAAACGGCCTTCTCGATAAAAGTGTTGCTTGAGGAAAGTGATGTTTGGCTTGGTTCGAGTCTCGTCTTCGAAAAATTGTTCATCGGTCGGGACGGAAGTAGCTGGGGCTTGGACATCTACAGAAATGAAAAGTCAGCGGTCAGCATGACGCATTTAATTTGCGATTGAGTTGGGATCCTCAAAATGTTGCTATGCAGGGTTTGGGATCTCGCTTCTTCGCCATCAGAGTGACTGAAGTGGGAAGCTGATATGGTGGGGTAATCAATCTGGAGAACCAACCTTTGCAGACACGCTCCATAGTATTCACCTGAGTGCCATCCTCCATGGTATGGATAGTAAAGTCGATCTCGGGAAGAGGCTTCTTCTCCTTGATCGCGCGAATAGCATTGTCGACCTGCAGCGCGCGGCGGTCCTCGCCGGAACCTGCCTCGCCTCCAGGCTCCATGTTTGTAGCTGCGGATGGGTTGAGGTCGGAGACGGGTGCGTGACGGAAGGTAAGAAGCAGATGAACCAGTAGAGGCTTCTCTACTAGAGAATAAGTCGCGGTCGGGCAGCAAACTGGTTGTCGAGGCTATGTCGACAGAGGCCCAGCTTCGCAAAACCAGAAATTGGGCTGCCGCAGGTAATATACGTCGGAATTTCGATGAGGTGAGAGTGGGAAGTGGGCTGGGAGGAGGCACTGTGGCGGCGAACTGCCTAATAGTAGGTACGTACAGGAAGGTACATCCCACCGACCCCCTTTGTCTGTAGGTAGTGCGGTCAGTCGGAGAGATGTACTAAAACCCTACCACATCTCACCGCAGTCGCCCCCAATTGCAGTTAGTGCCCCATGTCATTTTTCCCTATGGAGGTGAGCTCATCGTGTTCAATTACCACATTTGTGGCGCAGGTCAATTCGGCTTCGGTACCTCGATGATAATGTGACCATATCTTGCCTATTTCTCTTACGAGCATCGACTTGATTGATTCGACTCCAAAGTCCAAGGGAAGATCCCGGCCCTCCCATTCAGATACGATTACCGCCCATGCCCTGGGGGGCTCTCATCCACCAAACGGTGCGAGGCGATGGCTTCTTCGTTCGGATAAGACGACCGCCCCACGGAGACACATCGCTCTCCCCATGAGCTATCAAGCGACGACGTACAAGTTCGTGCAATTCGGGCCAGCCCTCCTGCAGCCTCGCAATTTCGCCCCTAGACTATGCGAACCATTCAGCATTCGTCCGCCTACAGCACGTCAAAGTGTGTGTATCATGAGTGCCAAAGCAATGCACCAAAAAATACGTTGGGCTGGGTGCCCCGCCTCGCTGGTTGGATCGCTCGACAGGGGAGGGGCCTATCTCATCTCCCCAGCTCACGAAGTGGGTGGGACATAAGCTAGGAATAAGGCCTTGGGTGCACCAAATTAAGCTGTTGCAGCCAGACGAATCATAGACTTCGTTATCATGGTCGGATGTCCCTACAACACTCGTAAATGAGGAGATACTTGCAAAGCACACAGTCCCTCCAGCAGTCCTCTTCTTCCTCTGTTCCCCATGTTTTCCAGCACCATGCACGTATAAGCATCGTGTTTCAGCTCTACGACATTCCCGACTGGGACGTGCTAACATGTGTCTGTCAGCTCCTCTCAACATTCCGGGGGTTGGTACAAGCAAAAACAGCAGCTCCACCCCCAAATGGGTGCCAATCTCTATTGCTGACTTATTAATGAACACGGTGCTCATTCGTGAAACGAGTATTCATTCAAAACTCATAAGCACTCGCTGAGGTTGATGGCTTAGAACATTTCCCATGTAATCCTTCCAATGATACCTATCTATAGACATGTCTCGCTTTATAACTCGTGCAATTCATTATTCCTTAAATTCCCACTTTGCCCCCTCCAGTAATTTGCCCATTTATTTAAGGTAGACAGTAGCCTCCATCCACAACCATGTCGAGCCCAGTGGTATACGAGGCGGCATCCGAGGCCAGGTAAAGGTATGCACCCTTGAGCTCTTGTACTTCGCCCTCACGTCTAAGGACCACCGGATTAGCACTGTGTTAGGGGGAAGAAGAGGGGGATAACACCTACCCCATGGGGGTCTTGTTCCTCCACTGATTCTTTTCGTCAGGTGATGCAAAGTTCGAGATTTCCGTCTTGATGTATCCTGGGGAAACAGTGTTGACACGGGCAAAGCCGGTCCATTCGACAGCGAGACTCTTACCTGTGACAGATGTGATTAGCTACCCAACATTTCTCTTGACTTTGGGGGGGATGAATCGCATACAGAAGTGGATAACAGCTGCCTTGGAGCCATTGTAAACGGCCTGCAGCTGGGGAATGTTCACAATGCTACCGCTCATGGAGGCGGTGGCAATGAAGCTACCAGCAATAAAGTTGTCTAGAGGCTTGCCATCAAGCGTAGTGCCCTCCTTCTTTTGCCGTCTGAAATGAGCCCCAGCAGACTTGGCACACCACATCACGCCGTCAACGTTCACAGCCATGACCTTCTTAGCAGTCTCGGGGGATCCATCGATGAAAGGGCCATCTTCCCAGGCAATACCAGAGTTGGCGACAAAGACATCCAGACGACCGTTGAACTCGTTGACAATCTGGTTGATGGCGCTCTCAACAGCCTCAGCTGAGACGACATTCACCTGATAGGCCTTGCCTGTGATAAACATGCGTTAGCTCTGGCGGGTAGTGGCGCTTCAACGTGCAGGTCTAGGGCCACCGTTAGCTGGCAACTTACACTTCACACCATACGTCTTTTCGATGTTGTCGGCTTCCACCAGGGCCTGCTTATTGCTGTTGTACCAGATGGCCACATTAGCGCCAGCCTCAGCCAGCCCGTGGGCGATTCCGAGGCCGATGCCAGCACCAGCGCCCGACACAATCGCTGTGCGACCCTTCAAGGAGAAGAGAGGAATCACACGATCCCCCTTGGGCACCTCCATGTTGTCCTGGAGGAACGCTCCGTTCTTCATATCCACGGCCATTGTGGCGTTGTTAGCTGTTTCCAGATGACGTCGGATAGTCCGTTGGTTTAAACGGCGGATGATAGTCACGAATTGCGCAGTGGAGAGGTAAACGGGTTTCTTCGGCGGAAGAGTTTGGGATCGGGAGGACACGAAGCTTTAAATACGGACGGCGAGGCCATTACGGAGCTCCTCCCTACATACGACCTATCCCACATCTTGGGTTGGGTAGCGCTTCTACGAGTGGTACTTTGCCAGCTTTCCCATCTTGGACAAATGCGACATTTTTACCCGCGATAAACCACAGAAAAGGCTGCCTGGACTGGGGACCTAACGTAGTCGAGCCCTGCCTCGGGCGCAGAGTGACGACGGTGTGGAGCTCTGTTGGAGCATCGCATATGCTCCCCGCGATGGTTCCCTCTGCACTGGCGAGCCAGTCATTGCGTAGCGTCGGCAGCAATCCGGTGTCTTCTGCGGCTGGCGGAGCGCAATGCCATGCCATGCCACATTGCAGGGCGACCGTTGCCGCACGAGGGCGCCGGGCTAAAACAGTAATTGCCTCTGCGGAGTAGAATGTACTACATACGATTGGAGGGTTTCTGTTTCAGCTCTGCATCGTTTGCTGCACGCCTGCAAAAGAAAGTCTTGTCCCGATGGATTAAGCCGTGATTTCAGCGCCGAGTGAATCCTATTTCACGGCAGACAAGCTTTGTTATTGACGAATCGCACCCATCCGGCCGTTTCCCCTCACGAGGCTTATTCCTCCTGCAAACGCGTCACATCCAGCCTACAGTATCACGTCGGCGTAGTATCCATCAGGGTAGCGGAAGTGAGAGGTCATAAATGATAAGGGCGAAGAGGCCCGAAATGAATGTATCCTCCTACTGGAACTAGTATGGTTCACAAACCAATTTATCCGGGCCAATTGCTCCAGAGAATCGGCAGAGTTGTTCGCTGGAAAAAACTCCAGGCGGTAGTACTTATCGATTAGGCGAGCACAGCAGTTGCCCAATCGACCCCTCATCAAGAAGCAGCTTTGAATCCCAACGCGAAGCAAATACAATGCATACAGTCGCTGTCAGCACTTCCGAGGTTGACGGGTACTCTCGGATGAGAAGTCAATTCATCCTTGTTTCCCGGATCCCGGAAGCGATCAATCAGAATGCGACTTTTTGGGTCTCTATCTATGCTGCCACATGTTGTGTAAGATCACATCTGTGCGATCGTAGTTGGACAGTTTCCAGCGTGACACGAAGTCATCTCGGTTAACTACATGCGTGAGACTGTCAGTTTACCGGCATTGAACCATTACCGGGCCGGAGTTGGTCTTGTGGAATGTCTCAGCAATGATTTCACTTACTGTAGGCGCCGCACATCCTTCGAAGTCCCTTAAACTCGGCCCTGCCATGGAGTATTCTCCAATTATCAAATACTACAGCGAGACACCCATTAGCCTCTCTCTTTTCATGCCCATACTCTTCCCAATTGGAAGAAGGATTCAACCTACCTAGGACTGTTCCAGGCTGGAGTTGGAACCAGCACTCGCTCTCTTTGCTTTTAATGATAGAGTCCAGCTCACGCGCTGCAGCGTACCATCTCTCCACAACATCAAAACCGGCTTCGAGTGGGACAACACCGCGGTCCGAGTTGTTCCAACGGATCCGGCGTATCGGACCGTCTAAACCACTCTCTGTTTCAATAACCGGATAGGTAGCATCTGGAGCAATGGCAACATCCTCGTTTCCACTTGCGTGCCAAGGAATCTTGACCTCGCAAAGTGTCTTGAAATATTCAGGGTGCTTCTCGCGCAGCTTTTCTGCGGCGTAGAATCCGTCGCAGAGCAGCGACTCTCCACCCAATGCATCGCTCGGTTCGCCAGGTGGGGGGATATGAGAGAGCATATGGAAAGCCTGAAGTCCCGTCGGCTCCGTGAAATACGTCGTGTCCGTGTGCGCGCCGAGTGCGATGTTCGTGTACGCAGTATCGGCTTTGGCCAAGTCAGGCACGAAGTCGTAGAAGCCTCCGTAGTGTGTATTTCGGACGGGCCCAATACGCTCCAGCAGCTCCTCCGTGGCTTCTGGGCTAACTGGTGTGTTTTTCACGAATCCCAGCCCGTAGTGATGCTAAGAAATCAGACATGAGAAATTCAGGCCCTTCTCTGACTGCTGTCGTCCGGGACTCACTCACGATTGCAGCGGTTAACTTAGCCATTCCTGTGCCATTTTTATCCATCACATCTTTGTAGTCAGTCTCTCTTGCCTCTGCCCATTCATCCCACGAGTTCGCACTCCAGCCTAGAGCCTTGGACGGTGCGACATTCACCCCCTCTTGCCGATGCGAGGGAGCCATTGATTTCACCCAGTTCCATGGATGGAAAGACACATGTTTATCCGACCCTGGGCGCATTAGATCCAGATTATAACGTTGGAAATAAGGTCATTTTCGGCATACAGGTAACATGAACACCATCTTGTTGGGTCTGGCTATGCTCTGCCTTGATATTACTGGGAATCTGTGCATATTCGTGTCAGTAGATCATTTGCTTCGGTAGAACGAGGTTGCTAACATCAAATGTATCAAAATCCTTCTGAAGAGTGTCTTTGTTTACACACAATTGGCAGCGGCAGTTATCCCTATACCAAGTTTAACATTGTGCACTATCCTCTGACCGGAGATACATACCTCAGCCAAAATTCGGACCTAAGCTCTCTTAAATGTCAGATTTATACCTAAAGGTCCCCAGGGCGAGTTTAAGAGACGTACACATCGATAGATTGTTCTGGCTGGCTGTTCTTGGGAGGGAAGAGGAACCGTACTTTGTTCTTTTCTACCCGGACGTCCAATTGAAATGTTCTTGCGTGCAACACATTAGGCCTATAAATATGAGGCCGGCACCAAATAGACCTGCCGTGAAAATGTCAGAGTTTGGGTGTTAAATCATTTTTAGGAAGAGAACCGCACCTTGAGGCCAGCCGTGATGATGCCGTACGACCGAGCATTGCTTGCGGCGATGTGGAGTCTAACAACCGTCAAAAGGCACTGTATTCAAAATTGCGTTTGTATAGGAATTGTTTTGTTCATGAAAGTTGTTTTGCATGTTCGCCTTAGAAGATGTATTTGAAGTAGACCTCGGTTCTTGCAACCGGGCGCTAGATACGTACACGTGATACGGCAAGCTCCAACTTGATCGTGTGGCCTTCTTGAAGGCTGTGAGTACCAGCCGGAGATACCCACATCTAAGAAGTCGGCTTGTTTTCTCATTGATACACCCCCCGCTTCCAACCAAAGGATCCCCTCATTTTGCTTGGCCCTATCATGCTTTCTCCCAGCATTACCCAAATCGAGGCTTCTCCATAATTTTACCATTTCCAGCAGTATCGATTGTGCTCTGAGCCGGCCAAAGATAGTGCCAGGGTTGTGAGAAATAGCCAGGCCAGCGAACCAGATATCATATGTAATAATCATTAATCTGGTAGCACAAAGCCAGATCCTAAAATAACTCTGCTCGGGTGGTAAGCATCTAAGATGGCCCATATTAAAGCGCTGTTCGACAGGGTTGAATTGAATGGGAAGGCGCGGCAGCCTGGTGCTTGTGGGCAAGTGGGTGACAGGAGAAATGAGACACCTAATGGAAGAGTTATTATAAAACAAAGTACTTTCTATGTCAACTAGAGAAATTCAGTAGAAGAAAAAAGAAACAAAGTGATAATATATGCTGTATTATCTCTTCAGTATATATTACCAGTACTCAATTATTTGATAATACCACTCGCAGGCTTGAAAATAAACAGCTTAATGTTGGGGTGTCTCAATTTTTAATGTCACCCACGTGGTGGGAAAGCCGGGCTAACAATAAATCCGCCGAATGGCCCATCTCGAATGCTGACTACGATAATGATAGGCAGACAAGCACACGCTACATTGCCACGCAGAGCTAGCAGGTGTTCGGATTTAAACAGAGCCGTCGTTCACTTTGTTTCTTGCCTTCTTTCTAATTCGAGATATTACCAAATTGGCTGTTGGAAAACTTGTCGGGTGGACTGCTCAGAAACAGACACCAAGCTGCGGCGCCTGAACGGCCATGGCAGCTCGTTCGAGTTGAAGCTCTGTCGAATTAACCCCCCCCCCCAGATAGTCGCACACGAGATCACTCGACACCAGCATGTCTTCGCGCCAAGCAAACTACGATTCTTTATACTTCGATCGGCTAAGAGACAGTCGCCAGCCCCTCACCATCGAGATTATCTGGAAACGAGTCCAGCAGCCGGATGGGATCATCTCCGTTCTGATCCTTTTCGGTTCGATCCTCTACCATCTCTATGGATCGCCAGATGCACTGGAATCGGGTATTAGGTGGCTTGGATCGTGTATATGGAATACGCTTGTTTACCTTACACCGTCTCCCTTGATCAATTCCATTGACAACTGGCACGGCTCGCTTCAAACACCCCGATCGATGCAGTCCTCACGATCAACCACCCATGCTGAGAAAAGCGCAACCATGCGGCGGCTGTTGGGCCTTGACCAGCAGGGTGGCATGATGGCCTCGGTATTCAAAGCCCGGACGCGTGCGATTTCGATAACAGGCAACGCGCTCGGCTTGAAGGGCGAGGTGGAAAAGCCACCTGGGCTTGGTAACCGGGATAATTCTTGCTTTCAGAATAGTATCCTCCAAGGCTTAGCTGCTTTGAATACCTTCCCAGACTACCTTGAAAACTGCCTGAAATATGCTGGGGCCGCCCCCAAAAACACAAACGGAGCTGTGACCCAGACACTTCAGGAACTGCTGGCCGACCTGAACAGCGCTTCGAACAACGGACGAACCCTCTGGACGCCAAACAAGCTCAAATTCATGAGCACATGGACGCAGCAGGATGCCCAAGAATACTATTCCAAAATTCTGGACGATATTGATAAAGGCGCGGCGAAAGCGCTCCAAGCTTCAAAGCCGCAACCAGGCCTGGAAACTCCGCCCAACAAGGATGATACTGCCTCAAGCGAACATAGCGATGACAGCGGCTACCAAAGCCTGTCAAACTCATCAAAGTCATCAGACTCGATAGCTTTGCGAAACCCATTGGAAGGTCTCCTCGCTCAGCGAGTTGCGTGTGTTCAGTGCGGCTACTCAGAGGGACTGTCGATGATCCCATTCAACTGCCTCACACTGAGTCTAGGGTTAGGCCGAAGGGAGCATGACCTCTACGAGCGCTTAGATGCCTACAGCGATATAGAATCGATTGAAGGCGTCGAGTGTGCCAAGTGCACTTTACTCAAGGCTCAACGGCTATTATCCAAACTCCTAGAGACGTTGCGAGAAAAGGGAACACCAGAGGCGCAGCTCATAGAACCTGTACGGCGGCTACAGGCCATTAACGAAGCCTTCGAAGAGGATGATTTCGAGGAAAAGACCCTCACAGAGACATGCAAAATATCTCAGCGAGGAAAGGTGACAACTACCAAGACCAAGCAAGTTGTCATTGCCCGCCCGCCGCAAAGTCTAGCTATCCACATCAATCGCTCCGTCTTTGACCCTTCAACTTTCAACACGATTAAGAACTCGGCTCCTGTCAAATTTCCAACAACTCTGGATATTGGACCTTGGTGTCTTGGCAGCGCTGACAATGACGAGGAATCCAACGATTCACAATGCGCAAACTCAGACAGCGGCCATGGCGACGAACAGTGGCAAATTGGTCCAACGGCATCAATGGTTGCTGGCGATCTCAAACATTCCAAGTTGTCCGGGCCCATTTATGAGCTGAGAGCAGTAGTAACACATGCTGGAAGACATGAGAATGGGCATTACATCTGCTATCGCAAATATCCTCGGATATCACCGCCATCGAGTCCCGTCATCAACGAGAAACAAGCAGATGGGGATGTGGAAGATCATGTGGACAGCAATAGCCCTACAAACACGAATATCGACACTGACACCGTTCATGATGCGAGCCAGATGGATTGGTGGAGACTGAGCGATCACAATGTGTCCAAGGTCGATGAGGAAGTGGTCTCGAATTTATCATCCGGGGTTTTCATGCTATTCTACGACTGCATAGACCCAAGCATGATTCTGTCGTCAGATTCGGACACATTGTCAACCAAATCCTCAGAAGATGATGATAGTGGGGCAATAACTCCTACAGATGATTCAGGGGTAGCGGTCGAGGAGGAGCCAGACCCAGTTCCAGCCTTGGCGCCATCCGTGCCTCTGCCGGCCGAAGCCCAGGACCCAGTGAAGGAATCTTGAAATATTAGAATGGGGACTGAGAAATCTGGCTTGGTTCGTATTGTTATCGTGTACAATTTCTTTGTTTGCTACAATAGCGGCAGCAACAACTCAGTTCTGGGCATACATAGCGACGGTGTTGGGGTCTTGATCTTTTTTCTCTCTCTCAGTAATAAGCCGGCCCAGGAGTTCGGATGGTGCAGTGTGCAGTGGGTACGATCAAATAAATAGCTGGGTCGATAATGTTGACCACATTGTATAAAGCAACTCCACGGGCAAAATGATTGGAGGATGAGTCCCTCCGGGGCGTCCGGCGTAGATAGGGCGGTGATCTTTCATCAAAATCGGGATCGCGAGTTTCTAGCCCCTTTTAATCAGGGTCCATTGTGGGTGCGGCTTCATCGCCGCCAGACGGCGCTCTTTTGTCGCTTACCTCAATTGAGGACCTTAGCTGAATATATACCTACCCATCGTTGTGCAACGCTGATGAGGATAGAAACTGGGCCTTTTGTCCAATAGCATGCTGCCTTGCATTATGAATCCCTACCAGCCCTTTGCTAACAACAATGGGCCTGGCAGACGTACCCTCGACCACAAGACGCGCTGTCAGGGTACTTTGGGTGTGATCTGACAAGTTACCGCTTGAAATAGTATCATCGCATCCTCCAAAGCGCTACCCAGTAATACATTCCTGCATAGTACCGGTACATAGCCCACCTGCGAGCCAAGAGCAAGCAACACAGGGTCAGGGCCTTGCGATTGGCCGGCCATCCCAGCACGGAACCAATGTGGGAGACCGCCAAGGGGCAAACCCGTACTCGCTGAAGTTGCGCCTGTGGTTGCCTGTCTGTGGTTCGTGTAGACAGGCCGCTGCTCCATTCCCGTTACGAGAAAATGATCGCACAGGCTACGTCTGACACTGAATGACACACGACGCGTCATGAACAGGAGGCGGGCATGTCGCTTCAGGAGGTGCATGCTGCTAGGTTCCCAATGATGTCTAGATAGCGCGCTTCACATGCGTGGTTCTGGCAGATGGCGCCGACCTGACAGGCACGGAGATGGAGCAAAAAGGAGGGCGAGAGACGCAGCTAGCACTCGTTAGTTAAGGGAAAATATATATCTCTGCAGGCTCCACGCGGTGCCAATGAACTGTCGGCATCGCGTGCCATCCAGCTGCTGAACTATTGGGCAAACTAGTAACACCTGTAAGTAGCCCGCACTTGTACCTGTACGTGATATTACAACGCAGGTAGCGTGCAGATTGGGAGGTAAAGTGGCATGGATGCAATCATAAGGCGGACTCCTTGGCGAGGAATGGGATGGGTTCTGGTCCCGATTATGGAGCGGAGGAGGGGGGAATCGCCTGGCCGCACAGCTAATCAGCAGCACTCGATCGTATCCGAAGATGGGAGCGCTGGGCGGGATTGGGCTGCTGGGCGCTGGCTGGGGATCAACGGGACTCAGCGCCATTTGTGGCCAGTGGGGGCTGATGGTCACCTCAGTGGATGGACTGGACAGGGCAAGGCTCGACTCGGGCGTAGTGCAGGGCCCGTGGGCGGCGCATGTACCTGTACCTGGCCTCTAGCCCAGGGACCGCATTCAGCCCGCTTCTGACACCCGCTCGAAATTAGGTTTCAGAGGGGGAGGCCTCGTGAAAGGCCCCAAAGTACACTTCCAATCCAGATTAACACCTTCTATCAGGCCAGCCCAGGCCAGGCCGGCCCAGAGTCCACCAACCCAAAAGGCCATCGCATTTCTGCCGGTGGCTTGCTTACTATTCTTACCTTAGCAATTTGCAGCCTCTCTTTGCGGAAGCTAAGACCCCTTGCTTCCTCTTCTTAAGTTTCCCGCTACCCCTTTCGCGGTGGCTTTTTTTTTTTTCGCTGCGATCTGGATTTCCTCTCCCCTCGACCGTCTCCTCTTCACCAATCTCACGGGGAGTGAACTCTGACACCTTGACTCAGTTCCTTCACCGTTGTTCACTCCTTTCTTCCTTCGTTTTTTTTTCTCTTCCCGTTTCTATCATTACCTGCCCGCCAGCCAAGGCCTCTAGCTATTCCTGCTTGTGGTGATTTGGGCCGAGGAGAGACCCAGTAGCGAGCCAGCGACCGACCAACACACGTTTTCCGGGGACCAACAAGCCCAGTAATCGAATTGATACCACCACCCGTCATTTCGCAAACTTGCTCCTGTTCTGGTCCTGCAAAAGAATTGCATCACCGGCCAACATGTCGCCTCATTCGCGGGCGTCATCAAACAGCTCCGACCTGCCCATGGTCGAGACGGCGCAGCGAGCTCGCGCAGAGTCGCTCATTGCTGAGGAGGAGAGTTTGAAGCACAAGGAAGCGCAGAGCAGCACGCTGTCGCTGCATCCTGCCTTTTACATCCTGTGAGCAGCATTCTGCCAAAGTCAAGACCTGTGGAATCCCGAACTAGTCTTCTAATCAATCTCGGACGCGCAGGAGCTGGATTTTCTTCTCGAATTTCACGATTCTCTTCAACAAGTGGCTGATTGACAATGCCGGATTTCGTAAGTAGACCCTGGATTTTACAAGCGCCACCGTGATCCACTCGAATTCCAGTGTGGTTCTGAAAGCAAAACATGTTTGCTAACTTTACTCTCCAGCTTATCGTACGTATCTCTTATCTCGTCTTGGTGTAAATCGCTGAAACTCGGAAATGAACTCGACGTTTGCCCGGGTGGTTTTGACCATTTTTACTGACAACGCCTAAACGTACAGCCATCATCCTGACCTGCTGGCATCTGGCTTTCGCTACCGCTGCCACTCAACTGCTCGCTCGTACTACCAAGTTGCTCGACAGCCGCAAGAGCCTGCCCATCAACGGCCGATTCTTCGTTCGAACCATCATCCCCATCGGATTCCTCTACTCGGGATCCCTCGTCTGCTCCAATGTGGTCTACCTATATCTCTCCGTCTCCTTCATCCAGATGCTCAAGTCGGCCTCGCCCGTGGTCGTTCTCTTCTTCTCATGGCTCTGGGGAATGGCCGACCCCACCATGACCCAGCTCTTCAACATCCTGCTCATCGTTTTCGGTGTAGGATTGGCGAGCTACGGAGAGGTTGGTTTCTCGTGGATTGGTTTCATGTTCCAGTGCGGTGGAATCGTTTTCGAGGCTATGCGACTCGTCCTCATCCAGATCATGCTGAGCTCCGAGGGCCTGAAGATGGACCCACTCGTCTCTCTCTACTACTATGCTCCCGTCTGCGCCATCATGAACTTCATTGTCGCTCTGGCCAGCGAGATTCCCAAGTTCCAGATCCAGCATGCCTGGGACGCAGGCCTGCTTATGCTGCTCCTGAACGCCCTTGTTGCTTTCATGCTCAACGTTGCAAGTGTTTGCTTGGTAAGTTTGCTCCACGAACCCATGCAGGTCTTCTTGGCTTTGATACTAACTGACCCCCCCAGATTGGCAAAACCTCTGGTCTGGTTATGACTCTCACCGGTATCTTCAAGAGCATCCTCCTGGTCATCGTGTCCGTTATCATTTGGCAAACCCAGGTCACTCTCCTCCAGGGCTTCGGCTACAGCATCGCCCTGTTCGGTCTCTGCTGGTACTCCCTGGGCAAGGAGCAGCTCCAGCAGTGCTACCAGCTCATCACCTCGACCTCCCTCGGAAAGTCCGCCATGGCGCCCGAGCGCAGGAGGTGGATCATCCTCTTCGGCGTCCTCTGCTTCATCAGCATCATCACGGCGGTCGGAATCTGGAGGGGCCCCTCGGCCGTCAAGAAGGCCACCGACATGTTTCCTTCCTTGTTTGGTTCTGAGTAATGGGATAGGTCAGCACGGGCGTTGGATTGGCGTGTACACACCTTCTAAGAATTATAGACATTGGGGCCTTGGAACTCCCTTTTTTTTTCACACGGAATTATTTGATTATTTGGCAGCCGAGGTGCTGTCGTCATGATATCCAAGACAGTTGTACGAAATCATCTGATTATTTTTCAACATTTTCACATAAAATCAATCCATTTCGGTGTAATTCCTTCATGATTAGTTTTCCTAGTACTACATTTTAATAGATGAGCCACTCTTCAAAACAAGGCACCCAAACGACCTGATTCCACTCATGATGTTCATGTAATCCAGACAAGCAATTAGCGCCGGCTCCTACTTCGGCGACGGCTTGGTGTTCGCCGCCGGCTGCGAGATCTCTGCCGCCTCTCTGGCCGGGGAGACAGGCTCCTCTCTCGACGAGCCCGACGATCGCGCTCTTTGTCTCTGTCGCGATCTCGTTCCCTGTCCCTGTCCCTGTCCCGATCCCTATCTCGCTCTCTCTCCCTGTCCCGATCCCTGTCCCTCTCGCGGGCTCGTTGATCACGCTCACGCTCCCTGTCGCGGTCTCTATCACGTTCTCGATCTCGATCCCTATCCCGATCTCGCTCACGATCCCGGTCTCTGGGGTGGTCCCGATCACGGTTACGGCTGCGGCTCCGTGTGCGGCTCCTACGACGCTCTCTGTCCGACCGTCCACCAGGGACATATCTATCCGGGTCGACGCGAGGTCGATCGCCGGCCGAGGGATCGTCGCGGCCGGCCTTGTCGCCCATGATGCCTGGGAATGGAATTCCTTTCTCGCGTGCGTCCTTCTGTGCAGCCAAGTAGGCCTTAGCTTCTTTTTCGCGCTTCTTGACTTCCTCGAGTTTCCATTCCTCCAGGTCTTGATTGTCGCGGGCTATACGCAGGCGGGGGACTGCTGAGGTGGGGCGTGATGAGGAGCGTTCGCGCTTGTCACGCTCGCGTTCACGTTCCTTATCTCTTTCCCGTTCTCTGTCTCTATCCCTTTCTCTATCGCGGTCACGATCTCGGTCTCGTTCACGATCCCTATCTCTGTGTCTGTCCCGGTCTCTGTCCCGATCGCGGTCACGATCACGATCTCGCTCGCGGTCCCGGTCTCGGTCATGGTCACGATCTCTTTCACGATTGCGGTCCTGTTCGCGATCTCGTTCTCGGGCCTCGTCTCTGTCTCGACCACGGCTTCTTTCCCTTGGCCTATCCGTATCAGCTGGACGGTCTCGGTGGCGGTCACGCTCACGGTCGCGCGGATCATAATGGTCGGCCTGAGCTCCAGGCTGACTTGGCTCGCGTCTCGTTCTTGATCGTGTTCTCTCTCTTCTGGGTCGCGAACGAGAGCGAACACGTCTGGGTTGTTCACGGTCTCGTCCTCGACTGCGGTCACGATTGGTTTCCCGAGCATCTCTAGTTCTCGAGTGGGACTTCTCGCGCCGATCAGGTCGTGTATGAGAAGCACTGGTACCTGGTCGTTCAACCTTGCTTCGGGATGAAGCTCGCTCTGTTCGATCATCAGGCCTCTCGTCTCTTCTTGTCCGGGATCGAGACCTATATCGTCGAGCCAATGAACGGCTCCGTTCACGCCTGTCTCGGACTCTAGAACGGCTTCGCTCCCGTCTGGGCGAGCGTGAGCGGCTTCCATGTCTCTCTCGTGCTCGGCTTCTCTCTCTGGGCTTCTCGCGGGCACCATCACGATCTCGAGTCCGGGACGCACTACGCCCGGACCTTCGAGTACGCGACTCGGCCGTACGTGCTTCTCCAGATGGCTTCTGGTCCTTTCCCTCAACCTTCAAGCCACTATCGCTAGCCTTACGAGAAGAAGAATGCATAGGCGAATCTCTCCGAATGGGATTGATTGCGGAAGCCGGACCGGTCCTCCTTGGTGGTGGTGCCAGGGCGGCATCGACCTCAAGCTCATGTTGCTTGCGAGCTGCCCGGCTACTCTCTCGGAGAAGATCTGCGAGTGCTTCCTCCTCAAGCCGCTCATTTTCTTCCTTTGAAAGCTTCTCTTTGAATTCCTTCGAGACCTCCTCCTTTTCTTTTAATCGGCTGCTTCTTTCGCGGTCCCGGTCTCCATCACTCTGGCGATCTCTACCTCGTGTGCGGTCATCTCGTCTATCGCGGTCGCGGTCTCGGTCGCGGTCCCGCTGTCTTGTTTCTCGCTCAATATCTCGCTCCTTTTCTCTCTGCTCTCGCTCCATTTCACGCTTGCGTCGACGCTCGTCTCGTTCTTTTTGGCGTTGCACTTCAGCCTCTTCCCGTTCCTTTTCGATCTTCTTGCGTTCTTCCGCTGCGATTCTTCTCTTCTCCTCCTCGATCTCAAGCTCCTTTCGTCGAAGCTCGTCCCGAATTTTCTGTCTCCCTTCCTTTCTCGCATTCGTGTCGGCGAGGTACTCGTCATCTGTCTTGGCGCCACGCACTCGCTCGTCCTCGGCAGCCTCGTCACCTATCTGGGCGCGACGCGACCCTCGAATACTCTCCTCGATTTTTCCAACGTCGATCAACTGTCCAAGAACGCCCTCGGCTGTGTTATAAATGCCTTTTCGCTCCAATGCACCATCGATCAGTGCTGCACCTTTTCGTCGGTCCAGGGTGAGGAGCTGCTGAGGATTCCGTTCCACTTCCTGCTCGGCGACTTCGAGAATGGACTTGGTGATCTGCTTTTCGTAGTCCTAGAACCATGAGTTAGAATCAAAAGAAAGATGGCTACCCTGCGTAGTAGAAATCGGGCTATAAACTTACGCTGGCTTGGAAAGCCTCCCATGCCTGCCGTCGAATAGTGTCGTAGTCACCTTCTCTCTTGAAGGTATGGGCCAAAACATCAATTGCGTTGCGAGTCGCCGAAGGCAGGGGCAACTCGGAGGCCTTGAACTTCCGTGGCCCATTTACTTCATTTTGCGTTCCATTTGAAGCAGGTACATCACCGTTGACAGTCGCCATCGTGAAGGCGATGGCAGAGTGTCAGGTGAGATCAGCTCGAGGGCCCAAACGAGATGGGCCGTGCAAATATGTTGGGTTGCCCTAGGATGACATAAAATACGGTCAAGTCATCTTTGGGAGCATGACAGTATTTGGGCTGACTGCAAGTGGATGATGGCACCTGGGAATGGTCAAGCAACTGACTGTTTGGGAGATGGCACGAACAAATTCAGGAAAGATAATTGGGCGATTAGTCGAGGTACGCCGCGTAAAACGCCAATTCACGTGATCACGGTACTAAGAAACAAAGTGTATGGGATGAAATGGACATCACCCCCTTGAAAAGGTTGGGATAGAGTAGGAAATAAATTGAATTGAGAGGGGAGAAAACTCTGCAATGGCGTACAGAATTGTTTGTCATTGCCTCCCCGAGCATTATGCTGTGGTACAATGCTGCTACAAAACGAGCATCCGTACCTAATTTAGCACCTTGCTGCAAGCTCAAACCTTGGGTGGATACCTAAATCAGGTCTCGAGCACCCGTCAAATGGTTCGCACTACGCATGTTGTAGAAAACAGTGCTGGGTCATTGATCACTCGGTTTTATCATGGGAGTATAATAGCAAATAATCAGACACAATATATACTATCCAAATATAGGCATGGACTGAGGTGCTATTGTTGACAAGGTGTCGAAAAGCATCAGGAGAAATAGAACCACCAAACTGTCTAGGATCATAATGTCAAAGGATATCATACTGTCCTAATCATAAGGTCGTAGGGGAGAGATCCCAAACCGTAACGCCATGCCAAGCAATGCACTATTTCCAACGAAAATGATACAAGCATAAGAAGCCCGTCTCTTAAAACTCACCGTCGCCTCCATTCCCGAACACGCTGGCGGTCCACAGACCAACCAATCCCCACCAGTTCACTTTCCATCCTCTCCAAAGCCCTTCAACTCCCTGGCCCTTTTGATATGCAGGAATTCCAGACTTATTTTTTACCCTGTTTCTCCTGGCGGGGGGAGCTTTGGCAACAACCTCTCGCTGACCTTCCTCCCGAGCGATATGGTACATGGTGCCAAACACGCCGTCATACTTGCCGACGGGCACGATTGTATCGAGCTTCTGGTCCTTGGGGGAGAGAGCTTGCAGGTACTCGCCGCTTGAGAGGACAGCCATGTGGCCTCTGCGCAAGGAAGTCTCGAGTGGCAGCTTCACAAAAATGGCGGCAGATGAAGCGCAGAATTTGACGAAAGAGAACGTTGTTGGTGATGCTTGGCTGTCAATCATGAAGCGGGTTCTCAATACAAGGGGTGTTGACAGGGTAAGAATAGGGTGGATGAGCGAATGCAGCATAGTGGGGAGGAGAACCAGAGAATTGCAGAAATAAGAGGGGAGAGCTCGAAGTGTAGCCAGCGTCCGGCGCTGTCCACGGGAACTCGGTGTCATCACGAGTCTGCATTAAAAGTTAGTTCTGCAAAAATAGTCGGACTTGTTAATACTGATAGACGAACCTTGTGCGCACCAAGTCGAGGGGCGCAAGAAGCACACCTGTTGCTACAGCTGCCGTTGCGGCGACAAAGAGGGAAGCCCATGGGTATGGTGATGCAATATCCACAAGGCGGTCAATGTCCTCCTTCACACCCAAATCCGGTACGTTGAAAATCGCGCTCAGAAAACTTCTAGACCAGTTTTCCAGGACGGACTGCAGGACCGTATATAAGAAGGTCGCATTGGTGCCCTTCCACACACCCCAGATCCCCTCCTTCTGCCAGAGCGCAGAACAAACACCCATGAGAGAGTCTGGACGGCGAATATCCAGATAATTCTCGGAAATAGTTTGTGTCTTCAGTGTCTGACTTTTGGCTGGCGAAACAGACCTATTGCGTTGCCGGTTCTTCGGGTGAAGCGGTGTAGGGGTTTCAGGCATGTTGGATGTGAAGAATGATTGTTCGTCACCTTCGGAATCAGATTCCCCCATCTAGAAATTTATTAGCAAACAAATAAAGAGGAACAGAGAACTCCACGTATGTTCCATCTCGGCACACTTACATCGTAAATAGATCCTCCATGCGAAGACGTCTTCTTTTTCAGCATATCGGTCCCTGTCGGTGAGGTGAGGGCTGCCTTCTCATCCTGGTCTCTGACCTGCAGAATTATTTTGGCGACCTCGAAAGGTTGCGCCATGAGGATCGACGAGTATTTCCATATCAACTCGTCGATAAAGTCCTTCACATTCTGCACCACCGTAGGCGAAGTGTCGCCGAGATAGTCATTGTAATCGATGTCCGTCAACACATCGCGGGCCTTTGACGCATAGTTCAGGCTTTTAGTCGCATTGCTAGTGCCGAATGGATTTGGACCTGGTGAGGAGATGACTTCGGAACGTTCCCCAATGGTCGGCGGTATATAATACGGCCTCAAGGGGTTGACTCCTTCTCTCGAGGTCGACATCCTGGGTCGGGGGGGACTGGAAGCATTTGCTCAAGAACAGAAAAGCTGCGAGGTTGGCCGCACATCCGCCGTAATGATGAAATTGAAATCATGCGTGAACGACTGGCTCGGAGTTACCACGGTGGGCCACGGCCAATGGATTTGCCGGGCGATAACTCGCCTTATCGGAGCTACTGGGGTTAGGTCGTCGGCGGTATTGATTTGGAATGGACGGTTTTCCAAAGGCTGGTTTGTTGCGCCCATCGGACTAGCCCAAAATCTCCTCGACTTCCCCACGGACAATTATGTGTTAGGAGGATATTGTTGCGATCGCGGTGTCAAGCATCTGGGATTCGACATTGCAGTTTTCCGGGCTTGCGTTGATTGGCGAATTGGGCTCCTTCGCTCCCACACCCCTCCATCCTCGATAAAATCTACCCTAGCGAGATCCGAGCGAGATGGCTAGCTCACGATCGGTCACAAAGTGCCTCCCAAGGCTATCTTCGACGATATGCCGTCAGTCTCGACACCTGTCCTCACAAGCAAGAGCTCCGAGCAATCTTCTCCGCCCCTCCTCTTTATTTTCTCTGCCCAGTAGAAGTATCTCGCGCCTACAAACCTCGTCCCCATATACCCGATCTTTTACAACCACTGCGCAGAGGCAGCATGGTCATATCCATCCTCCGAAGCCGGGCGAGGAGTTAGTCTATCTTCTTTGTAGCTTTTTTTTCCTGAACTTGCAAACTAATTATTTCCAAGGCTCTATGTGACTTTCATCGACAAGGATGGTCAAGACTACAAATTTGCCGTCTCCGAAGGCGATAACCTGCTTGATATTGCGCAAGCCAACGACTTAGAAATGGAGGGCGCTTGCGGAGGGTCATGCGCATGCTCTACATGCCACGTCATTGTCACCGATGACGGATATTACGATAAAATTCCCGAACCAGAAGATGATGAGAATGATATGCTGGACCTGGCTTTCGGCTTGACGGAAACCAGCCGCCTTGGCTGTCAAGTGGTGATGAAGAAGGAACTGGACGGCTTGGTTGTTCGCTTACCCTCCATGACACGAAATCTGCAGGCCAGCGACTTCAGTTAAATATCTGGATATATATGGACGGCTGTATACAATCTTGTGAAATTATCACGACTCAACTCGGATATGTACAATAGTAACAAATAGATGGCAGAAGGCGCTATTGGCGACATGTGACAACTCGGGGTATCTTTCATCAGGACTCATGCCGAAGCCCTGAATATCCTATTCGGAAAATATTAAAATTTACACTAAGCTTCCTCCAAGGCAGTCTTCTTCAATCCCCCACCTCCCGAAGCTATCAGGTCCAGGAATCCCTTTTTGCTCAGCTCGTTGACCTTTTCCTCTCTTTGATTCATGCCGATAACGCCTTCCTTCTTCACTCCCTTGTCTGCCTCCACGGCGGCGACCTGGGCCGCTCGGACGGCATTGAAAAGCTTGACAACACCTCTCTGTGCCACCTTGCGGAGTCTCCTCTCCGTCTCCATGATCTCGGATGTGGTTGTCTCGAAGTCTCCCGTGGTCTCGTTTCTTGAAGCAACAAGAACGTCCTTCACACGGCCCTTCTCGAGGGCCTTCCTCTTCTGATCGCGCATCTGCTTCCGAGCTTTCGCTTCTAATGCGTGATCCAAGACTGCTTTTGAGGCTTCGACAGCATCTGTGCTACGAGCCAGGACGGGATCTGATCGTTTTGTCGTTGACAATTTCGTAGACAGGATCTTGGACAGCGACGTCGCAAATGCGGTGGGGTCATTCCTCTTGGACTTAGACTTTTTCTCCAGGTCATCGTCACCCTCAATCTCATACTCGTCGTCCTCGTCACCAATGTCGGACGACTCTTCATCATCTTCTTCTTCTTCCTCGTCCTCATCGCTAGACGGCGCATCCTTTGCCTTCTTGGCTGGTGGCTTCTGAGCCTTTTTAGTGTTCAATGTCTTCTTTTTCCTCGTCGCAGGCTGCTCATCTTCTGAGCTGGATGCATCTTCCTCTGCATCCCCAACATCGTCCACCTTTGCATTGTGAATATCGTCGTCCGAGTCGAGTAAGTTAACGGGATCAAAGTCTCCAGTAGCCTCATCTTCTGACTCGCTGTGATATCGTTGCTTTCTTTTCTGTTTCTTAAAAGGGCGCTGTGCTCGGCCATCAATTGGCCGTTTTTTATTATAAGGTCCTGCCATGGCGGGCAGAGTTGTGTGGTTTTAAAGATGGTCGCCCTGACTGAATTGGTCGCGAAAAGTTGTTGTAGATAAGAAAATATTTGGAATTTTGCCGCCGAAATTCCTGCATGGAGGGGCCGATAGGAAGGCGGTGTCGCGCAGCCGATTACCCTAGACCTCCATCCATCCCGGACTCTTGATAAAACCAAAACTCTGTGAAATTGAAAGTTCTCTTTTTATTTGTTTTGTTTACATATACAAGGATATGAAACAATATTAATCAATGCCACAAGACATGATTTAGTCTATCGAATTAGTGAGGGGGGGTGGGTGAAGAAAAGGATCAGCCGAGAATTTGGTCTTGCAGCCAAAAGCACCCCATTAACACCTGTGACAACCAAGACTTCAGATCGAATTAATTCAGTGGAAAAACATTAATACGAAATCATGCCTAGTAAAGATAAATAGAATATAGTATCCTCGTGTTAAAACTACTTAGGTTATCACCTGTGGAATTATGTATGAGAATGGACCACCATAAAAACCCAAGATTGCAAAGCAACCCAAATCTGCATTCGTACTGTGTCTGGATACACGACGCTTCAATATCATCGAAATTCTGCGCCAGCCATGTAGTCCGCCCAATAACACATAAAACCAACCAATTACGCCCGAAATTCAAACCAAAACCCCATGGCATGTGCCTTTATAGGAGTCTAAACTTGGACCAGAAAGAAGAAAGAGCACTGTCGCTCTCGGGCACAGGTGGTGCCACGACAGTGGTGTTCCACCGTTCCTTCCCGTCAATAAAAAGACGGTACAGAAGAGAGCTTTCGCCGTCAGTGTTCTCAATTGTGAACGAACCGAACTTCGAGGTACCGGAAGGGATATACCTAAGTGTCAATTGTTAGTTGTGTGGTAAGTTCATCGTAGACGCGGGGACTTACTCTAGCTCAACATCCTCATCATCAGTCTGCTTGTATGTTGCAATGGGAGATGCAAACTGATTCAGAGGGCTCGTTGAAAACTCATATACGGTAGAAGACTGGTTCCAACGCGAGCCAGGAGGAGGTGGGAACTTCGTAGCAGCAAACTCATGTCGATCACCCGAGAGAAGAACGACGCCCGTACCTTGCTCGCCAGCGTCCCACATGGCTTCAAGGATCTTCTTTCGCTCAACTAGGAAGCCACCCCAGGTGTCCTGGAGGTTAACAGGCCAATTCTTGGTGAATGGAATTGAGGTAGCTATGACCTTCCACCGGATTCCGGTAGGAGCAGGGCGAGCCAGCCATGCTAGGAAATCTTCAAGCTGAGTTTGGCCCAGCATGGTTTTCTTCTCATCTTCATAGGGCAAGCTGTTACTGGATCGATAACTACGCGTGTCCATCATAAAGAAGCTTGCAGGGCCTTGCTCAAACTCGTACCAAGTGGCCTCTTGACGACGCTGCGTTGATGAGCCAGCCACGAGGGCCTTGGGGGGATTTTGATCTGCTTGATAAAGATGCCAAGGCTCAACGGCGGCATTATAAATACCAGTGTTGTTTGAAGACCAGTCATTGGAAATCTCATGATCATCCAAAACGTGGATCCAGCTCAGGTTCTGTGCAACAGGAGCCCAGTCAGGAGAAGCATAAACTTGGCGGTACTGCATCCTGTACTCCTCGACGGATTTACCAAACCGCTGGGGAACGTCGACATATATAAAGTCGCCCAAGAATAGCATGAATTGGGCACCGAGCTCTGGCAGTTTGTCGGCGAGATGACGGAGACCCGGGATTGCGAGGGGGTGATCCAGGGGACTATAAGGAAAGCGTGGGAGGATGCAAGAAGTGGACAAGAAGGTAAACTTCCCATCGTTATAGGCAGGCATCTGACCTGGCTTTGGAGGCGCTAAAAACTCGCCAGAGTGATTGTTCGAAGTTCTCCACTCGTACCGTCGCTGCTGTGAGTGAGGCAAAGACACTACCAACGTGCTGGCGAAGTCCGTTTCGTTGGTCGTTGCTGGGAGGACCCCAACGGTTTGCCACAGTACATTGTCAAAAGGAGGCTGGGGGTCCTTGATATGAATTTCGAAGGAAATGGGCAACTGGGTTTGATCCGGCTCCCGAATGAGGAACTTCGCTTCCAAGTGCGACACATAGCCAAGTCTGACGAAAGACAGATCATCGACCGGGTAGAGAAATCTTGCCCGGTATAATGCATCGGCAACCAGCCCAATGAGGATCGCGTTTATCAGGAAGGTGAGTGTAGATGGCCAGAAACGAGCTGCGTTTGGCGCGCCAAAGGCGATGATACTCCACGACTTGACATCCTTCTCTTTGAGCACGACCTCTTCCTCCACTTTGACCTCCTCAGCTACTACTGTGGCTTCCGACTCATCCGCGACTCCATTTTCAGACAGCAGAGGTGTCACTGTCCCAACGGTGGTCTCCTTCACGGTAACATTCACGTTGTCTTCCAACACCTCGTATTCTGGCTTAGCAAAGTACGTAGCGAAGTAAGTTGGGATGTAGACAGCAAATAGTGCAAAAGCAATGGATGGAAAATGTGCCTGCTGGGTGTAAGCTTATTTGTTTGAAGTTGGGACGACCTGTCTTGGAATCATCTGCACAACATACGGGAAACTGTACAATCAGTTAGTGAAATCGCGTGAGACCAAGTGCCCGGATGTGGTGGGGGCGGTACCAATCTGAAGAACAGAATTGCAGATATCCTCAGGGCTGTTGAGGATATCTGGGCCAATCTTGCTTGAATGGCCATTGCGACGAGTTCATTCAACACGTGTGAGCATGCGAAGGAGAATCAATTGAATTTCGAGGAGGAAAATACACAGGGTCTGATGTTGCATGATTAGAGAGTGGTAAGCTTCAGACGTTCCTACGCGACTAGGTACAAGGGTCATATATGGCTGAGCCGCGTGAGAGGGAGCAGCCACTTTCACGGTCGCACCTAACGCGCAAATGAGGTCATCTCCCATGAACGCTCGTTGGAGATTTGGTGCCTGTGATTGGACGCGTAAAGTGCCAGGCGTGGATTGTTATCTTTAGCGTGCGTGGCACTAAACAATTGGATTCTCGTCCCCCTGGACCGGCAGTTCGAAAATCCGGCCCGAAGTCCATCGTGGCCCCTTGGCTCGGGGCCACTGTAGCATCTATTCTGTAGGATACTTGATGGTTGCTTTGAATATCAAGCACGCGACATCCTTTCTCTCGCCGCCGCCAAGATGAAATTATCGACGATCTTCGCTGGGTTCGTCGCCTGCCTGTTATCCGATGCCACAGCTACTGCATTGACATACCAGCTTGCTGCACACGAGAGGGCATGCTTCTACGCTCAAACCAAGAAGGAGGGCGAGAAGGTGGCTTTCTACTTTGCTGTGAGTATTGCCCAAAAGATCTATTCTGGGGCTCCGCATCAACAATGGAGAAAGAACATCAACTGATTTGATTGTTTTCTTTTTATTATTAGGTCCAATCTGGTGGTGCTTTCGATGTCGATTATGTTGTCCAAGGCCCCGGCCATAGGGTCATCATGGAGGGAGAGAAGGAGCGCCAGGGTGACTTCGTCTTTACCGCAAACCAGGTCGGAGAATACTCATTCTGCTTCGACAATTCCATGAGTACCTTTGCCGATAAGTTTGTCGACTTCGAGATTTCTGTAAGACCAACAGCACACCCAGTCGAAGAAGTGTCCTCTAACAAACTTGCCTGGATAGGTCGAGGGTGAATCGAAAGCTCAGCTCCCCTCGAAGAAGGGATCTTCCCCTGAGCAAACGTCAATCCTCGAGGAGTCAGTTTTCAAGATCTCAGGCCAGCTCTCAACCATTTCACGAAACCAAAAGTACTTCCGCACCCGCGAGAATCGAAACTTCAGCACTGTTCACAGCACGGAGAAGCGCATTGTCAATTTCAGCTTGATTCAAATCGCTTTGATTGTTGCAATGGGCGGTTTGCAAGTGTTTGTTGTCCGGTTCTTTTTCCAGGTTTGTTGATCCCCTTTTAGTGATTGTATAACAGGACGCTGATAGTTTTCGTTAGGGCGCTCGCAAGGGATATGTTTGAAGGAATCATTCTGTGCGACATCTTCATTATATGGGGCGCAAAGTCAGTAAAAATAGGCTTTTATTGGGCATGTATTGTATGGAAGCATGCGGATAATGATATTTGCTATGCATAGGTACTTAAGATGGTGGGACAAATGTACGAGCGACTTAGTTATGAGGCCCAGGCCGGCGCCAAGGCGTACATGTGAAGTATTTCTGGCGGAATCGCAGATGATGACCATTATCCTATCTATAAGAGTGCATGCAGCGTCTGTTAATCCATAAATGCCCAGTTTCATACTTGCAGAGATCGCAACAGCTTACACCAGAGCTCTAAGCTGGCTCTTTTAGGAGTACCAACTAGACCCAGTAGTGTGGGGTGTCTTTAGCGGCTTGGGCTCCTTAGTGTGGCTCAAACAAATAAGTGGGACATTGCTGTGGCTGGAAAAAAGAATTAGCCCAGGCTTCGAAGGCATCCATCGCATCACCTTTCATTTCTCTTCACCACCAACCCTTACACAATGGCTTCGATCGCGGCATCGTTGCAAGCTTCGCTCCCGAAGCCGAAATACACCGGCGAAGACGAAGAGGCGCCTGCGCACACCAAGCAGCGTGGGGCTCGCATTGTTGGGGTTGGTCACCTGGACGACAACCAGATCGTCCTGAAGCGATCTGGCCCTCCGCCCTACGGACAACGATCAGGATGGCGACCGCGCACTCAGGAGGACTTTGGTGATGGAGGCGCGTTTCCAGAGGTTCCTATTGCCCAGTACCCTCTGGACATGGGCAGAAAAGGCGAAACGAGTAACGCGTTGGCCGTACGGGTAGACTCCGAGGGAAAGGTCAAATACGATGCAATCGCCAGGCAGGGCCATGACGACAAACGAATAATTCACACTTCTTTCAAAGATCTAATTCCGCTCCGACAACGCGCCGATGCTGGCGAGATCGACTTGGCGCGACCTGACAAGGAGGCTGTCGCGGCTACTACACAAAGGACAAAGGACGCTCTGGCAGTGCTCATCAGTGGCGCCGCTGCAGCCCAGAAGCCCAAGAATGTCAATGTTGGGCAGCGGAAAGAACCGACGTTTGTGCGATATACGCCGACGAATCATATGGGCGACAACTCCAAGAAACAAGACCGAATCATGAAGATTGTCGAGCGACAGAAGGATCCCATGGAGTTGGCCAAATTCAAACACAAGAAAATCCCTAGAGGGCCTCCCTCTCCACCACCGCCGATTATGCATTCGCCTCCACGAAAGTTGACCGCCGAAGACCAAGAAATGTGGAAAATCCCACCTCCCGTTTCCAACTGGAAGAATCCCAAGGGTTTTACGATTGCTCTGGATAAGCGACTGGCTGCTGATGGAAGGGGGTTGCAAGACATTGCTATTAACGACAAACACGCGCAATTCGCGGAATCGGTGAGAATGGCTGAACGCCACGCCCGAGAGGAAGTACAGCAGCGATCCAAGATGCAGCAGAGACTCGCAGAAAAGGAGAAACTACAGAAAGAGGAGAACCTCCGATCCTTGGCTCAGCAGGCGCGCGAGGAACGAAACAAGGCTGGCCGTAAACGACAGTCCTCACGAGACTCGCGTGACTCGCGCGACTCGAGGGGTTCTCGGGATTCAAGATCACGCTCCCGAAGCTACAGCGACTCGTACTCGGGTGCCTCTGACAGTGAAGACTCGGAGATCCGGGAACGTGAAAAGGCACGAAGGGAGCGACAAAAAGAGGAGGAGCGCAAACTTCGGCAGAACAGAATGGGTGCGGAGAGGCGCATGCAGGTCATGGCCCGGGAGCAGAACAGAGACATATCGGAGAAGATTGCTTTGGGTCTGGCAAAGCCTACGCAGTCCAAGGAAACGATGTACGACTCTAGGTTGTTCAACCAGCAGAGTGGCTTCAACAGCGGTTTCAACGAGGATAATCATTATGATAAGCCGCTGTTTGCTGCGCAGGAAGGTATCAACAGCATCTACCGCCCCCGGGCGAATATGGACGAAGACGATGATCCTGAATCTGGCGATCGCGAGATGGCAAAGATTCAAAAGGCGAGCCGATTTGGAGAGGCTTTGGGCAAGGGCACCTTCAAGGGGGCAGGCGACGCTGAGGTAGGTTACAATATCCCCATATCTGGACATTTTCCATTAGCTAACAAACATGCGGTTCAGGCTCGTGAGGGACCAGTTCAGTTCGAAAAAGAGGCTGCAGACCCTTTCAACGTGGACAAGTTTTTATCTGAAGTTGAGCAGACGACATCATCGAAGAGAGGGTATGGGCTGCAGAGCGAGGGACGGCAGCCGAAGCGTGCGCGAGTCGACGAAGATGATGATTAGGTATATATACATCGGTCACAAGTGTTCTAGCGTATTTTCCTTTATGGACTAATTGAAACCAGCTTATTAAAGCCCATTCTTCACGCGAGCGTAAAGGTCGTATTGTGCGGCTCTCCGACGAACAAATATCTGTGATGTAACGCCATTCAATCTAAGTTGCTTTTCCTGGACGGTCACGACTGAGCTGGTATGACTAGGCAGCTCTCCTATACGTGGAAAGTAGGAGGCCCTGTCCGCGGCTCAAAACCCGTATTGCCGAAGTGGTACAGACTCAGGCACATAATCTAATATCAGAAACGAGGGAGCCATGCTTCCCCACAACAACAAAGGGGATAGTCGATGACATATGGCTCCGCCAATTCTGCTCGGTAGTCAAGATCTTTCTCACTTCCGATAAACTAGGCTGGAAGATGTAAGCCGTTTTCGCGGGGAGCTCGCTGGATGATTCCCCGACAACCGAAATTGAGTGCGCGCCTATCGTGGGAGAACTGGGCTCAAGCAACGGCTAAATTGCAATGTCCCTGTATGCGGGGATAATCATCGCGAAGCCGAAGAGAACATTCGGCCACATGACATCTCACACATCCTTGTATCTCTACCTATTGCGAAAGCTAGAAAACTACTTGGGATTTTTTTTGCATTGACAGGGATGGAGTTGAGAAATGATGGGAACGCTTGGCTAAGATATGTTGTATATATAAGAGTTACCCCGACAGTGTATACAACCCTTTCTCTGGAGTGTAAGAGGATTAATTGTGGATGATTCGCACACCCGATTGTTGCTGTTGCTGCAGACCGGAATGATGTTTTCGAGGTCGTCACTCTTGTCGCTCCTTGTCTTGGGGCTCCAGGCGCCGCTTCAAGCATCTGCGAAGCTGGATGCCAACGAGACAGACGGCCGATTCATCCTTGCCAACGACCGGTTTTATACCGCCATTGACAAGTCGATAGGGTCTGTGGTGAGCCTCACTCTCGATGGGCAGGATCTACTTGGTCCCAAGAGCGGCGCTACCGGCCAGGGGCCATACTTGAATTGCTACTGCATTCCCTCGGGTTTCTGGACGCCCGGCACCCAAAAGCCAAGCTATGAGCTCTACTCTGGCACCGACTCTACCGGGACCGCCTACGGTGGCGTCAAGATGTCCGACACTTACATCGCGACGGGCCAGGTCCTCGAGCAGTACTGGTTCCTCCGTGATGGCGAGACCGGTTTGCACACGTTCAGCCGGGTGGCATATCACAACGAAACGACACCCTTCCTGCGGAATCTGCAAGAGCTGAGAACCATGTTCCGCCCGAACACTGACATCTGGACCCATCTTTTGACCAACAAGGGACACTATGCTCCTCTGCCTGGGTCTGAGGCCACAAGCAAGCAGGTCACAGTGCAGGATGCGACCTGGTATCTTGGGAACACGCCCGACGACGCGTACGTGAAGGAACTGGCGGATTACTTCACCAAGTACACATTTTCCGACCCATGGAGAGATCTTGACGCCTATGGTTTGTACGTGTACAACTCATTCTATTCAACAAATGGGCAATGACTAACTGTGTTGAATGCAGATTCGCTGATGGCTCCAACACCCCCGATGGATCGACTTATGGAGCTTGGCTGGTGATGAACACGAAAGACACGTACTTTGGCGGCCCTACCCATTCAGATCTTACTGTGGACGGTATCGTGTACAACTATATCAGCTCCAACCACCACGGTGACCAGACGGTACTCTTCAAATGCCCATCTCCTATACCATTTATACCGAAACCAAGCTGACCAGCTAATAGCCTGATATCACAAACGGCTTTGACAGGACATTTGGGCCTGTGAGACCCCACTTGTTGGCCTGATTTTTCAGAAACATAGAGTGCTGACTTGCGAGCATAGGCTTATTACTACTTCAACCGCTTCCCAGAAGGCTCCGACATTCTCGCACTACACGAGGACGCCGCCCAGTTCGCCGATCCTACTTGGAACGCCGAGTTCTACGACTCCATCGCAGAGCACGTCACCAACTACGTCCCGTCCTCGAAACGAGCAACCTGGAAGCTTCACGTTGACCTCCCCAAGAACGCCAAACGGCCGCTTGCAGTCCTGTCCCAGAACGGCGTCGACTTCCAGGAGAACGTCCTCGACACCAAGGCGTACCAGTACTGGGCCAACATCGACGACGAGGGCTACGCCACGATCCCCATGGTCAAGGAAGGCACATACCGCCTCACAATCTACGCCGACGGCGTCTTCGGCCACTACATCAAGGACAACGTGGTCGTCACCGCCTCCTCCGGCGTGAGCGTGATGCAGATGACCCACGCCCGCTGGCGCGAGGAGACTGAGGGCGTGGAGATCTGGCGCCTGGGTTACCCCGATCGCTCGGCCGGCGAGTACAGGCACGGGACCGCGCGCGACACGAAGCACACCCTCCACCCGGAGGAGTACCGCATCTACTGGGGCGCCTACGACTTCGTCGAGGACTTCCCCGAAGGGGTCCGCTTCAAGGTCGGGGAGAGCAAGGAGGCCGAGGACTGGAACTACATCCACTGGAGCGTCTTCGGGGGCCGCTCCAACTACAACAGACCCGAGCCGTACGTCGGGGACGGCAACGTGAACAACTGGACCGTCGCGTTCGACCTCGACAAGGCGCAGATCGAGTGGAAGCGGCAGGCCACGCTGACGGTCCAGCTCGCGGGCGTGAAGACGGCGGCGGGGAACACGGACGTGTACAATGCGTCGGAGCCGTACGCGAACCTGCCTTATACCGTCAACATCAACGGTCAGGATCTCGAGCCATGGGTGATTCCGTAAGTTCTGGTCAACTCGGGTTTCCAAACTGCCGGCTTCCTTCTAATACTGATTTGTGGGATAGGTATAACCAGAGCAGCTCGTGCGGTGTGCGCTCTGCTGTGATCTGCTACGGCGTCGCCCATAAATTCATCTTCAAGCCCGAGTTGCTGCGCGAGGGGGAGAACGAGTTTGTGCTCAGCTTGCCGTACAATGGCACCAACTACGAGTCTGCGTTGCTGGCAGAGACGGTGTATGTGCAGTATGATGCGCTTCGCTTTGAGATTGTCTAGGCGAGAGACGAGGTGGTTGATCGATAGGCAGCTATACTTGCTTACTCACCATCAAGAATAATCTATTCCAAAGTCCCTGTGCTCGTTAGATCCATTGTGATGTGGACATCGGGCATTGCCTAGAAAGGAGATATTGGAGTTGGCTGCGGAGTTTTACAATACTAGAGCCGCGTTTTCGCGAAAGTCCGCAAGTGGTACGAATTCCCCTTTGTATAGTAGTTACGTGCCGCAATGAGTGGAATATCCCGGAGGCACCGCCCAATGCCCGGCGTATAATGAGGGTCTCGTGTGGAGATCGGATCGGCTTCAGTGGTGATGCTTGTTGCACGAGGCTGGTCTGGCTCCGGGTGAGCAATTTTCAAAGTTCTTTCCCAATCAATGGATCGTTTACGGAGAGTAGATTATGCCGTAGTGATATAAAAGCCTTCCTATCTGATCGACCTGCGTTGGATGCATGCGGCATCATCGTTGCTGATTCAATTGCTGACCGAACCTCATCCTCAACTTCAACGTCCATCCTCCATTACTTACACCTACAAACCAACCTCACCAAAGCCTTTAATCAACCAACCATGGCCTCCCAGCTCCTCTCCCCCAAGGCCACCGCCCTCCTCCTCACAACCCCCCTCATCTCCTCCTCGTGTTCCCTCTGGTTCTCCCTCGACCAGCACATCTTCTTCTCCTCCCTCGTCCGGCCTAACGTCCGCGGCGCTGACGGGGTCCTGCCCCCTTACTTCGCCAACACCTTCTGGGCCAACCTCTGGAAGGTAGTCGGCCTCCTCGGCGTCACCACCTGGTCCTCCGTCGGCGCCATCTACCTCGCCCGCCCGCTCCTCCGCGCCCGCGGCTCCCTTCCCTGGTACGTCGCCACAGCCGCCCTGGCCACTGGCCATCTGCTCTTCGTGCCCCTCGTCGCGCCCTCCGTCGCTGCCATCATCGAGGACCGCGGCGGCCAGGCGTTGTCGGAGGGCCAGGAGAAGGGGAAGTCGAACAGCGACTACATGAGGGACTGGCTCGGCGTCAACTTCGTCCGCATGGTGACGACCGACTTGGGCGCTTGGGCTTGCGCCGTGGTGGCTGTCACAACTACATTCACCCTCTCATAATGGAGGAAGAGCAAGGCTTGGTCTGTACCAACAAAAAAAAAATCAACAAGTCGTTTAGTAGAAGAGTGGCAGAGATCCTTCTCAGAGCAACACCTTACTTACCCTAGAAATAGCCATTGTATCTTAGTTCACACAATTCGGTAGATGAACGTGTCCTTGTACCCTCGAAAATGAAATATGGTTGTAGATGTGGTGGAGTGACTGCCTTATCGCTTTGAATTTCACATATATTGTTCTACGTATACTGGATCGCTGCAAGTTCTGTTCAGAACATGTCAATCTGTTTGAATGCAGCCTCTATCGCACAGAGCATTGTCCAATCTTGGCCCAACAGAAATCTCCTCTCGCCTCCCATTCTAAGTAAGATATGTGTTACGCTTTGATATGAACCCACTTGTCACCTAACCCAAAAAAAATGCAGATACAAATAAAGAAAACATGGACACAGACATCATTTAGAACCACTCGCCACCCAACCAGCGGTTGTAGAAGTCGACGGAGTTCTCGGGCTGGTCCATGGGAACCATGTGGCCGGCGCCGTAGATGCGCATGAAGGTCAGGTTGCCGCTGGACTTGACCTTGCCGTACTCCTTCTTGGCGTTGGGGGTCTTGAGATCCTTCAGCTCAGCCTTGGAAAAGCCGGCATGGCCGTCCCACTCAAGCTCGTCGGTCCAGGCCTGGTTACCGAGCCAGTTACAAATGAAGTCCTTGTCACCGGCGTATATGAGAACGGGAATCTTGGCAAGAACATCGGGAACAATGCGGTGGTATGGCTTCATCCAGTCACCAGCGAACATGAAGTTGCGGTTGATGTCAAAGTTGCAGCTGTCGTAGGTGCTGACCTCAGCGCCAAGAGCATCCTGGACCGATCTCTGGTTGAGGTAGTCGGAGATGTAACCAAGGCCAGAGTAGCAAAGGTTAGAAGTATCCTCGCACTTGCCACGAATGTCATAGACGTTCAGACCAGTACGTTGGTAGGGACCCATCATGGCGTTGTTACAGTAGATGGTGGCGGGAACACATGACCAGGCGCTCTCAGAATCATAGCAGTTCTGGATGAGAGACTGGCATCGGGGGAGAGCGTTGTCCATCGACTGGCACTCGCCCTGGCTCAGAACAGATTCGTGACCACCCTCACCGCACGCCATGGGGCGGTAGTAAGCATACTGGGTAAGGCCGTCAGTGAGACCGTTACCAATGAGCACACTCTTGAGGTTGATGTTGCGCTCCTCATGCTTCAGGATCTCGTTGGCAAAGACGGGGATGTAGTGGCCAGCATACGACTCTCCAGCAATGTGGAAGTCCTGCTTAGCATACTGAGGGAACTGTTGGAAGAAGAGAGTGAGGAGGGCATAAATGTCCTTGCCGGCAGCAACAGTGTTGCTGACACTTCCACTGCTGTAAGAGTAACCAACATTGACGGGTTGGTCGAGGAAGATGACGGAAGCATTGTTGTTCCATGCGGAGGGGTTGTTGACGAGCTTGAGCTTCTGGTCAACAGAGGCAGGGCCCAGCTCAAGGAAGAGACCAGTGAGCGAGGAGCAGCCTGGGCCACCGTTGAGCCAGAGGACAACTGGGTCGTTCTCGGGGTCGTTGCGGGACTCGAAGAACCCTGGAGGGAGAAGGATCAGTATCATGAGGATGAAAGAGAGCGGGATAAGTGCTTACAGTAGAACAAGTGCTTGTCCTCCTCCTCGTCATCGAGGTAACCGCTGTACTGCTTGACGGTGTCGACGCCGAGCTTGGAGGGGTCGACAGACTTGGCACGAAGGTTGTAGTTCTTCAGGTAGCTATCGGCACGGCCGGTAGAAGAGGCCGAAACCTTGGCCTTGTAGACCTCCTCGCCCTTGACGATGTGATCCCAGTGGGAGTCTGGGCGACGGGTAGCAGGCTTGGGCTTGGGGCCGGAGACCGTCTGCTTGAAGGCCTCGATGGCATCGGGCATCAGCATAGAGACTTCGTCCCAGATGCCCTTGGCCTCGGACTTCATCTCGCCATAGAGCTCCTCGAATGGCTTGACCCATGACTCGGTCTTGTCCGCGAAGGTGTATGAGACCTTATCGGAGCTGCCTCCGGTGAGAACGTGCTGCTCGGCAGCAACGGCCGAAGCGGCGCCCAAAACGAGGGCAGAAGAAGACAGACGCATTGTGGCGATGCGGCGATCTAGTTAATCGATGATGGATGTAATGGGAGATGAGGAGGATGGATGGGAGGAGAGATGGAAGAGGAGGGAGGAATGACTAGCTGCTGGAGGTAGATAAGCACGGCGAAGCCTCGGGTGCCGGGCAACTCAGTCCCCAGCTCAGATAGGTTCTCCGGCCAGCTGCTACAGTAGGTACGCTACGTAATTCATGCGGGCGTGTGCATCAGCCACTCAGAGTCTGGATCGCGCCCCACCCGAGTCACAAGTGACGCCCCAGCCCGCAGGTGCCTGGCATGCAACTGCAGGTGGAACAGCGCCTGTGTGGAGGAGGAGGCCTGGCGCTAGCCCCGGTGGTACAGCAGCCTGAGCCGCGTGACTGTTTTCCCCATCAAATGCGCCATGACAGCCTGGAGCTCTCCGCTGGGAGCTGGGGGCTCGATTACGTAGTGCACAGCTGGCCTGGCGCAGCATCGAGATAAGACATGCAGGAACCAGTAGATAAGACCTGCCCCTGGTCCTTGTCCGACACCGGCTCACATGTCCATGATGCTTGGGTGTGTGTTGGGCTTATGGCGCTGCACAAATGGTTTCATTACTGATTCATAATAATAGTATTGAATTAATATGCAGTTCTATACCCATTTTCCCGTGCCAACTCCTTTGGATGCGTGTAATGAAGTCGGCTGGATGGGAATCTACCATGATAACAAATTGAATGCGCTAACCTCCTCAACCCGGTTGCTGAAAGATGATATAATACACGCGAGGTCGATGTAATACTACGATAGTGATGAACACGGGATGAATTATGCAGTCAAGTCCTCTAAAATAGCCTCGAGCTCGTCTTTCCGGAATGGGACGCTGAGCAACTCGGTGCCGAGGGCATCCTTTCGGCTAGTGATGATCTGGTGATCGTGGAATCTGGAACAAAATGTTAGCACGCTTCTTCTTTCCTTTCAGGTACGGTCACCACATGACATACTCTTTTAGTAGCGTCCGGAAGGCCATTTCCGAACTGCAAATAAACTCTTCCACCGATTTGTTATAGAGCATCCTATACTCGACACCCACTTCATCGCCTTCGCTGGCCTCCTCCTCCATCGCGATGAGAATCTCACCGACGATAAGCTGGAACAGGTTCTTCGCGTTGTCGGGAAGACTGCGAAGAACGAAAGCGACACCTTCACGGCCGTTGACACGGTGAGCCTTCCTGCCAAGGAGTTCGTGGACATCATCCACGACATTAAGCTCAACAGTGAACGGGGAAAATGTGGTACAGTCATGGAACGTGAAGTTGAAAGCAGATCTGAGGCCGATATCCCACAGAAGAGAGAAGTCAGGGGTATCTGCAGAACATGCGAGGCCGACCTGGGGGTGGGATGCCAGTTGGGCAAGTACAGACTGATGCCCGAGTTTCCTCAGAGGCACAGCATCGATCGAGTTGACAATGATCGTGAGGGCAATGTTGGTGGTCGAGAGATGGGCGAGTATGTTTTGAACCATGGCAGCCGGCTGCGTGGTCGGAATCCGCCTCTTCGGATCTACTGCAACCGCGACGGTAGCGAGGATTTCTCGCATCGTCATTGTTGATGCATAGCCATTGACCATGACGATTTTCCGCAGTTTTCCTTTCGGACTTGTGGAATGAAGGTGCTTGGCAAATTTTTGGAGCAATTGTCTTTTCGATCCGTATCCGTACAGACAGAGGCTGAAGCCTTCCGCTAATTCGAAAGCCCATTGTGGAAATGATTCGGCATGCAGAGACTCGAGGTATTGTATATCGCCACTGTGTTTTTCTTCTCTTCCATTGAGGATCTTGAAGTACTCATCATGCGTGAGCAAGTCCAACGAGGCGAGTGTATTATTCGAGGTTTTCGGCCGCCCGGGCTTATTTTGCACAAAGTAGAGCTCGTGAGGTGGGAGGTCGCGAGGAGGTGTTGGAGATCGTGCTTTCTTTCGAGCTCTTCGTTTGGTTGGAGTTACAGCAGGTTGTTCGGCCGCGTTGTCCACCAAGCCATCCACGCCTGGTTGTTCCTTGTTGCTCCTGGCACTCTGGAATATCTCATCGTCTGCTTCGCCTTCGCTTGATTCGTAAATTTCCCTTGCCAGAGCATCATCCTCATCTTGGTCGTCGCTGTCGCCATCTCCCACAACCTGCTCTATCAATGCCCTTGCACTCTTTCTTCTCGCCGAACGGTCTGCGCCTGCCTGCCTTCGCGGTGTGGCGTCGTCGGCAATTGTTCCTTTTGTCGGAGTTTGAAATGCTCGTTGACGTTTCGCTTTTGGAGTGGGCGTGTTACTCTGCGACGCTGCTTTTGGAGGGCGCCCTCTTTTCCTTGGCGTCGTCTTGGGTTCTTGGGAAGGCGCTTCCAGAGCCGGTTCCGAGTGCTCGCTAGAGTCGGATGTGCCATTTTGAATGCTGGTCCCATTAATGCTTTCTGATACACCAGACTCGACATTTTGGTGTAACGAATTCACGGAGCTTCGTCGCCTTTTCGATGGTGTAGTGGCGTCAACATCTTCCTGGGAAGCTTCCACTTCAAGATGTGACCTTTTACGGCGTAGACGGGACTGGTCTTCTGCCGGAGAGCCCTCTGTGTTGACTTTTTTCGGTGGCATCGTTTTGCTTGGTCAACGGGATTGTGAGAGTCGCGATCCTCAATTAATTTAGTATTCTGGACTGGACCGAGTCGCGACACCCCTGCCATCCCTCCAGGGACCATTCGCTTGGCGTTTGTGGCGCAGTCTTCTCTGTGTGGCGCGAGCTCAACGGTCTCCAAAAGGTACATCTCGATTCTAGCGATCGCGCATGTTTAAAAGCACACCAATCAGTTTGAATCCATCCTGCCTGTAATTAGCTACCTTAGCATCTTACACATCTTAATCCTACAACAGGCATGCTGGCTCATCATGATCAACTTCAATCTGTCAGCTACTTTTAATGTAGTCCGGATCCTGTTCAAGCCAAGCATCTGTCTTCCGCATCACACAGTCTCAAATTTCAATGATCTTCCCATTCCGCTAGATAAGGCGCTGCAGCGTGAAGGGCGCGCTGCGACCGACATCCGCGCGGTGGTCCTTGACAAAGATGACTGCTTTGCTTATCCCGATCAGAATGAAGTATATCCGGATTATAAGGTGCGCATGTTTCAAATCAATGTTTTTAATGGTTTGTCCTCGAAGACCTCGGAATATTGAATTCCCCTTAGGACAAGTTTGAGGCTCTGCAGAACGCATATCCTGGACGCCGACTTCTCATTGTCTCGAACACGGCGGGGGCTCAAAGTTGGGACCCGAAGCTCAAATTGGCCGTCGAGGTGGAGAAGAACACAGGTGTCTCTGTGCTGTCGCATTCTGTCAAGAAGCCAGGCTGTGGCAGGGAGATTATGGAATATTTCAAGCAACATCCCGAGACAGGAGTCACGCACCCCTCACAGATTGCCGTAGTTGGTGATCGACTTACAACAGATATGATGCTGGCCAATATGATGGGCGGATGGGGTTTCTGGATTCGAGATGGAGTGATTCCTCTCAAGAAGAAGAGTTTCGTGAGTATTTTCGTTTTGTTAATCCACATTCAGATAGCGGTTTCTAATGCCAAGCAGTTTTCTCGGATAGAACGACCTCTGTCGGCCTTCCTAATGGCCAGAGGGGTCGTGGCCATGGATCCTCGCAGCCCCTTTGAGGAGTAATAGGTGTCGGTTGTTGGTTGTTTTGACTATTGTACGAATATTGTGGTTTTGAACGGTCATGTCACCAGGAAAGAGGCAGAATATACGCCTTTCAGTGCACGTGTAACGTCTGTGATTCACGAATGATTCGCGTCAGGTGCCTTCCTAGGCGAAATCGCCACCTCACTGACCGCCCTATTGTTCTTTTATTTAGTAAGTTTTATCTTGACCGGCGGTGAATCGAGCGCAGCACAAATCCAGACAGCATAAAAGCAAACCTATAAGAATAGACTTGCGAGACATCCGGGTTCCACCTAGGTAACCAGCGTTGTTGAAGAGGTCTGGCCCGGCTGATTCTCATCTCACAAACAAGCTCTTGAGACACTTCACTGTTCTACGTTGTTTGACACCTACAGCGACCACCGGCGACATGGGCGGGAAAACCTGGAACAAGGCAGAGGAGCTCATCTTCTGGCGTACCATCATTCCCCAATCGCCTCAGGCTGCAAACATGTCAGACAGGTTGAAATCCTGGAATCAATGCGCCGCAATCATGCAGGAAATGATGGGCCGACCAAAACGGCGTATTTACACGAAGACGATGCTTTGTACGTGTTACCTTGTTTCCCATCGCCAGTGGTGTGAACATGGAGTAACCTAAACCACCCCCTAGACGAACACTATTATCAGAACATCAAAACAAGAAGACACTCGCCTCAAGCACGGCCATTTGTCCGTGAGCATATGCAGGAACTCGGTACGTGGGACAGAACCTCCTGCGAAAGTGATTGATTTCCTTTATCTCTAACTAAGACTTCCTTGGCAGAAAAAAACCTCCAAGCCCGCGATGAAGTGCTAGGCCCTTCAACACCTGAAAGAAACCCTCGCCCTGAGAGCAGACAACAAGACAAAGCTATGGCCTCGACGGATGAAGTGGCGTCTCATGATTGCACTCCTGATAATACCGACAAGACCACAAGCTCTTCGAGCGGAGGATGCTCACCCTTTGAAGCACTCCTTATTGCTACAAATTTGGATCACGGGAGGGCGATTTCAGCCGATTCTTCTTACGCTGACTGCTCTTTGTCGTCGATTTCTGTGATCTCAGCCTCTGAGGTTCGCGATTTTTGAAAATCCAAGCATGGCTTGGGACGAAACTGAAATGTCACTGGGATTATTCCGTCCTCAAGTTTATCTCCAGGATTCGTGGTATCTCCGAAAAGACATGGTGGGAAACGAGGGAGAGGAAGTGTGTGAGAAATAAACGGGCAATGTGGGAGTCGAAGAACTGATAGGGTTGGAGTTGTGAAATAGTATCTGTCGAGAGCCCTTGCTAAGCGCTTGGGGATAAGTTGATGGCGACCATCCGTCTAAGTAACGCTTAGCTACTCATGCTGGCACTTTGGCATCTTTACCTAGGTTTTCAGAAAGATTATTCAAACATGACATTGCATTTTTTTCTACACAGATCTGATCGAATTAACGCATTCCTCCAACTGTCCTATCTTCCCCTTTTTCAACTCGGATCAGCCTCCAAAGTCTTCGCCACATCGCCATCTGCCAAGACGGCATCGACGGAGAAGTGGGGCCGAGCAAATAGACTTTGAGCGGTTGAGCGGGAATTCTCAAGGCGGTCAGTCGCGGCAGAAATATTTCGGAGCATCCAAGATTTCCAAGTTGAAGCCGCCGCGATTGGGGTAGGACATCAACCTCCATCAGAATATACACCCCGTCCATATCTCCACGACATCATGAACGTCCCCCCTCCGAGTTTTGGCGGCTCTGGCGTTGGAGCCATGATGCCCGCGGCACCGACGCCCATGCCCGGTGGCCCCAACGACCCTAACGTCAAGATGGTAGGCTATGGACCCGAAGCAGATGGATATGTTACAAGAGCTAACTGTATTTTTTTTTCCCAAGATGCAATCGATGATGGAGTCATGCTTCGGCAAGTCCGTCATGTCCGGCGTCATGGGTTTCGGCATGGGTGGTATTTTCGGCATGTTCATGGCCTCCGTACGCCTCCCCTCCCCATCTCCTCCTCTCAACCCCTCCAAATCCCTAACTAACCCCCGCGCTCCAGATGGCATACGACACTCCATACGGCGCCCCAGGCAGCCCGCAGACCCCGGTGACCTCCCTCCCGCTCCGCCAGCAGCTCAAGATCGGCTTCAAGGACATGGGCACGCGGTCCTGGTCCACGGCCAGGAACTTCGGCAAGATCGGCGCTCTCTTCTCCGGCATCGAGTGCGGCATCGAGGGCATCCGCGCCAAGAACGACCTCGCCAACGGCGTCGCGGCGGGCTGCCTCACCGGCGGGATCCTCGCCAAGAACGCCGGCCCCCAGGCCATCGCGGGCGGCTGCGTCGCCTTCGCCGCCTTCAGCGCCGCCATCGATGCGTACATGAGGTCGCCCGGCAATGATGAATAGAGCGCCCTACACTTCTGCGGTTTTATGTATTTTTAGCGACACGAGCCTGGAAATGAAGGGGGTTCGGTTGTACGATGTGTCGGGATTTTGCTGGTTGTTGCGACCAGGGGCGTTTCTCAAAGATGATTTCACGTTTTAGAAGAAAGCATATTCACTGGCGTTAGGGGAGACAGACGGCTCTCTCTCCACTTTGGATTTTTGTTGTTGCCCTCTTGTACGAGACGGTCTTTTTTTCATATAGAGGTTGATTCTCTTGGCATCTGCTCAAATAGATGGTATAAAAAGCTACATATATAGTGTGTAAAATAGACTCCGCCTTAATCGTTCTACAGGGCCGACCAAAGAAGCCTGATCCATGTCATAACAAAATTGCCCCATATTCCAGCAGTTGGGCACTTTAAGATTCTGTTCATTTATAATCCTCGAAACCGTTATCCCATAATCTTCGTGTGCTGCCGCTGCGTGATCTATGACTTCTGATAGACTTCAAAATAGCCAAACTCCCAGTAGGCATTCGTAAATGCAGTGGGTGTCTCAGCAACATAAGTAGAGCACGTACTCGGGCCTAAGCAAGACGGACGATAAAGGTCAGTATCAGAACCACTGGTCCATCCCACCCCTTCTTTTATATGATCGAAAACTTACATCCAGATTCGGCATATTTAGCCTCGGTGAGGTCACCGCAGAGATCAATGTTGGCGGTGATGGAGTTATTCTTGAAGTGGTTGCCGATATTGCAACTCGTGCTCGGGAAATCAGCAGCTGCAGTCCCCCACGTCGATGGGTCGGGGTTCTTGCTCGTGATATCAGACGGGACCGAGCTCCTCGCCCACTGCCACACACGGATACCGGCGTCTCTCCATTCCAGGGCCATGACACCACCCTTGTTGTTGTTGAATGCTTCTCCAAACGAGCTTGTGGCTCCCTGAACGCCGCAGCCGGCGTTGTCGTTCTTGCTGTGATCGCAGGTCGAGTACTGGGCGTTACCGGTCTGTTTACGACGGACGCCCATGGAACAGCCGTCTGTTGTGTGGAGGGTCATCTGGTTACCGTCCTCACCCTGGTTCACGGACTCCATGACGTCTATCTCGCCGTTGTCGGGCCAGTTGGACTCGTCCGTGAGCCAGAGAGCACTCCAGGTAGCACAGCCATAAGGACTGTGCTTGACGTCGAAGATGAAGAGACCCTCGTCGTAGGTGTTCTTGGAGGAAATGCGGACAGAGAATCGTCCAGTGGAAGCATCCGGTTCGTCACCAGGGCCCACCGAGGTGTCAACTCGGAGCACTGCACTTTCCGAGGATGCATAAGTCAGGTTCTGGCGTGGCATGTTAGTATATCCCAAAGGGAACGAGTCAGTGATACAAAAATGGCACTGGGATGACATACCAGCGATGTTGCTTGCTCTCGAGGGACATAGTGGACAAAACCATGAGCTACGTACAAACGTTAGCTGAGTACACTTCAAAACTGGAAGAATGGTGAATGCATACTCGGGTCGTAGCCAGTGAAGTAATTGAAATTGTCAAAGAAGGATGTCCCCGAGTCTGTGTATAGTGTCAATTCAGGCCGACGACATTCGATGTCTTGGATTTGAATTCTAGCTCACATGTTTCCTTCAGAGAATATGATAACTGGGTGTAGTTGGGGTAGGCATTCTTCTTGGCCTGAGTAACACCAACGGCGACAGCGATGACGATAATAATTACCAACGCGGCAACAACTCCTATCCAGATTCTTTTGGTCCAGTATCGGGGATTCCACCACGGCAAACTGGTCTGCAGCGGACGGACGTTGCCTCCTCCAACAATATTCTGTTGCGGTGCAGCCACCACTTCTTGGTACGTGGGCGGCAAGTCGCCGGGCTTGTAGAACTCGCGGTGCACCATTCTGCCAGCAGGTAGGTGAAATGTATTAATAAATGGAGTTACTATTGATCGACCGCCAAGAAATCAACGGATCTGCTGTGATGTGCTTGATAAGTGATTGAAACGACCGACGGGATTCTGGGACAGAACGAATGAGCAGGAGTGAAAGCCTGTGTTTCTCAACAAACGAAGGTTGCTAAGGAATGTTGGAGAGATTTGAGTGTTTTCCGGGTAAAACGGTAGCAGGGACGGACGGGCGAGGGAGGAAAGAAACACTGGATGAGCAGAGCCAGCTGATGGTACCGGATCTACGCAACTTACTCCGGCATGGACTATTGCTTGAAACAGTGGGCATCGACACCATCAGGTACGTCAATACAGTATGCATATTCACTCTACTCGGCTGGATGGACATGGGTTGACGGTCTTGCCTTGCTCAAGGGAGACGCGTCCGCGCAACCCGTGGAAAGATCAGACAAATGACGGCGCTTCACATGGCATTGGTGGATCCGTTTCTGTGGTTCGCGACTCCGTGCCTGGACGATACTGTAAAAAGAATTATCAAAGTACGACGGCAGAGATGGTGGGCCGATTCACACGATCGAGGTGGTGTTGAGGATGAGACAACACAGCGGCCGTCTTCTGTGTTGGAGGGCATCGATACGAGCTGCAAAGAGCAAGAACCCCCGATGATAACATCAATATTTGGCCAACTGGGCAATACGACCTCAATCCCTCGCCAGTTGTTGATGACCAACAGCTCGTATCAGAGTCCATGGAATGGTGGAGGAGTGGAGAGCTGCAACATGGATATCAGATGGTCGTGGGCCGTCAAGAAAAGCTTGTGCGAACAAGTGGAGAAGCAGTTCCGCATAGTGAATGGGCCCTTCATGTGAATCGCACGCACACAGCCACGGCCATGACGCGTTCCAGGACCTTATCTTCTGATTTAGATCCTCGATCCCAATAAAGGCCGGTCCGATGCCTGCCCCTGATCCTGCTCCACTCCTCCTACTATGTATCACATCAGTCTGTCTTCCGCATTCAGCGAATGTTGCAGGTTGGATTGAACAATACAGATTGGACATGGCTGCCACAGTGATCACACTTGGAGGGTATGGTTGTGATGTTGCCGGAAAGGAAACTTGGCATCAATAGCCAACAACAATATATTTGGCAGTATCACCATCACGCTACCAAGCTTTAGCAGCTATGAACCTGAAGGGCAAACCTCGCCTTATAGTAAAGCATTACCGCTAATCATCAAGTTGATACTCATGCGGTGGTGCTCTGAGAAGCAGTCTCAACCCCCTCGTCTTTGGATCTACCCGACTCCTCCTCCATTCGCAATCACACCCAGTATAATACATCTTCATTGTCAATCTTCCCCGAAAATCCAACCAATCATGCCGAAGCTCATCAGCAAATATACGAGAACATAGACTTGGAATCACACGGATCCCCTCAAATGTCCGGCTCTGTCCCCCCAAATCGAGCCAGCGGTACATTCTGGGTTGGAAGCAAACCGAAAGGTATTTTCTTTTCGCGTTTAAACTTAGCTCAACGTCTTCAACGGTGATATTCTCATCTTTGAACAATATCAACACCCCAATAAGATTCTTCAGACGTTCTCCCTTCTCCATAACCTCCAGCAGCTCCGCAGCTTGTCCAAGGATTCCCTTGCCACAATCTCGGAGATGGAGTTCGGCCAAACTCTCTGGAAGGCACTCGACGATCCTCGGAGCGCCTTTAATGCTGAGTGGCATGTTTAGTCTTGTACCAGGAGCTGGGTCCCAGATACCGGTAAGAGACTGCATCCCAATTAACAAGGACCTCAATGCCGTCATTTGTACCAGCTTGATTCCCATGTACAGCCGATGCGGGTCCTCGTCCCAACCAGTCTTGCGACAGTCGTCATCAAAGTTGAGATATAGATACTCCAGAGTGTCGGCATGAGGTAGCATGGCATCCATTATATCCCGGGCAAAAATTCCAACAATCGGCTTATTAGTCGCACTGATATACTCGAATCGTTTGAGATGTTGGCACATACCCACTAGCCGCTTGACATCGGAAGCAGGCGCAAATGCCTGGTGAAAAGTGACCTCCTCTACGGCAGATGACCTTAAATCTGATGGTAGATACGCCAAATCGCCTGGGGTGAGGCCTCGGTTTGTGCCGTTGAGAGATTCGTAAACTTTCAATTTGGGCAATGCCATCAGGCGGAAAGCCTGTTCCCAACCACAAGTATTATCTTCATGAGATTGGATGTGCACATGTCGAAGATGTGATAGAGGGGGCTTGACACCATGAACTGGCAATCTCGTAGCCATCTCCAACAGAAACATAAAACATGGGGGCCTCCTGAAGATAGGATTCTCTGAGGGTCCTTCTTGATAGTCTTCGAAGTAGAGTTGCTTCAAGTTTACACATGCCAGCAAAATTAGTGCAACTTGTGCATCTGAATGTCCGGCGTTGAGCTGGCCAATCCACTTATCGCGACGAGCCAAGTCAACCTCGCTGAGCTGTGGGCCCAAGGAGTGAACAATGAATTTTCCATAGATGCCAAGATCTCCCGGAGTGCTTGCCAGCGTCCCAAGTGTGTGAGTGTCTCCATCCTCTCTTGCCATGAAGCCACCTAGGATCACCGTCTTAACCTTCTTGGCCAGTTCAGGTTTTGAAACAAGAATATAACGCAGAAACTGGACGTTCCGAGTCCCAGAACAAGGCCCTCCTCCTACATGCACGGGGCTAGTGTTCCGGAACAATTGTACAGAGAACGGAAGCGCCACATCATACATTTTCTTCGATGTTTTGAGCAAGGCATGAATTGGCGAAGGCCCGAACGATGTGACGAGGTAAGAGCAAATCTCCGATTGGAGCTCTGCTGGGAGGTTTTCGAGAGGCATCGGAACATGAAGTCAAGAGAAGTTTGTACAGGGACAATTGTAGGCGGCTGCGTTGGGCCGCAGGAAATGCCAGGGGGACGGAAAACTGAGAAAATTTAGCAAAGTCATCCGATTGTAACCTCGACTTAGCTGCAGCTTGCATACTACTGCTATGCAAGCATTCTATTCTGGACCTGTTATGGGCCTCCCAGTGGCCAAATCTCGACCAACAGACCAACACCCCCATGTGACCAGACATATGCAGGATGCCAAGCGGAAGAGTCTACAAAGTAGGGGCTAGAAAATGCTTTTGGGCTATGTTTCGTGTAAGCTGCATGACATTAAAACTCTCAGACTGCATTGCATTTTAAGAGGTGTTTGCTGTCTATCTTGTGCCCCATGCTGTTGGCTGAACCGCTCGGTATTGCTCACATTACCCAATGAATTACAAGGATCTCCATGCTAGGGGTACATCGAAAGGCAGTTTAATGGGGATCATATTTTGCCCATAACGGCATAGTGATTGCCGCTCTTGCAATATCCAATTGAGTCTTGGCCTCACGCTCGAGCTGTTGGTGACGGACAGCATTTTACACTGACCTCATCCTGATGGTCGCAAATGAGTGTAACATAGCTAAAATAAGGTCCTTGGTACCAACAGAGATCCTTATTATGACGCGAGCCATTCCTCTGTGATGTGATATTAGTTACGTACTCCTCTAAGGAGGCGGAAATGCGGGTATGATGCAGTATTTACTGCAGTAGACTAAATGTATCCAGGCATACTACACATTTGCAGTAGCAATTGAGTGCATGCCGCCCGTTATCATCATTGTTTTTCTTCTATAAGAAGGCATGCATCTTCCTACAACATAATCGAAGTCTTCTAACTTGACAAACTTACACATACACGAATTTGAGCTTCAAGAATCAAACATCATAAGTCTAGAATCTGTTTTTATCTATACCGACCGACTGAACTCTTCTTTTAAACCCCCATAAACTAACATCAATGGTTCTAAAACTTCTTCCCCTATATTCTCTTTTGTCCGGCTTTGCTGAGATTGCTGTCGCAACTCGCTGGCGCCCACGCCATGTTTCGAATCCTACAGTCAAGCCTCCTTGAAAGCAAAATTTTATTGATGCAAGGGGCCTTACGACTGGGACCGATATGGGCACACGCAATCTCGATATTGGCATTGGAGCTCGCGATTCCGTCGTTGAGATTGATCTTGGCCCTCGCGACACCAACACATACACACGAAAGGCTTAGACAAGCAAACCAAAGCAACAGTTACTAATTGAGAGAGTTTCTCAACCAACTATACCTACTAGGAAGGGGAAGGCCGCTGCTCCCAAGAAGGCTCCTGCTAAGAAAGAGACTCCTGCTAAGAAAGAGACTCCTGCTAAGAAAGAGACTCCTGCTAAGAAAGAGACTCCTGCTAAGAAAGCTCCAAAGAAGGCCAAGCCTCCTAAGAAAGCATCTCCTCTCAAGAAAGCAAGGCCGAGAAAGAGCAATGAACGACCAAAGCCTGCCCAGAAAACCAAGAAACCTGTCGTCCACGGAGGGTGAAGTCTCACCCTCAGGGTGATAAAGTATCATTTGGCTCCAGTTTAGGCAGTAACAGTTTGGTTATAAACATTAAAGCCGAGGACAAGAAGAAGAAGAAGAAGAAAGATATTGTTGCACCGATCATGTTGGACGTTGATCCAGCAACGATAAATGAGCATATGAAACCGATTGGGGAAAGACAGAGGGGAAAGGTGAGGAGAAGAAATATTGTTTCAGCGGAGTTCAGAGTAGAAGAAGCTCAGTGGAGGTTTGAAGAGGCTACTTGATGTTGGGACAAAGAAGCAGAGAAGAGCTTGGGTCATTGGTTATCGCGTATTGTCTTCTTCGAGTCTATATATGGCCGTTTATTACATTCATATTCTACGGAACCCCCATGCCGTTGTATTAACGAAGCGAAACGACCCTTAAACGCCGCAAAGCCATGCATGCATGCGATGATCGATCGCTCTAAATCGCCAGACTCTTCACGCAAGTCCAGAGGACTACGGGGACAATCACGTTGTCGTTCCCGCCAGTGAGCACAGCCTCCGTAAGGCTAGCCATGGAGGCACAGACTGCTGCGTTCCGCGCGCTTGTCGCGATCCCGTACTGCTCCCCGGTGACGGGCCAGCCGCCTACCTTGAGCCACGCCCATGCAGCAGCGATGCCAGCAAACACGGCAATGGCAAACGCCAAGCTCCCCTCGAGACTCTTCCCCCCGCCCCATATCCACTTGCGACGGCCGTAGCGCCTTCCGATCAGGGAGGCGGCGGCGTCTCCCAGCCCAACGCAGATGACTCCAGAGACCATGCTGACCTCGCGGCCAGGGAGCTCCCATCCACTGAGATAGCCTGAGCCAGTCCGGGGGAGGGAGGCCAGGGCCAGCCAGAGCGGGATAGCACAACCGATGAGAAGGAAGATGTGAGAGATGACAACTGGGCCTCGAAAGTCTCTCCCGTCGACGTATGGTGCTAGGAAGGAGGCTATGGGCTTGGAGAGGGGTGGAAGCTGGCTGGCTCTAAGGAGATCCAGGATCAGGAAGATGGCAAGGATCAGAGAGAGAGCGAGACCCGCAAACGTCGGATCTACAAAGGTGGCAGGCAATAAGATCCCTACCATCATGAAGTGGAACACCTTCCTCCTCGTATCGACCTCGTATATCTCCTTCAGACGGAAGACAGTAAGGAGGCCGACGACAAATACGCAAACCCAGTAGGCTGCGATAAGAAGCCGGGTGTTTGCTTCGCCAAAATCGTTATGGCGAATGTGCTGAACCCAGCCCATGTGGCATTGCTTGTCGTCTTCATCGTAAATGGGTAATGGAATCCACCAATCGATGTTGGCATAGATTACCCGAAAGCGAAAGGATGGCAGATCGCCAAACATGTACCCAAGTGCGAAACCGATGGGCTCGATGCCCCGGAGAGCAAACTTTTCTATGTGAGTCCGAATACCAACCAGGATGACCGTTATCAAAACCACGTATACGTAAAGGGCATATAGCCACTTCCGGATAACGGATTGCGTATATGTCAGTTTGAGGAACGGCCGTACGGACAGCGAAGTCGTCCGTTTTCTTCTCCCCGAGGGTGTTTGTGTCGGATTATGAACATTCGACGTATCTAAGTATGGCAATGTATGTCGTCGGGCAATGCCTTCAGAGGTGAAGTTTTGGTTGTCTGCTATAGGAGACGTAGCTAAAACGTGGGCAACTGATGTTTGAAACGCAATTCCCGCGGTCCTAGTTCTCTTAGGTGGCTTGAACTGCGTCGCCGATTCGCTTCCCCCGTCTGAAGACAACGATAGCTCTTCTTCAACTGGCTCAAGAGCTGAGCCAAACACCTCGCTCTTGATCCTTTTCCAGGAGAAGATTTTGGAGAGCTCTCTGAGAAGAGAGCGTTGTCGGTGGCCAGGAATCCTTCGAAATCGCCATTTCGGAACTCGAGCTAGTAGGATGCCCGAACGAATGACGGAGCTACAGAAGACGAGTGTTCCTAAACCTCCGACCCAGAGTAACGCCTTTAGAATCAGGGCTTGCGGCGATGAGGCAAGCAATAAGACATTGATCAATGATATCGAGAAGAGCTGCAACTCTGCAGTTAACAGGCTGGTAGTAGTGAGATGATGCAATACGAAGCAAAGAGTTTGGTGGAGAGGGTATAACAATGTCAAATCCTCATCTGAGAGGGCGACGCCGGTATTTACGAGCTGAGAGGCGCCGCGGATCGACGAACTCCAGAGCAGGGGGAGGCATGTTAAGCCCCAATGTACAGGGTCGTAGGCAGTGAGGCGCTCGAATTTCGGAATTAGCTGTTGCGGCCAAGAGCAGATGCTTAGGATAATATTCGGCAAGACAACTGCGGTATTGCTCGTCGCTACAAGTGACGAAACGCAGAGGGTGATCGCAGGCGGGTAGAGTATCGGGGCGGGGTCGAAATGGTGAGGAATCTCGATTGGGATGGTTTTGGAGGGTGTTCCACGGCGATACTCCCAAGCTATCACTCGTATCGGGTAGATGATTAAGAGGGCGACGTAAGTGAGACCTGCGAGTTGATAGTCTGTAGAGGAAAATCGAGTTAGAGAAGAGAAACGATCGCTTATACACATGGTATGCACACCTCTTTCCCAATAATCTAACAACTCTGCCACCTGGGGATTGGCCCGGACCATCAATCCCAAGGATGCCACGATGATCACTTCGACCGTCCGCTGGGTCAGATTCTTATTCCGACGCAGCGTTTCGATGACGCGGCGCTTCTGCGCGATGCGCTTTTGCGACTTGGGCTTCTCCGTTAATATGGCGATATCATCTTCGCCAACCGCGGGAGAGAGAATTGGAGTAGATGTCCCGGAAAGAACCTCATCCTGGCCTCTGAGCCCCTTGTGCAGTCGTGTCTTGGGGGCTGGCAGGCCCTTCAGGAAATGTTCATCGTCGGCCTCGGTGCCGCTCTCGCTCGCGGGCGATGAGTCCTTTGCGTACGGACTTAGCAGGGATGCAGAGCCATTCTGGGTTTGCGTCTGGTTTTCGGGCACCAGCAGGCGATCGGATGCGTAGGGGAGCTCCAGGCTCTGGTGGTGATAGGGGTGAGGGGTCCGATTGAGGTCGCGCAAAGTGTCCTGCTCGTCGGCATCAGGAGAAGGAGGTGTCGGTGGGTCGATGCTCAGGCTGGTGGGCATGACGGAGGAGGTTCACGGCTGGTGGCGTGAAGAGGTTCATGAGAGTCAGGGCCGGTCAGCGCTGCAGGAGTCGTTGCTTTGCTTCCACGTTGTGATGCACTTTGGATGGGGTGCGGCGCCCCAGAAAGCTTGGGGGTGACGTATGTAGGGAGGCTTCAACAGGCGAATTCAGGCACCCCAGACACTGCAATACTCCCGCCAGTGCGTGGTAGCACAAATTGAAACAGGAGATGCAGAAATCAATGAGAATAATTGAGAAATTTTGAATTTTGTAGAATTCTCAAGAACATGCAACTTCCCACAGCCAGCTGCATTAGAGATGCGCTTCAATTAAATGGTGGATATCATTAACTTTTTTTTTGGCTACCTTTCCACAATCCCATCCCTCTCTCCCATCACATGAAAATGGCCCGATCACTCTTGCGATTGTTGAGCAGGCGCCCACAAAATATACCCGACGGCCCTGCTGTATTTTCAGAGCTTCCACAATGAGTAGACGCTGGCATCTTGGCATCATCACGTGGAGGATAGACATACAGCGGGCGGCTACCGTGAAGCTGCGAGGCATCACTGAAACAGTGTTCTCACATTTAGCGAGATGCGCACTGCTTTTGGAGCGTCGGTGCAGGCCATCAGATCATGCAATCGGAACGTCTTCTCAGCGAACATAAACGAAACACGACAATAAGCAGCCACAGGCGTTTCTGGTTTCTCTAGCTCTCACTGGCTTCTCCTAGTTAGGTGAGCTGAACACAGCCAGGCAGACTACTGCATGGATGGAACACGTGTTAAACCGAGGCTCTCTACAATACTAAGTGAGATCCCCAGTCAATTCCGTTTGCATTGGGTAAGATTGGGAAACGCAGAACCTTAACTGCAAACGTTTGACTGGCCGTGGGCCGAGTTTCTGACTATTAAAAACTTGATGTTTGATGCTACTTTGTCGGATAGGGTAATATTTTCCAAACGCTGCACGCGGCCAAATCCAGCCATGTTTCGGACCAGGGCTGCCACAGGAAACAGTGGCTGAAGGGCTGAATCGGGGGAGGCCAAGCAAAGTCTCGAGAAATTTCTCCGGTCGGGTTTACCCAAATGTCCTGATGGCTGTTGCTGCAACAGCCGGACATGGCGAAATTACGACTGTCGCTTGGTACATGCGCATTGCCCCTGCCCTTGTTCGAAATATACATCCCCATCGTGTTTGCTAGGATCGGTTACGGATACGTGAATTGTTCATCGGGGAGCCCCACCGATACGTGTATGCACACTGGGCAACAGAGACAATCCTTTCTGCCAGAGGTCAAGATCTACCCCGGGATCATGATCGAAATCACCAATGTATCCAAGTCCCAGGTTTGTTCACGCACGCCGCGACGTGTGTGGTTTTTTTTTTGGTTTTTTTTTTTTTTTGCTGGGGCCTGTTGTTTTCTTGGCATGCTTGGTACGAAATACGGGATGACATGCTCGTGAAGAAGGGTTACGAATGTCTGACAGACATGTGGCCCGGAGCTTTATGAAGCAGCATTGTAGATATGAAATGGGGTCTGGGGCGGCTTTGGTGGTGGGCCTAGAGCCGGCTGGACCGGATTGGAAACCCTCACCCTGCTTGGCGCTTATGGCTTGCTGAGAGCACTTGATTGTGACAGAGCCAAGGTCGAGGAGAAGCGAAGCCGGAGACACGCAGGCAGTGTAGGCGAGACTAGCTGGGAGTCGAGGTTCCAATTGACCATCATGGTGTGTTGCTGCAAGATGGACACGTACGCAGCTGCTCAATCCTGATTTGGCAGACGATGCATCAAAGCACACGCACACATCGAGGTACCTATATTAATGATTACATGATGCCTTATACATTGCCTATCACCTAAAGCAGGTGGTTGTCTAGTTCCGCGGTTCTTTGGGTGTAGAGGAGGTTGGTTGGTGGACAGGGCACTAGCTCCCCAAAGAGCACCACAATAGAAAAATATCCATACGCCTATCAGCTCAGCCTTGAGGTACTTACTGCTGCTAGCAGCGAAGCCCAACTGCGGATCTTCATCTTCATCTTCATGAACCATTACGTCTTCCAAGAGAAAGATTGTCAAAGACACGCACGGTTCTTCCAGCATTGGCCAAGCGTCGGCTTGGCAGCGCGAAGAGGGCGCTCGTTTCGGTTCACCATGCCCACAGTTTTTACTTTGCGAGCACTCCGCTGCGGGTGGCCAAAGCGACATCATCCGTTCGCGGATCCAAGGAGGCGAAGTACAGAGAGTGCAGACTATCAGCCAGCAACGGATGTGTTTGCAAACGTCGCACTGGGGCTAACTGGTTGGAGCTCGACAGCTCCCACAGAGCCGCGCGCCCTCAAAGCGACCGATCCACGTCGATGGTCTGGGCGAGTCAAGAACAAGGTAGCTGCACGTAGCGTCGTAGCTAGACAGGGGTGCCTTTTGGCCTGCCGGTAGGTATGGGTCGATCTGTGTCTCGTATCGCCCATCGCCAGAGAGGTTATGGCGACGGCGGTCCTGGTCCGACCACTCATCCGCACCCGACACGAGGTTTTCGTGATTGCCAGGCATGTGGAGGGCATTGAACCACCGGCATCGTGCGATTGTTTCCTTGTATGGTGGACCGGCTGATGTCACGACTTCCAGGCTCGACTTTATTTTTGACTTGCATTGTTTACTTTTTTACGAGCATGGTCTTCGGTGAGAGAGCCGGGGCTGATCTGTATTCATAGTTCACTCATCGTGGCTGCTCACGTCTTACATGGAGGTACCCAACTGAGCCCTGGCTGGAGGGCGGGCAGATAAGTGAAAGGGCATGGGGATAGTGACGTAAAAAAGGAGAGAAAAAAAAGAAAATCAAACTATCGTCCAATATGTGGTCTTGGTTCACCCTGCCATGGCCATTGACGAACACTGCCAACTTTTATTAATAGCAGGTCTGGGCATGAATATTGGCAGCAGAAAGTATGGCGCCGCAGTTGTTCAGCTGGGCGGCCGGTGCTGGAATGGAGGGGGTAAACAATGGACGGGCCCTGCCGAGGGTTCAGTCCAGCCGGCGGTGGCTCAGTCCCGACGCTGACGCCGTCTCTCGCGATATCTCACCCACCGACTCGGACAGAGACATGGAGTCGTGGAGAAAGGGAGGGAGGTCAGGTATGTGACTGCATCGTAGCTTTGGCATTGCATTCTGGGCCCATCCCTGCCTGGCTGATCGCGGTGAGTGCGTCCAGTGTCCAGGATGTTAGCACTGGCCGCTAGCTCCCCGGAAGCGCACTGGTCGCTAAAGCCCCTGTCCCCCTTCCGTGCTAGCCCGTTGAAGGCCATATTGGCCCACTGCAGCAGGGTTTATCTGCATGGCGGCGTGCCGTAGCCCATCCATCCAGCCCGTCACCAGCCAGCCGTTTTTTACAGCAGCGGCTTATTCGCATCTTGGTTGTTTTATTTACCACTTGCTCTGGTATAAATAAATTCAGACGTGCTTTCCTGTCCTATCCTTTCCCTCCAGCCGCCCGAGCTGCCACGGTACTATCGTCTCATCTTCCCGCCGTTTGTAAGAGATTCTGGCTAGTCGCTCGGATCACTGTTGCGCTCAGTGCCCTACGTCAGATCTCAGAAGCCACCACTAGAGAGACGCCACTAGGCACCCAGCTCGTATCCCGATTTGCCTCGCCCGTTTTGGCCACTAACACTGAGCCTCCTCTCCCGGCACTACAAGTACGGCCGGCCTCCCACACAGCCAGCAAATCTCCAACCCATTCTCTTCTGTCTAACATTCTGGGTTCTTCTAGTTCCCGGTAGCTGGGTTGAGCCATTGGTGCCAGTATACCTCCTCATCTACTCAGCTCTCTCCGGCTTGTATCACTTCTAGTTGGCTAGAGGTATTATTTGACTGGACATATCTCGATCACACCTTGACTGGTTTGGTTCAGAGTCCAAAGCTTTCACTCAGCAACAATTCCCATTTCCAACATGGCAGCCAACAATATGGACCGAGAGCAACTCCAATTGGAGGCGGGGCTTCTCACCAAGGGCGGGTATGAAGATAAGACCCCAGCCCAACCTTCCAATATCGGCAGCACCACGCCAAGAAAAAGCTCCCTATCTTTATGGAAGCTTGCTTTAATTGCCTTTGGGATCTACGGGCTTGTCTACATGACGACGGCCAAGGTTTGGCCAAACCGCAAGCCTTGCATGCACAACGCGATGGGGTCTCTCGTTCACGGATCGGAGGAAACTACCCAGGACCAGGTCGAGGAGTCTGCCGTCATTCCTCAGGGGCTGGATGAAAAGAAATTCGACTTCAAAACCGACGTCAAAACCTCCATAGAACGCATTATTGAGAAGCGCCAGGCTACTGCGTCTACACCGAACTCGGCTGCCTCTTCACAGCAAAACACCGAGACCAGCCAAGCTGCTCCCTCCACCTCACGTACGTCGCCTCGATTTTCCCAATTTCACCTTGACCATGCGTGGTAGATGTGGTAAGACTAACAGTTGTACCTAGAACAACCTACCTCCTCCGCTCAGCCTACGTCAGCCGCACCCACCAGCTCGGAGAGGCCCGTGACCACTACTCAACAACCCACCTCCTCTGCCCAGCCTACAACATCCCAGAGACCGTCAGAAAATTCGTCTTCAAGCCAAGCTCCCACCTCCTCAGTTAGGCCCACAACGTCTGCCAGCCAGGCTACAAGTAGCAACCCGCAGTCGAGCCAGCAGACCTCGAGCGCGCAACAGACCTCGAGTGCACAACAGACTTCCCAATCGCAGTCTGCGTCCAGCACCTCCAGACAAGCAACGACCTCAGTTGGTACGTCAACTACCGCGAGGGGATCTTCTTCCCTCCCATCTTCTTCCCTTACTACTGCTCCGGCAACTTCGTCTACTGCAACAAGTACGTCAAAGGCCGTTGAAACCTCCTCTTCTTCTTCCTCCCCGTTCACTACTACCTCTGGAACCTCGTCCCAAACGGGTTCATCAACAGCATTGAAAACTACTGGTATGTTTGACATGACCCTTGTTAGCAATGCAATTAGGATCGTGATCACAAACCAGTGTCGTTAATGCCCTTTGCCCCTCCATCTCCTCCCTGCCCCACCTACCCCCAATGTCTCACATGCTACCGAACACACATTCCGCACTTCTTGCCCTGACCTTGGCGTTTGATTTGTCCATATCAATGCTAACAGAGATGCAGCTGCTTCAAGTTCTGCCACCACGTCAGAGGAGATATCTACTACATCCTCCAGCTCTTCACGTCAAGTCAGCTCGAGCCCAGTTCCCCAGACATTTACCCGCACTTTGGCGAGCGGAGGCGTCACCGTTGTGACCTCGACGTCTTGGGTCGAAGTCGTCCCGGCATCCGGCACTCCCAACTCTGACAACAACCCCGACCTGCAGGGCATGGCTGGCCGGGTACCTCTCAGCATTGCCATGTCTCTGGCCACCGCCTTCTTCGCCGGTTTCTTATTGGTATAAGCGACGTCGAGATGGGAGTGCACAAACGGTTCGCAGCAAAATTTGGACGGGGGAAGCGATGGCATTGATCTTTTATGAGTTATGTTAAAAAAGGGTATTTAGAATGGTTGCATATGTCTGGCGCAAAGCCAGCCTCATTACTGGATTGGAATTGGGATATACAAGAAGGATGGTAATATACTCACACAGGTCCATAATTCACATTGGAAATGATTTACATGATACATTACAATTACAACACGCGGCGGTCACAAGTTGAAGAGTGATTGACACGAAGTTCGCAAGAGCCTGCTAATGAGCAGAACATGATGTGAATGTGATGAACTAAAATCGTTTTAACCTGCTAGGTAATGCTACTGCATCTGATGTTACATGTATGCTATCACCATATCTGAGGCCTCTGACTCTGACTCCGACCCATTCTCGCGAGACTTGCCTTTCCTCACGGGCATCTGGCAAGCTCCATGTGGACTCGGCGAGGAGTACTCACCACTTGTGTTCGCTTTTGTTCTTCTTCACTTTTTACATATGCATAACTGCTGCTGACCATGTACCTAGCTTGCAAAGTGATATATTTGAATTCATTTAGGGATGGGCTACAAGATTCACGTGTATCTAGACTCGATCTGTCACTTGAACATTTGTCAAGTACTATTCCTACAGCTCGATACTCACTTGGCCCAAACCATTCGGAAATGCGAAGAACAATTTGTTCGTATAACGATGTTTTAACCTGGTCCGATCTTGGGCATATCGTGGTGCTCGCTGAGTTTGGAAAGATACGTATTCAGGTCTTCAACTCTTTCTTTGTGCGTCTTGAGGAGTTCGGGTCGCGTGTTGGACTCTGCCAGTTTGAGGAGCTGTGACTTGGGTTAGATACTTGTCCATCGCAGCAGTGCGGTTTCCATGACCTGTAGGAATATGACATACCCGTTTCTTCTTGAACTCATCATAGCGCAACTCTGCCTCTGTCTTGGTCACGTTGGGGGCCTCATCCTCCTCCACGTCTTCCGCTGGGGCGGGTCCTTCCCTAGCACCTTTAGCGACCTTGCCCTCTCCCGCGGAGAGGTTCTTCTCCAAGTCGGTCTTGTTCTTATTCTTCTTCTTTTTCTTTGTCACCTTGGCGCCCTTGATGCGCAGGGCACCACCACCACCCGCGGCAGCGTAGTCGTCAGAAGGCATCCTGCGATCGGCTGTTGGGTGCAGGGCTGCAAATAGAAACTGGCGGCAACGAGCTTATCTGCAGCGAGCGCCGTGCTCTAAATATAAACCCATCCTACCCTGCACATGCTTACGGGGACTTTGCGCTTGCAGCTGCCACCCAATGTCGTATTACATAATCCCCGCAATCAGGGATTGCAAGTGCCTGAGTCCTGCCTGTCGAATTAGCTGCAAGATACCTGGCTTCAATTGATGGGGAAGCGAATCCGCCTGTCATAATACTCAACCACTTACTTTCCCCCTTCTTTTCTGCACAAAAAACGGCCTGGGATTACTCTGTGCATAGACAGCATAGCGTCGTTTGTGCCCGCGATTTTCAGCAATTGCATATTCAGCATTCTCTTCTTCTCCAACATCTTATCGGACCTACCAACCGGCGCAACGAAATTTCTCGGTACTACCCGCCGTCTCTGGCTGAGCTCTCTCCTACGTCACGCGAGGCTCTAATATTTCCGACTCCCAACCACTCGACACTCCCGGGATGAGCTGTATCTAAATCTAATAGAAGGAGGACGAACCACGCGGAACAGGAAGAGTGGTGAACGGGGATTTCCCAGCGTGCCCCCAACCGAGATCGCATTCTAGATGGCCCCTTTAGGAGTACCAAGTGGTGGTGGCGGCGGGCATCGAGACTCCCTGGAGCTAGCCTCTCTCGCGAGCTCGAGCCACTTGAACGACGATGAAGTGTCGAACCCATCCTCCCGACCGAGCATATCCTCTTCGCGGAGGCTCTCCCTTATTGACGAGGAGGACCCTCTCGATGATGGAAACCCTGCGGGCAGGGGGCGAATGCACCGATCTTATTCAGTTTCGTCAGGCTTCGATTTTGCCGCAAATCTTTTCCCCCTCAGCTCGACGACGGGCGCCGACGGATATGCGCCCTTAGGGAACTCGACATCGACAGCGCGACCGAACGCTGGCGCGGGTGGTGGATTATTGGAGCGGAATAAGACGTTAACGTACTTCAATGGGTTATCGCTTATCATCGGGTTGGTGATTGGTTCTGGGATATTCTCCTCGCCCAGTCAGGTGAACTCGAACGTTGGATCGCCAGGAGCCGCGCTGATTGTTTGGATCGTTTCTGGACTCCTGGTATGGACGGGAGCATCCTCGTACGCAGAGCTCGGTGGCTCTATTCCTCTGAATGGCGGACCCCAGGTCTACCTCGCCAAAATCTTTGGCGAGCTGTCTGGGTTCCTCTTCACCTGGGTCGCTGTTCTTGTGTTGAAACCAGGAAGCGCCGCTATCATCGCCATTATCATGGGCGAGTATCTTGTGCGGGCCTTTGCTCCAACCAATGCGGACGAGCTCAGCCCTTGGGTAAGCAAGGGCATTGCTATGGGCGGCGTGGTCATCGTCACGATAATGAATTGCATTTCGACCAAGATGGGAACCAAGGCAAATGATATACTTATGCTATTGAAATTTGTCGCATTGATAGGTGTCACCATTACCGGAATTGTTGTCGCCATAACAGGGTTTTCCTACGACGGGTCACCAAACAAGGAGTGGAAATCAGATTGGTTTACGGATACATCGGACGACTTGTCTGCTTGGGCTGTTGCGCTTTATGCTGGCTTGTGGGCATATGATGGCTGGGATAACGTGAGTGTCGCTGATCGCCGATATTGAGCACGCAATCTAACTCTAGACAGACAAGCTATGTTGTTGGCGAGTTCATCAACCCCAGCCGGGATTTACCTCGAGTCATCCATACCGCAATGCCGCTGGTCATTCTGTCGTATGTTGCTGGTAATGTCGTGTATTTCCTGGTCCTTCCCATCGAGGACATCAACAGTTCAAACACTGTCGCAGTGGCGTTTGGACACAAGGTATTTGGCCCAATCGGTGCCCTTGTGCTTGCACTTGTTGTCAGTGCCAGCTGTTTTGGGGCTCTCAACTCATCGACCTTCACTTCCAGCCGCCTGATATACGTCGCGGGCAAGGAAGGTTATATTCCCGGATTTTTCGGGCGCCTCGGTGTGGGTGCAGCGAGCGAGGAGTTGCGAGTGAGCAGACAGTACAGCCAGAGCTGGTTTTCCAAGAAAGCACGCTCGTGCTTCGCTGATGGAGACATGGGCTTGTTCTACACTCCCATCTTCGCCCTGATCCTCAACCTGGTTCTCACTCTTGCTTACTGTGTGGTCGGCGAATTCGGCACCTTGGTCACATTCTACGGAGTAGCAGGATACACATTTTACTTCATGACCGTGCTCGGCGTCATTGTTTTGCGCGTCAAGGAGCCGAACCTGGAGCGCCCATACAAGACGTGGATCGTCACCCCCGTGGTCTTCTGCTGCGTCAGTCTTTTTCTACTGAGCAGGGCGGTCTTCGCCCAGCCTCTCCAGACCGTCATCGTCATCGCATTCGTCCTCGTCGGAATTCCAGTCTTCTTCCTCTTTGTTAGGCGGAGAAAGGTGTCTGCGAAGCGGTTCGGGGACATTAGCAGTAAACCGTGGTGGAAGTTTTGGCAAAAATAAGTGTTAAAAGAAGATTAGAAAGCGAAGAGCACATACACTTGCGCATTTGGACAAAGCGGGCTGTTATTGTTTATTTTTGTATGGGCTGCCAACCCATTTAGATGTGCGGGTTTGGAAAGTATATTTTTGTTTGCATTGTAATATGACATGAAAGAAAACGACTTTTCGAAAGCGATTATCAATCTACATCTTTTTTGCCACCGCGTGGTTCTGTCGGTGCATTGATAAGCTTAATTTTCACGATGCTGCGATCGAACGAGATGGACAAACAGGGGAGGAACAAACAGGGTAGGAGGCCGGAGCATTTTGTGATACACATCTGCCATTTAGACCTCTGCTTCACTCTCGTACTACCCATCACCGCCAGAAAGACATGGAAAAACACCGGTCAAGCGCTATCAAAGTTCTCTATTCAGTCCTGAGGAAAACTAGCTAGCGAATAAAAGAAAAGATGGATAGAAGTCCCGAAAGAAGCCCGGGAGATGCTCGAGTAAAGTTACATAATAATATCATTGCTTCGTCAATATGCCCATACATCCCAATTTTTCTGCCCTTGGGAGATGTCTCTTCCTCCAGTAAATGCTTCAGCTGTTCTCGATTTACTTCCTCTGGCCGTAGGCCTTGGTGGCGTAGGAGCCGCCGTGGACGATGAGGTCCTGGGGGCGGTAGTCGTGCTTGCCGGAGAGGTAGCTGGTGATGATGGCCTTGGTGCCCTCGGCGTAGCGCTTCTGGGCGTCGAGGGAGGTTCCCGAGATGTGGGGGACCATGGCGTTGCCGCCGCCCCAGGGGTTCTTGGCGTAGCGCAGGGGGTGGTCCTTGGGGGCGGGCTGGGGGAACCAGACGTCGCCGCCGTAGCCGGCGAGGTGGCCGGACTTGAGGGCCTCGGCGACGTCCTCCTTGACGACGATGGCGCCGCGGGCGGTGTTGACGAGGTAGGAACCTAAAGGAGTGATTAGTATTGAGTGTTCCATGTCATGGAGAGGTGGTAGGAATTTGGGGCTCACCCTTCTTCATCTTGCTGATGAGCTCCTTGTTGAAGAGACCCTTGGTCTTCTCGTGGAGAGGGCAGTTGATGGTGACAATGTCGCACTGGGAGACGAGCTCCTCGAGGGTGTCGACGCGGCGGGCGCCAATCTCCTTCTCGACCTCGGGGGACAGGGGCTGGTAGTCGTAGTAGAGGAGCTCCTTGCAGTCGAAGGGCTTGAGGCGGCGGAGGACGCGCTCGCCGATGCGGCCGACGGCGACGGTGCCGACGACCTTGCCCTCGAGGTCGTACTCCTGCTTGGCGGCGGCGGCGACGTCCCACTCGCCGCGCTCAATCTGCTCGTGGGCGGGGACGAAGTTGCGGATGAGGACCAGGATGGTCATGAGGACGTGCTCGGCGACGGAGACGACGTTGGAGCCGGTGACCTCGGCGACGGTGATGCCGCCGTTGGTGGTGTTGGCAGCGTTGAGGTCGACATGGTCGGAACCAATGCCGGCAGTGACGGCGAGCTTGAGGTTCTTGGCCTTGGCCAGACGCTCGGCGGTCAGGTAACCGGGGTGGAAGCTGTTGGGGAGCTAGTGTCAGTCGAGAGTTTCTTTCACGGTTGGAGGCACAATGGGGCACATACGGAGTGGTGATGATGATCTCAGCATCGACAAGCTCCTGGTCGAACTTGGAGTTCTCGCCCTCCTTGTCGGAGGTGGTGACCAGGGTGTGGCCCTGGTCCTCGAGCCACTTGCGGATGCCCAGCTCGTTCTCAGTGGTGCCGAGAAGCTCGGGTTGCTAATAACTGATGGTTAGCTGCATGCGCCTTTCATCTCGCGATGGACTGTAGTGCTGGGAGTGGAGAGTGCGTGGAAGGACGTGGGTGGCGGGACTTGATCCGACCCCCGCTGCCCCGCGTTTCATCCCCGCGTTCTTCTAGCCCTGCATTGGCTGAGCCATTGGCGCCGTCGACGATCACTCCGTCTTTGCCCAATGTGGCCTGCGGCGAGTGGCCCAATTCGGGATCTCCAAGCTCACAGATCGGGCTAGGTGCAGGGCATATTGGGTAGCTATGATAGCAAGCTGACGTGTAGGAGAGGAGAGGAGAGGAGAGGAAAGACATTGATGAATACGAAAGAGTCGACGTACATCCTTGGCGTGCTGACCGCCGTCGTAGAGAACTGCAAGAACCTTGACCTAGAAGCCGAGTGTTAGCTCGATCCGATGATGGGGAAACCTGGGGAAGGTCTGCATCGCCGCCCACCACAGATGCTACGAGCCATCAAGCTCTCCCATCTACGTTTGGAGAAGGGAGCTTGTAGCCCAGTAGGAGCATCGTGAAGACATAGAGGAGAGATGGGAGAGCAGCTTACCATTTTGAAGATTTGTGTGTTTGAAGCAAACTTTTGAAGGTGTTGTGTAGTACGAGAGTGAAGCAGAGGACTGAAGGGCAGATGTGTATGATGAGGGAAGAAGAGAACTCCAACCCTCAACATGGGCAAGAGCTTCGTATTTATGGTTTTTGCTACGCCATCTAACCCCTCATGCCTCCTCACGGTGCCACCTTGATGAGCAGGCAGTTCGCCCAGTAACGGCGCACGCTCGCGCCCCCTTCGGCAAGATCCCATCTCACCGTACGTGTCCATTGATCTCACCAATATCAGCTCATTGAGATCAGAAACCCCTCACTCGGGACTGCCTGGGCCTGCCCCACGCGATCCGTAACGCATCTTCGCACAGCACTCGGCATCTCGCGGTTGGTCGCAGCGCCAGATGGGCCGGCAGGGAAACCGTCGACCGTGGTTGCGGGGTGTCAGAGAAGCCGAGAGCGAGGCTGCAATTGGCCCGCAGAGGCTCTCCTTTACGTTTCGGAATGGAGAACGGCTCCAAAGCGACGGAGGTAGCTAGAGGTAGAGGTCACCCGTGAGGCGCGAGGGGACATAGTTCGGTGTTCGGTGTTTGGTCTGCAAGATGATGGGCCCCATTCCAGAGCAGGAAAAAGTGGAAAGTGGGGTAGCGGCAAGAGTCAAGTGAGCAATCCAGAGCATCCCTCCGCCCACCTCAGACGTGCCTGGGAGCAATGCGGGCACCAAACAGCGTCGTCTCCGGCCATCCATCTCTGGCCCTGGCTCGATTGTGCCAGCCCAGTTTCCCCTGGGCCACTCATCGTGGGCTAGAGCTACCGGATGCGGCGCTTTGTCCCGTGTCTATCTCCTAGCCACCTGGCGAACCTCCGAACGGAGATATTCTCGATGTTCGAATGCCGTGTAGTGCATGGCTCATACTTCCCAGGCTTCTCGTCATCTATCAACCCCAATCTCGGCCAATCTATCCGAGTCTTCTCCAGCGACCAGCCCCCTTTCCCTCCCCCCAACTTTGGCCGTTGACCAAGTACATCCTCAGCTAAATTGACGTGATTTTAGCCTCAGCATCTGGATCAGAAGTCTCCGCAGCAGGTCCGTTTGTCCGGGACGCCTAGGCATGGCACCCCCATCTCCCGGTTGCAACCTCCTTACGCACAAGTCAATATCGCATCATGCATGCAAGCTTTTATGGACGTCCGACATGTTAATATAAAGTCGCGATAAACTCACGTCAACTGATGCGCACCGACAAAGTACTAATCAAAGTTTACTGGGGGAAGTACCCTCCCGGGGGGGTTGCACAGTTGATGCTACTAATTTATTTTCATTACAAGGAACGAAACAAAAATGCATGTAAGATGCATGTACATGAATTACCATTCCTGCCCCAAGTCTGCAATTGAGAGAAAGTGTGCAACATGAGATCTTCAGCCTGTTCTGTTCATCCTGCGGAGACGAAGGGAATGGAAAGAAAAGGAGCGTAAGGTAATAAGGTGACGCACAAGAGAAAGTGGTGGCCACGGCCGAGCATGAGGAATGATAAAAGAAAAGAAGAGGGAGGGAAAGAAAATCGTCGTAGTCATACGCCGTGACTTGTGCGCCATACAACTCAAATCATGCACACCCACAAGGTTTTTTTTTAACGAGTAGCTTCTGCTAACCTCGCCTATCTACCCATCGCCATACATAAGGCAACCGCTAATGGAACGGCAGTTCGTCAATTCCCATGGCATGTCTCCTCCATCTTTCGTATTCGATAAGTTCCGTTTCTAGGTCTTTCATTGAAAGACCCAGATGTTCGAAAATCTGGCTTCTCGCATCATAGTCCGACATAGGACATCGCAACGCAACCCTTCGTATTGTGTTTTGCAACGTGTCCCCACACTCAAAATCAACATCTGTTCTAAGTCCACGTTTGACGTACTCGAGGATTGGCTGCCAGGCAATGGGGGTGATATCGTAGTCTTCCTCTTCGAGGTCAATTTCACCCGTTGAGTCGTCAGCATTTGTGCCCTCTTGTTCGCCAGCCGCGAAGTGTTGGGAGTCTCCAGTTATGTCCCTGTTGGCCCCGGGCCGGAGGAGATATTCCCAGCACTTGGAATGAAATTCCTTGGGCTGATTATGGAATATCTTGTCATCATGCTCGATAATATGACCCAGGGCGCAGTGGCGACCATTCCTGAACAGGAAGAGTAACGCCCCTTGTGGCATTTTTGGTGTTGTTATCTCCAGGTCAGCCCCGGCTGCAATGAGTTCTTTGGTACACGATTCGAAGGCGGCAGCTCGTCCTGCGTAGTATAAAGCGGGCTCGCCCTTCCAAGTGGCGTTGGGGTCAGCACCATCCTTGAGCAGCGCTTGAATCAACGGCAGTGGGAGGTTGCTTGCCGTGTTGAATTCTACGGTGGGGCGGTCCAGGGCGCGATGGAGGGCATTGGCCGGCAATGCTGAGCTATTGTGGTGCTCCACGAGCTCTGCTGTAGCTTGCCAAGCACCTTGGATAAAGGACTTCTTTATCAAGTCGTCCAAAAACATATTCGAGGGTCGCAGGATACCATATTTCTCATAGTCGAGCCCAAGGACGTATGAAACAAGGCCAGACTGATAAGTCGGTCTAAGTACCATTGGCTTTAAGAGCATTTCGAGGTCATTGACTTGTGGCCGGCCGCCCTTCTCGAGAAGTAGAGATGCCATATCAAATGCACAGCTGTAGATGGCCTGTGAGACTGGGCCAGAGCTGAACCGTCCTGTTTCATTCGGATCCGCCCCCCGATTCAGCAGAAGCCTTGCGAGTTTCAGAAACTGTCTATCGCGGAATGGGCTAATCACAGATGATCGTGCGCGAGCTAGGCACACCGAGTTGAGTGGAGTTGTTTGGTTCTCAGCGAAAGGCCCTTGAATATCAAGACCCCAATCACTCAGCATGCGGCCTGCTTCATAGATACGAGGTCTTGGCGACTCAGTTAGCACGCCAACCTTGTTGAACGCGGTAGAGCCACCGGGATCCCTATAATTAGGGTCAGCACCACACTCGAGCAGGGCTCGCATCATATCAAGGTCGCAATGGCCACTTGCAAGGACGAGAGCCGAGAATCCACTGGCGCTCTCTGGCGTATCAACATCAAGGCCATTGGAAACAATAAGCTTGACAACCTCTGATATAGTGGCATTTTGTATGCCGCCTAAATTCCCTCGATCATCTGGTGCTTGGTATGCCAGCAAGTGCAGCGCTGTGAAAGCGCGGTCGTCGTCGACACGAGAAGAGACATCGGCTCCAAGCTCAATGAGTTGAACAACGCTGTCAAGCTGTTGGTTTTTGCACATGACAAGAAGTGGAGTCGTGCCTGTCTCATTGCAAACCTCGTCTAAATTGGCGCCTTGTTCCTTCAGCCACGGCACAACCGTGTCGAAGTGCCCGTTCCAGATGGCCAGGTGAATTGGCTTTCCAACCAGGCGTGAATATGTATCGACAGACTGATAGCCTCCTTCAACTAGAAAGACCATGAGATCCAGAAGACCGTAACGCGCAGCCTCGTGCATGGCTGTGATATTCTCTCTTGGAGATGGTTCACCAGAGGCATTGTGGTTCCATCGAAGATCCCGGTGAGTGTCTGTCGATGCCCCACGGCGAAGGAGCAGCTTCGCCATCTCGACATCTTGATGGCATATGGCCAGGTGAAGAGGGGTCCATCCACCATCCATTATGTCCAGGAAGCCTTGACCCATATTCTCGGCTCTAGCGTGGAGGCGAGGGAACAAGTCATTTGATGGATGTGGCCTACAGTTGCAAAGACGCCATGATAACTCATCTATTGCGGCCCCACGGTCGAGAAGCAACTCAACCATATCGGTTCTGCCTTTGGTAACGGCAAGGTGAAGCGGACGCCAACATGACCACCCAAACTCGGCCCAAGAACTATCAACGCTATCGTTGTGAGAGTGGCCGTTTGAAGTGAGGCTCTGGGTGCTGGTGCGAATTGGTGTATAGTCCCACCAGTGAGTCTCCTCGATCACTGGTCTCGGCCAACGGCGGTAGGCAGGTTGGTTTGGGTCAGCACCATAGTCGAGAGCCTTCCTGACGAGAGAGATGTTTTCCTCTTCAATGGCCCAGTGCAATGGCCCAGGTCGATTCAGGGAGACCTCGCGCTGCCACAGAGCCAGGTCGGCAACGCCGTGGCATTGCTTGCTAACGAGGGTGAGGGCGAGCAAATCGGGTCTCTCGTCGACAGATCGAGCAATCTCGAGCAGCAGCTCGTTCGGGAGAGTTACAAACGTCGGCATGATGGTTGATGGCCCAGGAAGTCTGGGCTAGGCAGGCATAACCGTTGGGGTGGTAGACCAAAGGAGAGATGCTCACCAAGGGAGCTTGAGAGACAGGACATCAGATCGAGGACGTGCAGCGCTTTACATACTCTCAGTCACATTGGACGTACCAGCTGAGTGGACGAAGCAAAACAGAGAGCCCCCCGCTCCTATTTCGTCAGTTGGCGCTTCCCACAAAACAAATCGCAAGGAGTCGTGGTGGAATTGGATCACGCCGGCGCCGTGCCGCGAGTGGACATGCGCTGGAAACAGTGGAGGGTCCAACCACAGTGACCGACAGCAGGGGCCGGGGGGCAGCTGTGGGCGGGGCGTCCCAGTGATCCACACCCCCCGGCAGGAGGTTGCGCACTATTTACACAGCGCAAGACATAAGACCAGCATCCCCAGTGCATGAAATTCACCTAACCCTTCTTTGTGCTCCTCTAGCGCAGTCATACGAGCCAAAAGGAGAGTGAGAAAGCCTGGCCTGAGCGCATCTGCCCATGGTTCCTACACGGTTTGTGGTTCGGTTTTCCTTGATTCAACACTGATAGGCCCCGCCGATTGCTGCAAGGAGCGAAACATGCGTGGACTTGTGTGTGTGGGAGTGAGCACTCTGTACGTAATATGATCCCAGAATGTGATATCGGATCCTGACGGGAGGGCCATGATAAGCTGAATTTCGTATGAAATGCCTGTCACTATTACTTCTAAAAACGACAAAAAATGACACGGTTCACCCCGTGCAATACGATACCTAGTGCTATCCCTGCCCGCGGTCTGGGGTAGGCATGTGCATTCTGCAGTGTAGGTATTCTTCTGCCCGTCCTCGACGATACAAAATGGTAGCAGTTATCAACCTCAGATATAGAGGTGGTGGACTAATGCAAGTACTACATAAGCTCGCAGCATCCAAAAGCAAGCACGTGCCTCTTACAACCTCACCTTATCTTTTCAGCTGCCAACTGGCAAAACTTCGTGTTTATGACTGGTAGTCTTCTGAGTGATGTATCAGAATCTGGTCCCGGGCTAGAGGATTGCGGTCCACCCGTGAAGCCTTCCTTGCTCGGCACACGGTAAGAGGTAGCATTACGACCACGAAGCCCTGTCGCTGGAGGATCTGGCTCCAGATCTTGGACCTTCCCTTCGGCTTGTGCCAGCCAACCGCAGAAGCCCTCTCCCTGCCGCGGTTGTCTCCAACCTGGGAATCACTTTAAAGTTACCTGCAAAAGCCGACACTAGTTCCAGGAAACGCTAAGAAGAAAGGCTGTTGCCATCAACCCCATCAGATGTGGACTGGCTCAACTGACTGTGGGCCGGGAAGCGTTGGCTAAGGTATGTTCACATTGGGCAGTCCGTGTGGCCCCAGTCAAGGAATCCTTCCGGTTTCCGTACAGCCCGGCCGCCAATACTCTTCTCCTAATTACTGCTGACTGGGTTGCTCAAGCTGTGTCTGTTTATGCTGGTGATCGATCATTTTTCTGCGGCGACTTTGGCGAGAAAAGTTTTCTCATTCCTTTCGGTGGAGGGATCACATGGACCACATTGTCTCATCTTCCACCCAACCTATCCAAATCCGCGTCTTGGCTCGCAAGGGAACCTGTATTGGGCGAGACATCCTGGAAAGGGGCCAATCAAACGATTGATGTTGCGAAGAGCACGAACCTATCAAGATTGTGAGAGAACTATCCGCCGGTGAAACCGGCTTCAGCCCACTGCGGCTGGAGTTGACAACTCATTTTCCCAGCCTTGCCGATCACCTTTGCACCAATTGGTCTCCTCTACAAGTAAGCACTTGTACAATGTGCATTCTCTGTCTCTCAGCTCGCTCCGCCTGAACGGCAGACGGATCTCGCTTACAACGCCTCAACTGAAACACCAAGACAGGTGCGGAATAGTCCCGTCAAACGTTCCAGTGCATTACGTCGCTCTGCCCGAACAGAGTTCAGGCACTCCGGGGAAACTGAACAATTGACTTCAGCACTAACCAAGATACCCGCTCTCTATTGAACTTTCGGATTGGTCCTCAGGTCCCGACTTGCACTTGCAAGACTTGGTGTTCCTTTGTGACAGGCCCGGCCACCCTCGGCCAAACCTTCTCTCTTTGTTGCCACTGCCCCTCAAGACGATCTCTTCGTGGGCGTGGCAAAGACTAGCTATTAGCTGCGATTGAAGGTGGTAGCGTGACTGTCTGTCTGCGCGTTTTTTTGTTCTTGAAATACGCCGTGATGTCCTCCTGAAAGGTGTAACTTGCATCTGCTTTATATGGTATCATCCGTTATTCTCTTCTACTTGATCTTGAGCACTCTAATTCTACTCATCCATCATGTTTAATATTCTCCTGAGCCTAAGCTTGCTGGGTGCTGCAGCATCGTCACCCCTTCGATTACGAGATGAGACACGCTCCCCTTCATTCTCCACCTCCAAAGGGTTCAACCTGATAGTTGATCTTGCCGACCCTTCCAATGACTTTGCCACCCCCATCCAAAGTTCCTTCGTGACGAGCATTCACGTTGGAGCTGGGCTGGCACTAGTTGGCTTTTCGTCAGACAAAGGCCGTGTCTTTTACCAAAACGGGACGACGAGCGAATATGAGCAGGATCAGGCGACCATCATCACCGATGGCGGCACTCCGACTTTCCCATCCGGGCTCAAGCTGACGCCTGATGCCGATCCTGAGGGTTTTACAACTGCACATCTTGACGCTGGGCCTGGAACTCCTGGAGTTATGCTCTCACGTGGGGCCGTTCCTGAGCTCCAACCGGTCCAGTTCTACGCTTGTGAGGAAAGCATATCATATTACGAAGGCAAAAGCTTCGTCATCCTCCGTCATGGTGTAGAAGAGGCTGCTGTCCCGTCTGAGTGTCGCAAAATTCGTCTCCTACCGCAATGTACGACACTTGCAGACCTGTCGCCAGATGCCTTGGCAAGCCATGAGTACGCACTGGACTCCCCGTGCTATGATGCTGTTTCGCAAATCGATTGGTCAACCTAATCTATCTGGCTTGGCCAAATATTGATCGATGCATATTATGTCATATGTATTATATTATTTTATCTCATGGCGTTACGGGGTAGTCGCCCTCCTCATATTAGACCCAACTGCCTCGGTGGCAGTTAGCGGTGCATATGGTTTCAGATATTATTCCGTACACAGTAATATAATGATAATATCCTCTCCAATATAGCTTATACAATACATTCGCTTGGAACCAACCGGCTGCATGCGTCTCATTGACACTGTGATATGTATATCCCGCAGATAGTCTGCCATTCTGGGTCCTGGAAAATCATAGGTGTATCGAGATTGAGCACGTACTTGGCGTCATTGTCATTGTGGCTCGATCAACTTACGATGGCGTTTCCCACGATGGAGATCTTGGATAGTAATACAGGGCAGTACCCAGTAGCAACACGTAGTGAGTGTTCCAGCCGGTTCCACAGCGCCCGACATTAGTCGATATCCAGCTTTCCCCGCAAGCTATTGCAGTCAATATTGGCCCAGGGTTCCCTGATGGGTGAAGCGAGGTAGCGCATTCCATCCACCCATCCTCGCACGCATGTTTCCTGCAGCTGCAGGTAATGGAAACGCGGCCCAGCAAGGTGGCCCTTCTTTGGTGGGCTTGCAATCTGAGACGCAGCGCCAGACTGGGCGGCGCACCCAGCTTCCGTTTTCCCTTCCTCCAGACTCGGGTCCGTTCCACACCCAAGCATGAAGCGAACCTCCAGCCAGGAAAGCCAACGGGGAATGGGCTGACATGTCTGGTCATGTCTGCGTGCGCGAGTGGCAAGCATGGAGGCAGCTCTTTTTCAGCCAGCAATCTGTCGGAATCTATGAGCGAGATCTGCATCCAACGGGATCATGGGTGTGTTTGGTCTGATCTAAGGCACGACATCTGCCAACTCAGCGGTGTCACCGCATATTCATAGCATCCCCCCCCCCGTTCAATGTCTAACAGCCGAGCATTATAGACATGGCATGGAAGGGACCTCCCCGGCGCTGAGTACATGCACCCGTTGAGTTGAGCGCAATCGCCGGCCATCAGTCTGCGGAAGACCAGGTATGCCCCGAACTCAAGACTGAGTCTGGATGCTATTGGCTCGGAAAGAGACCGACGACCGTAACGAGCAACGAATATCCCGCTGCGGTGTCACTCGCTTAGAGCCAGACGACTTTGCTCTGCTGCCTCATTGGGAGATGAATCTTGCTGCTGCATACAATGCCTTCTCCACATACGCAGCCGAAGCCTGCAAGGGGGCTTCTTCTTTGCTTCCATGCCAGAAACACTTCCAAAATCATTTCGCCGCCTCTTGACTGGTGGGCATGTTTTCAGTCGATTTGTGTCGTACGGAAAACGAGCTGGTCCGAGATGCTGAGATTTCGACTCTTGGACCAAAACCCTGAACTACCCTACAGGTTGAGGATCTGGTCTTCCAAAGCTTCCCTTCTGCATTCATCTATATTAGTCCTGAGACTCATATCCAGAGACTTGCACTTCCTTAGTCTGATGCTTTGGAAATATAACCGAATAGAAATTATCGTCCCTTCTATGGACCTGATGGCAGGACAACACCCACAATCTGATATGTACCTGGCACTTAGCGAGGTCCCTCTTCGATGCTACGTTCTGCTGCAAGTAATCGCTACGACCACAGGGTCCACGACTCCATAACCCCTCCTCTACCCAAGTCAGTTGGCCTTTATGCAAGCAAGACCCTGGCTGGATTATGGAGGCCAGCACGTCCGCGAAACCATCTGGCTACAAGGGTGCTCCGCCGGCTGCCTAAATTTGGATGGGGCCGTCTGCTTTATCTGTTGAAGTCATTCGTGGCCAGGACGAGGTAGGATGGCCTATTTTCCTTACGCCATCGCTTTATCAGCTTCTAGCTGCTTTATGTAAGGAGCATGGAGGCGATTGTTGTTCCGCAGGTAGTTAAACCTCGCGGCTTTTCAGAGCGTCAAATCTTCATGGCGAATCACTAAATTTGACTCGACTCTGACTTTGAAAGCGGAAGACGATTCATGCTTGCTTGCACTTCTCGAGGCATCATTCATTCCCTGTAGCTAAACCGCTCTTCAGCTTCGCGATGATTCGCCGTGTAGCCAGTTATAGTGAACAGGAAGAGTCTTGTGTATTTCTAATATGAATTTTGAAAACCCAGCGAGAGAAGTCGTGAGGTGGAGCAGTAGGGGCGGCATAAAAGGTTTCAATATTGTATATGTAGATTTATTGGACATCTTCGAAGGGCAGACAATTTCGTCAACAATCCACATCGAAGCTAGATTTAAGCGCCGGCATTTGTGTAGAATGATCCTTGGCAGTTGCTACATCACTCGCCTTTTGACCCTCTGCCACATCCAGGCTTTAGAGAGCTGCCAACTTGGCATCGATCCTAGCCAAAACATCTTCTCCCATCCCCTTTACCCTCGGCCCGACCATCTCAAAGGTGTACATGCGAGCTTTTTCCAGCCTCGGATCGGCAAGAAGTTGTGCTGGGACTTCCTGTTCCAAAATAGCTCGTGTCTCCGGGTTATCAAGAAGTTCACCAACCGTGCTTGAGGCGATCGAGTAAGTGATTATGTGGCCAGACCCCAGTCCACTTGAGGGAAGAAGCTCGTCACCTCTGACGAGGGTGCTGCACCATATAGTTGGTCTTTGCCTGCTGAAAGAATTGACATTTACACGTCGGTCCAGCTTGGCGACCGTTCCGCCGTTCAAAACAGTCACTGTGATGACATCTCGGAAGGCAGTCTCGTTGAACAGAAGTGTCATCTCAAACGTGTCCTCCGAGGTCCACAGACCCCTGGAGACAACGCTCGACTGCGCAAACTCGTAGCCGTGGTGCAATTTTGCGCCTGATAGGCTCGTTGTACACGGCCACCAACCTGCACCTTTACCAAGTAAAACTTGGTGGAACCCTCGATGGTCATGTAGATGGAATATGGAGAAGCCCACGCCACTCTCAAAATCAAGAGTGAACGAGATAACACCATCTTCATTGGGTCTTTTTGCTGCAAATCGTTCCTTCGAGACGGCATTCTGCAAGCGAGACTCGGGGGGCTCGTTCTCAAGAGGAGCCATAAGATGTAAGTGACGTAAACGAGTCTGGAGCGGGATGGGCGAGTTCCCTTCGCTCGCGAGTCCGACTGAGGGTAGAAACATTGACGGGAAATGCTGGGAAATGAGCTCCTTCAATGCAATAGCGCCTTGCGGCACACCTCCAGTAACCATCACAACGGCATCATGTTGCGGCAACACTGTCACGTACTGCCCAAACATGCCCCGAGCTTGATACGCACAGTCAGGAAGCGTCCACCAGTGATAACCGTATGGGTTTCCTCGCTGAGGAGTGGTGCTGGCCTTGACGAACTCCTTCGGCAAAATCTGTTTGCCTTCCCACATGCCTTCCTGAAGATGGAGAATCCCTAATTTGAGGAAATCTTCAGAAAGGCAGCTGATTCCGTTACCGCCTGGATTCACTCCGTCCGGGCCATCATCCCAGTTAAGCATCTTGATACCCAGAGGGCGGAACAATCTCGGCTCGAGGAAGTCCCGGACTGGCACACCGGTGGTCTTGGTAATTATAGCCGAGAGCATGAAGCTGGTGGCGCTGGAGTAGACAAATTCCGATCCGGGTTCATAATCAAGCGGCGTACTGAAGAACTTGTCCACCCAGCTCCCTTCGATGTTGCGCCACTCTCCCCCGGACTGCCCAACACCGTGGCCGCTTGTCTGCGTCAGGAGGTGTTCAACGGTCATGTTCTGAGCCCGTTTGCTGGATTCGCCATCAGGAAGAACATGATCTGGAAAGAAGGAGACTACTTTGTCGTGAAGGCCAAAGTAGTTTTCATGAATGGCCAGCCCAACAGCGACGGCGAGAAAGCTTTTCGTCGCAGAGTGTAGCATGTGAGGGATATCCTGGCGATATGGCGACCACCAGCCCTCAGCGATCACACTCTGCTGCCGATATATCATAAAGGAGTGCAATTCTATTCCCTTGGACTCGGCATCATCAAGAAACGCCTCGATTTTGCTGGGGCTAACACCGACATCTTTAGGTAGAGCTCGCTTCAGCTTATTCATCTTGAAAAGAAAGGATTCTAGGAATTCTGAGAGTATTCATGCGTGGTCAAGCTTTTGATTTGCCGTCAACCATCTATTCTATCGCTCGACAGCAAATAAGACGGTTTATATATGATCTAGACAATGCGATGCCTACACGCACGCAACACGGACACGGACACGGACACGGAGGAGCTGCAATCAAGTCAAGGCAGGGAACGGACATTTGTGGTCCATCGAGAGCCCGTTGCTTGGGGAATTTGAGTATTCATTATGCAAGAAGATTCCGATATATGTATGCATCGTCTCACTCCCCAATGTTGTTCATGATGCATCTTGAGCCTGAATTGATGATGTTGAATATGTATTGAACCCGCCACCGTCAATATCCCGCCCGTGAATTGACGAAATGAACACAGGCTGGGCCAGAAATCATTGCCTTGAAGTTCTCTGAGAAGTATCAGAGTGAACATGCTTTGGCATGAGGAGTAAAGCCCGCTGATTGCTTGCCCGGCGCTGTCGGATTCAGGCATAGCGAGTATCGCAAGTAGTTACAGCCTGCGCCTGGGATAACCGCCGCCTAGCATCGGGATTGGAAATAAACTTCATTGAGGCAGTTCACGGGATAAAAGTCTGAGGCGATACTTTGTGGCAGTGAGACAAGCGTCTTGATTGAGCGAGATCAGCCAAAGAGTTGTCCAGGTGACTGGGCTTGAACCCACCGACCAGCCACTTGACTTTATCATGAGCCTGCCATTTGATCCTTTATCCGAGCCGGATGACCTCGAGTCATACAAATACAAATAAATACCTGCCACATCCCTGCACTGCGGGTGGGTTAGCGTTATCGTGCCCCGGTTCTGCACTTCGGATCTGCTACGTAAGGCACAGCCGCTGAGCTTCGGCCAATGACAACATCTCTGCCCTCGATTAGCCATCTGCCTTCTCGCGAACCAAAAGCTCTCCCCCAGATTCCCCTTCCCTCTCACACTCACACATCGTCGCTGCTCCCAGGAATTGGAACCATGACTCGACGCACCCCAGGATTGGCCATGTCCCAGTCATTCGTGCCGCCAGTACACCAGCAGCCTGCGACTGCTTCGACCGCATCTGTCGCCCCGGTCGCGGAGCAGCGCCAGAGCTCCGTGAAGCGGGAGATAAGCAGCATCAGCAGCAAGTTGCGCGACTTCACCATCGCCGGCATGGACGAGCGACACCTCTCAGACAACTACGCATGCGCCAAGTGCGTCTCGCAGCTCCCGCGGGAGAAGCAGCTGGAGATCCATCCTGGCCTGCCCACCGATGAGCCCTGCCAGCTCTGCCAGATTGCCATTGAGGACCCTGCTGCCTACACGAAGCCCTTCACTGACTTCCTGCGCGAGAACCCAACAGTCTTCCACACTGTTGACTACTTCAAGAATAAGCTCGGACACCTGGGCTTCACCGAGGTAAGCTAAGCGCATGCGCTCGTCCTTTCGCTACTTGACCTGACAAATCTATCTCTCACAGCTCCCTCCTCGCGATTCTTGGGCCGAGAAGCTCCAGCCCGGCGGCAAGTACTGGGTCTCGCGAAATGGGAGCTCCATCATCGCATTCACCGTGGGCAAGGCCTACAAGCCCGGAAACGGAGTCGGCATCATCGCCGGTCACATCGATGCCCTCACCGCCAGACTGAAGCCCGTTAGCACGAAGCCCAACAAGGCTGGCTATGTCCAGCTGGGCGTGGCCCCATACGCCGGCGGTCTTAATAAGACGTGGTGGGATCGCGACCTCGGCATTGGTGGTCGGGTCATCGTCAAGGATGAGGAGACGGGCAAGACGACCTCGAAGCTTGTCAAGCTGGGCTGGCCGATTGCCAAGATCCCAACGCTGGCTCCTCATTTCGGAGTTGGCATGATGGGAAACAACAATGCTGAGACCGAAGCCGTGCCTATCATTGGGCTGGAGAGCACTGGAAAGTCTGCCGCCGAGCCCCTGGGCCCTGTTGGCTCGTTCGTCAACACGCAGCCTCCACGATTGGTTCAGCTGATTTCAAAGGAGCTTGGCATCTCGTCCTACAGCTCCATCCTCAACTGGGAACTCGAGTTGTTTGATACCCAGCCTGCCTCCACTCTTGGACTGGACAGGGAGTTCATCACTGCAGGCCGCATCGACGACAAGCTGTGCTCATGGCCTGCCACCATGGCCCTTCTCGCATCTACAGACAATGACGATGAGGGTTACGTCAAGCTCGTCGCTCTCTTCGACGACGAGGAGATTGGCTCCCTGCTCCGTCAGGGCGCCCGAGGAAACTTCCTCCCCTCGACCATTGAGCGCATCGTCGAGGGTCTCAACCCTCAGACTTCGGGCCCCGGCCTCATCGGCCAGACCTACGCCAAGTCCTTCCTCCTCTCCGCCGACGTCAGCCACGCCGGAAACCCCAACTTCCTCCACAACTACCTCGACGAGCACATTCCCAAGCTCAACGTCGGCATGGTCATCAGCAACGACTCAAACGGCCACATGACCACCGATGCCGTCTCCACAGCCATCGCCCGCCGCGTCGCCGAGCTCTCGGGGACCGTGACGCAGCCGTTCCAGATCCGCAACGACTCCCGCAGCGGCGGCACCGTTGGCCCCATGCTCTCCAGCGCCATGGGCGTCCGGGCCATCGACGTCGGCCTGCCCCAGCTGAGCATGCACTCGATCCGTGCCACCACCGGCGCACTGGACCCCGGCCTGGGTGTCAAGTTCTTCAAGGGATTCCTGGACAACTGGGAGAAGATTGACAACGAGTGGGAGTACTAGGGTCATGTCCCACCAGCATTTCTGGAGTTTTTGTTCGGCTTGTCCCACACGGGCTTGCTAGGTGTAGTATTGGCTCATGTTGTTATAGATGCTCCTTTTCAGAATATCTTAGAGTAGGTTTACAGTTTCGAGGCGTGGCATTTTTGGATCTAGACAGATACACGGGTAGAGAATAAGATAGTCTGGGATAGATTTAGAACTCATCTTGAATGATTTTCCAAAGAAAACTCCCTCCCCATTTTTATTGATTATAGACGCTTGTAATCCCATGCCGTGGTATCCTGGGCTCAACTCTAAACTAAGCTAGCTAAACTTCATATAACGCTCAACACACGGCGAGTAACCCCATTTTATATCGTTCCGCCTTGAAATGCAATCAACCAAAAACCCAAAATACTCAATTCTTAACCTTAAAATCCACACGTCCCTGGTGCTAGACTTGGGACTCGGGCGTGACGTCCCCCGTCCGCCTCCGAGACTCGGCCTCGGACACGTCGAAGACGCTGTCCTCGTCATCGTCATCATCGTCGTCGCTGGGCCCGTTGTGCCCGTCGACTGCCTCCTGGGCGGCCTGCGCGGGCGACTTGCGCTTCTTCTCAAAGTCCTGCTTGTGCGCCTCGGCCAGCAGCTTGGACACGCTGTAGGCGGTCGTGTCCCTGCGGCGGAGGGCGCCGCCGATGGTGCTCGTGACGGCGGTGGACCTTCCCGTGACCTGGCCGGCCTCGGGGGCGGAGGCGACGGCCGGGGTTGGCTGCTGTTGCTGGGAGGGGGGCAGGGGGTGCAGGCCGTCGCCGTCGCCCTCGACGTCGGTGCTGGGGCGGTCCATGAGGGGCTCCATGGTGTAGGGGAGGGGCACGTCGCGCGAGGCCTTGTACTGGGAGACGTTGCCGCAGTGCTCGTTCTCGACGCGGAAGCAGGTCCACATGCCGCGGCGGAGGACCTCGGCGAACGCGACGAAGAAGGAGCAGAGCGTCGAGTGCTGCCTGTCGTGGGTGAAGATGGCGTAGAAGATCCAGGCGAATCTGATGACGGGGTCGAGGACTATGATGGAGTAGTAGGGCCATCGCTTCTTCAGGGCGAGGATGTCTCGCAGACCGACGTGCCGGGCGCCGGCTTGAAGGAGGGAGAAATCCATGAATAGATCCCAGATGGCTTGGTGTTGGTTCATGTTAGCTGGGTGTGATCTTGGAGAGGTTCCGGGGTTACGTACAGCAGTAGATGCTATTCAGTAGGGAAAAGGTGATGAACAGCGCTAGCTTTTGGCTTGTGTTGTCTATGCGATACATCGACAGCGTGACGGCAGCCATGATGGACATTGTGTATTTTCCACCGTTGGCCAGGTGCGGGAAAACGTTCCTGGTGTCGTAGTAACGCCGGAGACACTGTAGGAAACGCCAGATTGGCGGCAGGGCAGTGAGGAAACCCATGAGGCGAGAATGATTCGAGTTGCATTGGTCGGGGCTGTCCCAACCGCGGGCATAGAGACAGAAGAAAAGCTCAATATTCTAGGTGGCTGTCAGTAAACGGGGTTTGACTTGGCTAAATAGGGGCTGGAGGCCCTCAGTAACACCTACCGCTGTGGCGTATGTCAGAGAACAGTATATATCACCCAGAAAGAAGTCTCTGAATTCAACGGGATATAGACCAGCTAGTAACAGACGCCACTGGAAAGAAACAAATGGTCAGTTAGGGTTCTCTTGTGAACGGCGGTGGGTGTACTCACGTGTGAATATGCAAACCATCTCCGGCTCCTATATGCTATGAAGGGAAGTGGAAGGAAGAGGATGATCGCGGTAAATGTAATTAGGACAACGGGGTAATATATATAGAACGATTCAGGTCCATATCTGCTGAAATTGGCCCAAGAGACGATGCCAAAGATGAGAAAAAAGAAGCTGGGAAACTCAGCTAAATGAGTCCAGTGAAGATTATGACGCTGGTCGAATTCGAAAATAAAGGGATAGTTGATCTTGTTTCTTGTCCATATCATGCAGTTTATACAGAAAAGCGAGAAAAGAAGCAGCGCTAGAAGGTAACCTCCGTATATTTGCATGAGATAACTGGTTTGTGTGCGGACCTCCTCGTCATCGTGGGACAGCAGGGCGGCAGCGTAAACGACAGCTTGGACAGTGAAGACGACTCCCGTTCCGATCAGGAAGCCATTTTGGAACGAACTGCCTGCTTTATCGTCGTGCTTCTTGTTCAGGCTCCGAAGCTTGCCGGCTGCTAGCTTGTGGTTGCCGCGCTCAAAGTAACGAGCGTACAAGTCTTCAACAGTCTTGATATGGCCCTCGAGAACATCACTCTGGACGAACCATGAGGGGCTGACTTTCTCATTCATGTAACGGAGGGGAGGTCTGGCGTTGACGGCCTTGTCAAACTTCTTGTTGAGCTTTCGGAATGCTGTGCGGTTCATCATGGCGTACGACTTAAGTAGCTCGAGGCCGCGATAGAATTCCTGCAGAGCCAGCTTCAGTTTATGTTTTGCGGTGCGATACGACACGTCGTCGGCTTTGGGGCGTCGGATATAATCCCTCGCCGCATCACCCGAATTGAGGGCAGAGATGTGTGGAGTGGCCGTCATATTCTGAAGGGCTTTGGAGTTTGGGCCTGGGCGGAACATCTTGGCCTTGATAGGACCAACCCAATCGTTCGCCTGCGGTCCCCCTTCAGGAATTATAGGTCCTCCGTTGTGCTTGTGGTGGCCATCTTGGCGAGACTCGGCAATCTCCTGGATGCGCCGATTTCGCATCTCGTGCAGTTGTTCCTTTAACAGGGCCAGCCTTTCTCCAGCCTGCTCCTCCTTCATTTTGTAGAACGTCTCAACCTTGTCCAATTCGGAGTCCATGAAAGCATAGAGCTCGGCCTCTCTCTGACGGACCGCGTCCAGAGTACCCATCGCGGTCTCCGACCTTGCCATCGAGAACATGCGTCGGTGTTGGGACGGACTTTGCGGAAGGAAAGCCGTAGTTGAACGCTTTGGGGGAGGCTTGGACGTGGGCTGTTTATCGACAGGGTGTTCCATAGGACCATCCGACAAGCTTCTGCGCATGGTATACTTGCCGGTGGGAGTCTTATCTCGCGGCTTGTCCCAGTCATCCTGGATAGACGAAGTTGATTGACGCATGGCTGGCCCGGGCAGTTCGAAAGTAGCAGTCTTCTGCAGCTGTAGAGGAGACTCTGTCGCAGGAGGCGTCGCCACGAAGCTCCCATACTGGATACTGTTCCCATCCTGTGTCAATGATTGGTCCTCCCTTCTCTTGGCAGGAATTGGCGCCGACTGCGTGCCGTCGCGATGCGAGCTGCCATTTGGCTGGTTGCGGAGCGGACTTCCATCCTCTTTTTTACTCTTGCTTTCGAAGTCTCGTCTCGCGCCCATCGACGGTGCGAAGAAGTGTTGCGTTGGCGTCCGTGGTCCAAGGCTTCGTGGTGTGCCGGTGGCACGGTTGATGGCTCTGGCCACTGCTTTGACATGCTTCTTGCCGACCTTGTAGTTGAGATATTTGATGCGCCATTCTGAGATTATCATGAGCGGTCTGAATACGGTTGCAATGGTGCGATGTTCTCTTTAACTTGTCTCAGAGAAACAAAGAAGGGCGCGTCGCGAGACATGGCGCCGAGCCAGAGTGGCGATGTGATGCACGACGTACCTGGAACAGCTTCTCGCTCAAGCTCCTTTGCAAACTTCATGGCTTAAGCCTTGCCGGCCGATTCCAGCATCGGAGGCTTGACCACCGCGGCACAGGCCCGAGAGTTCGGCTCAGCTGAGAATTAGATTTATACTCGTCGGCACCAATCCGACGGCGGGGGCTGGCTGGAAGAAGGGATCACCACGACCTGGCATGCGCGCGCAGAGACCAGTCTTAGACACGGGAGACTGGGGTGTTTGCGTCTCCAAGCCGGGGGGGCAGATGAACGAATCGGTTGTGGAGGATCGGCTGAATCAAAAAAAGTTTCCAGGAATTCTGTGCTCTCGTCGTTGAGCCTGTGGGAGGCGTTGGATGGAAAACGTGCCCGACGGGACAGCCCAAGACCCCCTTTTACCCTTGCTGCTAGCCAAATGGACTTGGAACGATTTGACGTCAGGATGCCTGTCAGACGGGCGGGATGTTGCTGGGCCTGCTCCCTGGCCGTGATGACTGCCGCTTTAGGAATGCCAATTGCGGCCTATAAGGCGTGAGATTAAGCTATCTGCACCTGCGACACAGTTCACCTGTTCTTATCGCCGACTTGACTTGTTGCGAGCCCAACTCGCGGGTTTCTGTCCATTCCACCTGATATTGTGCATCGTTCGTTTCTACTCGTCATGGACGCTAATGCGTTCGTGCTCCCGCTAATTCAATCCACGGCACCTTATTCGTTTAACCGTCCGACAACGGCCAGCTTGGTGGCTGAGTCAGCGTGCAACTCAGGCCGTTTCATTGGTGCTACAGAGCTTCAATGAACTCTTTATGAACGCTTTGTCCCAATTCCCCGTTGTTTCCATCTGTGCCTGGAAGTTAGATACAATGGGGACAATAAAGCGTAGCAAAGCGCCGTTGTTGGCACACAAGCCCTCATGTTCCAATACTCTCTATATGCACACTCGTGATGACTCCAGTTCAAGGCTTAATCATTCTGTTCATACCAGGATGGGGAAGGTGAGCCTCGTGTTGACGAGATCACAAGCGTTTTGCTTGTTATTCGCTGCCAATTCTATTTGAGGACCACTCTTAAGTAGAAGTTCGTGGCTGAAACATGGTCTATATAAACATCTGTCTGTTGCTTCGGTAGTACAGTCACAACTTGGACAGATAATTCGACATTATTGAAAAAATAAGCAACTGAAAACAACAACATCCCTAACAAAAGCTTCCAAGACAGCCACTACAACCTCCTGCTGAAACCATGTGTGAATTCCGTCACTTGACGCATTGGTGTCCATGTGCACGCGCAAATTTGGACTGCCCCCTTGCCCGCGAGGTCTGTTGCCGTCATCTGCGTCGGCCTGAACACAAAGGTCACACGCTGTTCCACTGCGAAATGGAACTGGTCAGTAAATGTCACCATGCGGACAGGGCTCATGATGGCAGCGTCATAAAGTGCCACTACTCGGAGATCAGGACGATTTATACCACAAAAGTCTGCGACGATTGCAAGGCTAGATGTCCTCAGGTGTAAAACCTAAGAGCCTTCTCGAGCAGACAAGATCTGACGGAACCTACCGTGGAAAAGTATCAAGAAGAGAAGTATTGTTCTAGGGACTGACCGTCAAGCTTCTATCTTGAATAGCTTCTTTACGAATCATATGCGTCCTCTCTCTATATCTCAAAAGTCATCTTCACCATGGGTTACTACGTTGGTCTCAATAATGTGGCATACAGCTGCTCCGAAATCACTGAGACTGGTATGGAAGACTGGCTACTACAAAGAGACCCAGAGGTAGATACTGACCATATGTGGCCTTCAACACAACAGCCCGAAGAACTCGAGGTGCTAAGAAGGCAGAAAAACGCTCCGACGCTGCATCCACTGATATCTATTGCAAGTACACATGTAGTGCGAGGACTATTGTACACAGGACGAGTAAGAAGTGGGAAGGGTCTTAGACTTTAATTTTAAGAAGGGATAGCCTTGATAGAATCATGAAATATACATCCATATTTGAAAAGCTTCAGGTGACGCCGCGTACTAATTGATCTGGACTACGTAAAGATAGTGCCGAATGCATTTGTACCAAATCAAGGCAATAGCCAGAAGATTTACCATATACCATCTACTTGTTTAAAAAGACGGGAATTACATGATGCGCTACATGCGCTTATCTATGCTTCCCGTTGTGGAGCTGCGAAACAAGGAAACACACAGAATTCCTCACGGCTTTGCATAACAAAAAAGGGCAACCAACCACACGAGCTGATGCTCGATGGAGACTAGGGATGTAGCACAAGCGAAATCGGGGGCGGCCGTCTCCCAAAGAAAGGTCACATCAATTCGGCGACGCCAAACGGCAACTCCGCGTTGATGCGAGCCGTGTAATAAATCATTAGGTGTTCTCGGGGTGGACGACCGGAAAGTATCGACGGCTGGTGCTGTACGAGCTGATTAGACTGTCAGCCATGGCGTTAGATAAAGACTGGAGTTCGTGTTTATTAGCCGGGTCGCTAAATCTGTGGAGAGACGGTTTCCTTGGGGATACCCGCTTCGAGGTCGATGAAGTCATGATGATTGATCCCACCCAACCGTTTCTCCGGCTTCAACGACGGGCGGCATGTGCGAGTTTGGGATGGGGTCCTGTCAATCAATTGACCGTTGTGCACCGGATGCAAAAGCCCAATGCAAGCCCATCTTGCATGTGCAGCTCGGTAAAAGCAATCGGCCCATCCGCGCTGCTACATACTGGGATTTTTGGGCGCTCCATGTGGCGCTGCGCTCATCACTCGTCCTGGCATCTCCTCTCGCTCTGCTCTGATTCTACGTTTTTTTAATCCCTCCTTTTGCCCTCACACTAATGCGCCCTCGAGCCAACCGTCGTAACAAGGTTTTGCCTGTAAGCGTAGTCGCCAAATCCGGTTTCGATCAAGGCAGGGAGCCTAGGATGGTATCATGGAGTTAGTGTAACATTGTGCTGCCAGTTCCAAGGAACCAGCAGGATGTATTGATTGCTGGCCCTGGTCACGGTGGTAATAATACCAGTAATAATGTCTCCGGCACAGTCGCGAAAACCTGCACTTGTTATCTACACGTAGCCAAATCCTTCGCTCCGCCGTCGGTGAGCTGGCCGCGGGAGTGTGCCAATAAGAACAGAACTAAAATAACAGTGAGATGAGCTATCACAATCTATCGGCGCGCCAAACCTTCTCGTGAATGGCACCACCATGTGCTCATTCGTTGCAAAGCTTCCAACTTTTTAGCTCGCTGGGGCAATAAGCGACCTGGAGCTTTGTTCCCCAGAATGCTTGCTGATCTGGCGTCAATCATTACCTATATGATGCCATGGATCGTGATCAAACCATCCAGCTGCTTTCCTGTTTGAGATGATAAAACACGGATGGAGATTGAGTGATCACTGAAGATGAGAACCTGGGGAGCATTGCTATGCCTGGGGAAAAAACCGGGTTTTGCGAGCAATACGTAGGTAGCCTGCCACACCGAGTAAGCACGTTGGGCAGCCAGCCTTGTGAGATCTGATCGCCGAAGGAGAATTCACCGTAGGGCAGACTATTGGGAGAGCGTTGCCAATAGAAAGGGTCATGGCAGCCATCTGGCAAAAAATTAGCGTCCGCCTAGTCGAAAAATGTGCAAGCCGGCCAACCCGGATAGGCTGATGCCGCATGAGTCCAGAACACCCACTAAGCATCGGCCGGAAGTGTGTTCATTATTACACATTCGGTTGAGGGGCTTACGATGGGCTGATGAGACTCTAAAGCTATCACCGCCCGGGGTCCGCCAGTTGGTGGGACGGCGAAAAATGGGTTAACTCCCGGCTTATAATGCTGAGGTGATTATTAGACGAGCCGGCCGGAACAAAACCACCCAGGTTGCCAGGCTAAATTATGTCGCTACCGTAGTAGCTGTCAGGACATCGGAGCAGATGCCTGCGAGCTCGAACTGTCGTCCAATCAGTTGGACGAGGGACAATAGTCTCAGCTGCGATGGTGCATTGGCCTAGTGTGAAAGCGGGAGCTTTGGCAAGGTTGTTTCTCACCTGCTCCAGACAGGGCAGCTTGTCGGGGTTCCCTTTGCAGATGCAGTGCACCGCTGTTGCATGGTGTATGCATATGTGGCCCAGGTAGAACAGTCGCATGCTGAGAATTGCATGTTGCGGTGATGAGAAAGTCGAGTGGTGAATTGGAGGGATGATTCAGATTTGGCGCCGTCCTCGCCCTGCACATTCCCTCATTCGTCCCATTGGCGATCGCGCGATAGTCGAGACAGTCTGTGGAGATGAGGTGATGGCATGGGCGAAGATGCAATTGGCACCGCAAGTGCCGATAAGAGAGGGCAAGCTAGATTTCGCTCTGTGTCCGGGTAGCTTTGAGCCCGGCGAGAATTTGGCTTGTTTAGCTTGACAGGGAGCCGCTTACGCGCGATGCCAAGCCGCTGGCGGGTGGAGGACATGTAATGAATGTACGCAAATCAACAATCAGAACGAGTTAGTCGTCAGCTGCACATCGCGGTGCGAGGCCAGGCCAATTCACCATTCCCCGGTGAGGATGGGCATGTTGTGTGTTTCCTGCGGCCCATTGGATCAGCGCACAACTGCAGACCGCAGACTGGGTACATGCAGGCGGATGGGATGGTCTGTTGCCTCTCCATAGGATTACCCTCCCCATCAAGATCCGCAGGCACGTTGCCCCTAGGAGCTCAGCTTTAGCGGCACAGCGGCTTATGTACGTGTGTCCTGGCCAGTGAGCGTATTACCTGGGGCCCAGCCGCACACTATGGACCTATGCCGGCCCTACATGCATTTGGGTTGAGTCGAGCACCGAGTCTCACCCCGAGGAGCTGAACCGACTAGTCTGTTTGACAGTTGGACCGAGCACAATGGCTGGCATGGACAAAACCGTGTCATGTCATCGGGCTGGCTGTTGTGACGCCATCGGGATCTTTGCGGGGCGCCAGGAAAGGCCGTGGATGGAGATCTATCTGCCAAGCCCAGGAAAAAAAACTCGTACATAATGGGACTGCACTGGTAAGATGGAGAGTCGAGGGATTACATCAACACCTACGCAGCCGCCGTGGCCCTGTGATTGGCCGAGGACGCCCATTCAGCTGTGAAGAAGGCACTGACACCCCCCTGCCCCATAGCGGGGCAGCAAGCCCCTCAGGCCACTGAAGGTGCGCGGCCAAGCCCAGCGTTAGGTAGCGTAGCGCAGGACTGCATGAAGAGTCAAAGGCCGACCTACCTTAGACGGCCGGCCCATGCAACGTTGGACTGGGGCTCTAGCACGTCCCTCTTGGCCCCAAGTTGCCGTAAATACTCGACCTCAGCCTTTCCAGACCGAGCCTTGTCTTCTACTCTGCTCTGCTCAACCACTCTGCCACCACCACAGCGCTTTATTTCGCTCCCCTGCTATTGTTCCGGGGATCGCCTACGAGAACCGTACCATCCGACACGGTTTTGTACTCGGCCCCTGGCTGTCTGACCATATCCTTGACTCGGCGGTCGGGGCTCCCCTTTCTTCTTCTTCCAGGCACCACTGGGAGTTCGGCCATTTTCCCTCCACCCACCTCCAAAACTCCTCGGGCTCGCCCTTTGTGCTTTATTTGGCAGCCGAGCTCACTGTGCATTTTTGATACGCCATTATACATATTCAGCACCGGCTCTCAGCCCGCCATTTATCTGGTCGGGGATAGAGAGAATTGCCGTGCTTTGAACACCCACCTACCCAGTTGGTCACGAAATGCTGCAACCACAGATCCGGCGAAAGCCTCTGGAGCCGGGCCCGCCTTCCTATGCTCACTCCCGCACGCGCACCACCTCCTCAAATGTTTTCCCTGCCCAGCCAGGCTACCCGATGCAGCAGGCACCGATACCGCAGCATCTTGCACAGCCGATCCAACAGCATTCCCGTCGCTCCTCGTCCGTCAATACGATAAGCACCTCGTCGAGCATACCTCCACCTGCCGCCTACCGACAAAACTCCGTGTCAGACCTGCAACGCTCAGGATCCAACCGTTCGGGCGGCGCAACAAGCATCATGCCCCAGGGCGGTGGTTATGTTGCTCTGCTACGCAAACAAAAGGCGACAGTGTGGTGCGATCGGGCGCAGTATGAGGATCCCCGTTTGACTGCACAGCAGCGAGCTGCCAAGAAGCGAGCAAATCTTGAAGTCGTCCGAGCAGGCAGTCGTACCAGCACTGGTATGAGCTCCGCAAAAGCCGGCGGCAAGGTCCGGGCCCATGCCAAGAATCAGGTTGTAGGACTCACCCCTGGCGAGAACCATGTCGGTGTGGGCGGTGTCCCTCTTCGCCTACTCGCTACCGAGGCTGAGGGAGAGAGCAGCGACGACGAACCCATGGCTCGTTCTCAACACCGCAGGACGAATAGCAGTGGCCGGAACAGCATTGCCAGCGGTCGCCGTGGTATCCCATACAGAACTTCCGGGGGCCACGGTAGTTTCAGCGGCAAACGACAGAGCCCTAACGACACCCCTGAGCGATCTGGAAGTCTGGTCGACGATCGCCCTGCGTCGATTGTGAGGGACGATGCGGCCAGCGGCAAAGCTCGCAGTACGCATAGTGGCAGCAGTGCCGAGCGTGCTGACAATGTGGCTGAACTGTCCGTTGCCCCGCGACTTGCTGCAAATTCTCTGATGCACGCTACCCTGACCAGGGAGAAGAGCGTCAAGAATCCTGAAGAGCTTAGAAGACGTGGCAGCGTCGACGAACGAACAAGCACCCTCACGTCCCAGCGCCTTTATATCGCCAACCCCGATTAATAACTTGGCTGCAGAACAATCTCCTTATATACTGCACAGCCCATCCCCTGGCTGGAACTTATTGTTTCTTTTTTCGCGGTTTTACTTCTAGCTGGAGAGCATTGCATTTTATGGCGTTCTGATTTGTCTATCGTTTCACATAGCGTGTGCAGGACACTTTGATACAACAATTTCAAAGGGTCTGGATACCCTTGTCTATGACAAAGTCTCTCTCACTACAATAACATGTTTCTTCTAAAAGTGGCGGTTGACTGTCCTGAGGTGGGCAGGTTTGGGTAATATTTATTGGACTTGTGGAAAGAGTTATGGGTTGGGGCGGGAGAGAAGAGGCTCGAAGAAACCGGATGATACCCTCGTTGATATGCAGCATGGAGAGATAGCCATTCGCTAGGAATCAAAGATCTTGTTACACATACGCCGACGCGGGCACCTGTGTCTGATGATCCACCACTTGAGCTACTGAACGAAGCGATTCGCATTGTCGCCGTGGCTCCATCTGCGACTTGCGTGGCCTTGTGACGTTACTTGAGTAAGACCGTTTCAGAATGCCAGAATGTAGTATCAACCAGTCCAATTGCATTGTCGTGGGGGCCCCATGATGTAGAATTCAGGGTTTCGCCTCTCACAGCCAACCCCTGCCTTCCGGTTTGGTAGTTGCTGCTGGTGATCTGTTCCGAGTATCTGGCCCGGATGCAGATTCGCGGGACATGACATCAAAGCGTTGTCGACATCATGTTACATGGTCTGTGGGGACTGAGGGTAGCCTGCAGTGGGTGTCAGAAGACAGGGACCGCTGAGTCCATCTACGTACACAGTGAAGAACTCTGGCATAAAACAAAACTAATAATCCAGATTACAATGCTTCTTATCCTTGACACTCTAAATCTTATTCTCATTAAACAATAATCCTTGAATATTGAGACTTTCTTCATGGAAGTACCCGGCGCGTGAGCATACTGAGGCCCATATTGACGAGTTATGGGAAAGACCCTTGGGTTGCCTGTTTTCTGACACCCACTTGTCTTGGGTTACTGTGACGTCTTGGGTCGAGTCAAGTGCAAACTGCGCACTAACCTCGGGTGAGTCAGCAAGACCATGCATGTAATTCCGAGGATTTGGCGGTGTGGCGGTGCAGATTCAGGGTAGCGCGTCGTGGGGCGCCAAATTTACGCGAAAGCGCGTCAAGTGGTTTCGATGGCGACTACCTTAGCGTCATTCTACGACCATGTCTATAAACCGTTTAAAGACAGCGTTACCCTCGTGTTGGCATTAAAATCCCAGCGAGCAACAAGTGTATGGAGGATTGATGGGTTCTGAATTGTCTGTTGACTGATATACTAATCCCAGCGGTCAATATTTTTTAATTCTTCGTTTTACAAAGGTCTCAATTCGTTGTCGTGCCGTTGGAGCTTGTCGTTATCCAGTTTGCACCTTCCCTAACCCATCCCGATTCCCACCGCCCGCAAGGTCACTCATCACGACGCCTCTCTGGTACCGAAACAAACACAGAACTGAGCCCTGGAAGCTCATTGGAGTCTCGTTCAATGCCATTACTCGAGATGTCTCCGAATATCCAGGAATCAGAAGCCAGGGCCCGAAAAAGGAGCCACGATGAATTCGAGGGTGATGCGCCGACGACCGAGACCGAGGAGGCTACAAAGGACCTTGTGCTGTCTCCCAAAAAGCACTCAGGTGTGTTGTTATGTTGGAATCATCGACGCGATGCGTATTAACAGCCTGAATTAGTACTACTCGCTCTGCATCAATCCCTCGGTCAATCCACGCCTCAGGGCTCGCCCAGCCTTACAGAGCCCGGAAGCATCACACCAGCGCATATTCCAGGCTCCCCCATTACCCCCAAAGCCGAAACCATAGTTAAATGCGACCCTGCTCCGAACTCGATAGCCAGCAACACGGAAACTGCATCAGCAACCCCACAAAACACAGTCTCTACCTCAACGACTACAACACAACCACAAAAAAAGAAGCGCCTCACAGCTGCCGAAAAAGAGGCTCGGGATAAAGAAGCTGCCGAAAAGAAAAAGGAAAAAGAAGAGAAAGCTGCTGCCAAGGCTGCCGAGAAAGCTGCAAAGGTCGCCAAAGCCGAAGAGGAGAAGGCTGCTAAAGCAAAGGAACGCGAAGAAAAGCAGAAAAAGAAGGCCGAAGAGGAGGCTGCTCGGGCAAAGGAACGCGACGAAAAGCAGAAAAAGAAGGCTGAAGAGGAACGAGTTAAGGAAGAGAAGAAGCGGCAAGCTCAAGAAGCAAAGGAAAAGGAAGCTAGGAAACAGCCGAAGCTTAATAGCTTTTTTGGCGCTCCTCGCACGCCTTCGAAGCCCAGCAACACTGAATCTGCCCCGTCACGGACCGCATCACCCAACAAGTCCGACCCAGCGGCTGATACGACGAAGCCTGCGGACGCTGAATATCGGAAGCGGTTTAAACCTTTCTTTGTAAAGGAGCACACAAGACTGGCGAACTCGAGCTGGTGTATGGACGAGGATACGCGAGAGAGCAAGTCACGCATACTCGACGAGTTCATCAGCGGAGATCGCACTTTGGACAGTTCAAGTCTTCCCTTTGACCCTGTTGAAGTCTTTGCTCTGCCTAGAAAGCCACCAAAGAGAGGAAGGGTTCACCCACCAGTAAGAACGGTGATGGAGTCAATTTATCGAGAAACGGAAGCGAACAATGCCTCCACCAGTCAATCGGCCATTGCGCTGGCTCGTCAGCAGCTGTCAAGAATGGTCACAAAGGTTATTTCTTTCTCACAAGACGTCCGGCCAGCATACTGCGGCACGACGACAGCAAAGCAACACGCTGTTGGATTAGAACAAATGCGAAAGGCAGCTCGGAATACAAATGCCAAACGGTTACCGCTTGATTATGACTACGATTCGGAAGCCGAATGGCAGGAAGACGAGGATGGAGAAGATGTCGATATGGAAGATGATGACGAGGATGTCGAGGACGAGGACGACATGGATGGTTTCTTGGATGACTCAGAGGATGTCGGCCCTGCTAGACGGTTGCTGGTTAACACCCTGGAACCTGAATGCTCGGGAATATGTTTCGAAGATCACAACAAAAACGGACCAAATCCGGCTGTTTATGAGCACAGGATGGAGTTCATTATTGGTACTTGCAAATCATTCACACATCGGTTTAGAAATTGACCTGGCTAACAAGAATCAGATCACAACGACGCAAGCTCAAGCATCAATCCTTGGTCCGACGCATACTGGGAGCCCGCGCCTAAGAAAGTACAGGCAGCAGACATGGGAGTCGTGATGCCTCCCCCACCAGCGCCTACCTCAGCTTTTGCAGCCCTTTCCGGAACGCCTACGGCTCCTGCAGCGACGAAACTTGTTAAGAAGGAGATACTAAACGACGTAAAGAAGGCGATCCTCGATAACAAGGGTCTGTCCAAGGTTGGTATCGTCGACTTCGTCTTCAATCAGTTCCGGGACAACGCATCACGTGCCGAAGTCAAGAATACAATTGAGTTGGTGGCTGAGAATAAGAAGAAGGGCACTGGAAGACACAAGGAGTGGGATCTGAAACCAGGTCACGAGATCGCGTTGTAAGAGGAAGAACCAAGAGTTTCCGTGTTTAGTTACGATGAATCCGATGCATTTAAGTAGAAGTTATTAGCGGATCTGGGATTTTGGGACCATTCGAATTGTGGCGCTTTGGAGCATCGATTCTCGACCGAGTGTTAGTTACTATATCTTGTTGGGGTTTACTTTTATTAGGTGATGAACATGAAAAGACGCTACATATTCAGATGCATGGAAACCTGCCAGATATTGAAGATGTTGTAGAATCGACGCTGCATGTGATGATGAATTCCTATACGATCCCCGGACGGGACCACGGAGGTGCTGCATTTGCTCCGGCGCGTGTTGGTGGAGCCTGTTGGCCCGCCATGACATTGACATGCAGCGGCATCCTTCTTCCTTCCAGAAGCCGCCTGCGTCAAACCAACACACCCCTTTGCCATAATTTGACCGTCTCTGCGGAAATTGGGCATTGTAATACGAGGTGTTTGGCCATTGCGTGCGCATCTCACCGACCCTCAGCTTGTTGCTGCCACTTCGACCAGCCAGGCAACAAAACCAACCTACACCAATCTCTCCCCCTTTCCTCCTATATTCCTCCTTTCTCATTTCAGCATCCCAATATTTTTCTTCTTCCATCCTGACGGGATTCCGGAAAGGGCCTCCAACATCATTGATCACGCGACCGAATACTCCGAACTCTTCCTCGACAACCAATCCATCCCAACCGCCAACGACTGTGCGAAACCTCCCCTACCGTTATGTTATAGTACCCGGCACCGCCAGCTAAGCTCGTCTCCTCCCCCTTGAAACTTGGAGCCCCGTCATGCTCCAGGCATGGAGGATCCATGGGGATCCCCGTGGGCCACGACAGACGCGCCGACGCCAAAGATAGACCTGCCCGCCGCGCCGCCGAGCGCGCACTTCTCCGCCGAGAGCGGCGCCGCGGGCAGCTCGCAGCAGAAGACGCTGCAGAACCCGTGGGAGGATGGCGATGCGTGGGGCGGGTGG